TTAATGAAATAAGATTCATTGTTGATGGTTTCATTGAGGCACAATTGTTATGTTTTTGGGCTGCTAATTACAGTATAGTATCTTATATTTTTTATTATGTATTTAAAGATTTTTATCGAAGTTTAATTAACGTCAAGTACCGATCATATTAACAGCGATACCTACAATCCGCATGTCTTTTGAATTTTTCCAATAAAGATGTTCATCAAAACAAGGCGTCACGCGTAACAATAGTCGTTTATTCCTAATAGTTAATAATTAAAAACCAATTTAGAAACTTCAATCAGGTAAATAATTGCACATCTTTATAATAATCAAGTTCCTTATTGCGGTTTAAACAACTTGGCTGTCATAAAGAAATCGAACACCTCCTGCAAAATTGACAGCCAATAAAATATTACGCTTAGTTTTCAACCTCTAAAAGCTGCCAGATTCTGATTTTCGTCTCGTAACTTAAACAACTAATGTGAATCCGCACTTCAATGAACCAGCTCTAAAACCCTTTCGGCTCAAGTTGCCAAGAATATGTATGGTCTTGTGAATATTTTGAAAGAGTCCGTGCCAATATCTTCAATAATTGTCTACTAATGGTATGTGAAAATAATTGAGCTCTCCCGCTCATATACTATCACCATGATCATGCCTAAAGCTGAAATAAAATAAAAAATAGGGGAATATGAGAAAAACCAATAGATGGGATTTAATGTATACGTCGATTTATACATTTGGTCCAAAAATGCCGACTTTCGGCAAATATTAGGAAGTGATATTAAGTTTGACATTGTCGAGGTTTTTATGAAGTATAACAAGAAAAATCATTATTTTCAAGTTTCAGCTGTTAAAGATAAGAAATTCTAGCTGATCAGATGACGCGGTCAATGTTTATCGGATGCTGTGTGGCGGATTTGGAATAACTCTCCTCTAATCTAGTTCCACGAATTGTTGTCCATTGTGTACCTACCAACAGTGTAGTGGTCAATCGACTATGTTTTATTACCTTAGCATTCTGATACTCATAGCATATTTCTGTTTCACCTGAAACATCTCAGGGCTGAGAAGAAATGAGATGTCATGGTTTATCATAATGTTACAGTAGCATAACTTCGTTATGTGGCGATAAGACAATCTTACAATTGATTGCCCAATGACACGATCTCAGACCAGAGAACATACACTATGCCCGATCTCAGACCATGTAACAGACTATGTCAATAAATGCCCGATCTCAGACCATGTAACAGACTATGTCAATAAATGCCCGACCTCAGACCATGTAACAGACTATGTCAATAAATGCCCGATCTCAGATCACGTAACAGACTATGTCAATAAATGCCCGATCCCAGATCACGTAACAGACTATGTCAATAAATGCCCGACCTCAGACCATGTAACAGACTATGTCAATAAATGCCCAATCTCAGACCATGTAACAGACTATGTCAATAAATGCCCGATCCCAGATCACGTAACAGACTATGTCAATAAATGCCCGATCTCAGATCACGTAACAGACTATGTCAATAAATGCCCGATCTCAGATCACGTAACAGACTATATCAATAAATGCCCGATCCCAGATCACGTAACAGACTATGTCAATAAATGCCCGACCTCAGACCATGATAATGCCTCAGACAAGGGGACAGACAGACTATATCGATTATGCCCGACCTTAAACCAGGGGATTGTTTCAGTGATTCCAGACCTTAGACCAAGTACCTCAGAAATTAAACGAGGAACTAATTGATGCCCCACTCTTGAACCGCCCCTGTGCTAACAATCAGAGACAAGTGTCGCTCGCTGATAGCACCTGTACTATACAATGATATGTAATTTAACAAAGTTAAAAAGAACTAACAGCGGATTACTGCTCAATTGGAAAGAGAGATCGGTCTAAGTAATGTAAGTGTTAATAATTAATGTGAAGACCTTAGAGGCAATTAAAAGCAAGGGGCTTCTTAAAAGTTGTCATTTTTACTTCTTACGTCTGATTAGATTTTATATTTCTGTTGCTGGTTGAGATTTCCATGATTTGAGGAAGTGACAATTGGTCAGACTTAAAGTTTTTGCATTTCATTTACTAGTATAAGTAACTGATTCAATGGGTAAGTTATATTCATATATATTTTTAATTGCTACAGGTTTGACGAGTTTTATTAAAGTGTTCATTTCGACCTCATCTCAAAACTATCATTAAACAAGCACACTGGGTTAGGCACATGGGTCACTCAAGATGTGATATATATTATGTATTATGTTTATATGTATATGTATATTATGTAATGTTTATCTACTGGTCGAATACTTCACAAATACAGGTTTTGCTAAAGGTATCCTCTCGAGAAGTATGTATTTAAAACACCTTGAATTAAATAATTGTTTTTCTATTATTATTTCAAATGCAATAAAGTGCGCGATTTCGGGGATGATTAGTGGATTATGATAACATTGTATGATATAGGAATTCGTAACTATGATTATGTTTTTTTGTTTCTTAAATTATATCTTTTATCTTTCTAATGTCAAATATGTAATATTAATTAATTTATGAAAACAACAATTTTGCAAGTTTTGCATTGCAAATAGTAAGTTATATTTCACCAAGTCGGCTTCAGTTGTAAATATTTTCTTTTCTAATGTCGGCTATTCACATTTTGAGGAAACGCTCATTTAATTAATACAACATGTGTCAGCAAACCAAAATGCAATTTGTCTAGAACCAACGAAATGAGAATATGATTCAAAACTTTTTTAGAATTAAACCGGACAATTTGAACAGATTTAAACACATACACTAATTTTCGAGAATGTATTGTATCTAAAAAGTAGCATTAGCAACTATAGACACAGAAAGTAGTCAAGCCAAGTAATGATAGTATACTCTTCTGGATTAATTCCTCGGAAATATATAGAGGTTTTTGAATGGGAAGTTTTTGATAAAAGGTATATCTGAGAGAAATACAATATATCTACCTGAAGGACCGTAGGGACTCTGTCACTGCGTTCCCGCGGGAAATATTGATATCACCCTTGTGATATTCCCCATATCGTATCCCTGTTGAATAACCTCTTTATCTCCCATTCACCACAGCAGGAGATATATATATCACTCGCTCACCTCAAATATCAATTGTATTCCCACATGTTATTTACCTACAACACTTCTAAGTATGGGACAAAATATAAATACAAGTACGGTACCGGAGACGGTTATTGCCATATCGTTATAGAGTTTCCTTAATGAAACACTAGTATGATTGAAAAGATTAGACTTTTCGGCATATTTAGTTGTATCTATATAGTAAGTTAGTGTAGGATGGGATTTGATAACTTTAGATCAACATTTGGTCAAAAATCCGTTAAGCGCACAGGTTAAATTATCTGGAATGAACTTCCAAACTCAATAGACTAGATGCGAGTATAAATAATCTTGATTTACGTCATTAAATATTCAAAATTCAGTCAAAGTGATGTCATATTTGAAATCTGCATGTAAAAGTACATCTAGAAATATGTAAATCTAAAATTATCTATCAACTTTGAAAATTTAATATTTTTGAAAGTTATTAAAACATTACGGCGTCTATTGCTGTGATGATTGAAGATGTTTCTTATTTTATAGATAGAACGTTGCCAGTGCCCATGCCATGTGCAGTATAAAGGACAAGAGTTTTGGCAAACATTACGGCGTTTATGGCTGTGATGATTGAAGATGTTTCTTATTTTGTAGATAGAACGTTGCCAGTGCCCGTGTCATGTGCAGTATGTGGGGACAAGAACTTTGGCAAACATTACGGCGTCTATTGCTGTGATGATTGAAGATGTTTCTTATTTTGTAGGTAGAACGTTGCCAGTGCCCGTACCATGTGCAGTATGTGGGGACAAGAACTTTGGCAAACCTTACGGCGTCTATTGCTGTGATGATTGAAGATGTTTCTTATTTGATAGATAGAACGTTGCCAGTGCCCGTGCCATGTGCAGTATAAAGGACAAGAGTTTTGGCAAACATTACGGCGTTTATGGCTGTGATGATTGAAGATGTTTCTTATTTTGTAGATATAACGTTGCCAGTGCCCGTGCCATGTGCAGTATGTGGGGACAAGAACTTTGGCAAACATTACGGCGTCTATTGCTGTGATGATTGAAGATGTTTCTTATTTTGTAGATAGAACGTTGTCAATGCCCGTGCCATGTGCAGTATGTGGGGACAAGAACTTTGGCAAACATTACGGCGTCTATTGCTGTGATGATTGAAGATGTTTCTTATTTTATAGATAGAACGTTGCCAGTGCCCGTGCCATGTGCAGTATAAAGGACAAGAGTTTTGGCAAACATTACGGCGTTTATGGCTGTGATGATTGAAGATGTTTCTTATTTTGTAGATAGAACGTTGCCAGTGCCCGTGCCATGTGCAGTATGTGGGGACAAGAACTTTGGCAAACATTACGGCGTCTATTGCTGTGATGATTGAAGATGTTTCTTATTTTGTAGATAGAACGTTGCCAGTGCCCGTGCCATGTGCAGTATAAAGGACAAGAGTTTTGGCAAACATTACGGCGTTTATGGCTGTGATGATTGAAGATGTTTCTTATTTTGTAGGTAGATCGTTGCCAGTGCCCATGCCATGTGCAATATGTGGGGACAAGAGCTTTGGTAAACATTACGGCGTCTATTGCTGTGATGATTGAAGATGTTTCTTATTTTGTAGATAGAACGTTGCAAGTGCCCGTGCCATGTGCAGTATGTGGGGACAAGAACTTTGGCAAACATTACGGCGTCTATTGCTGTGATGATTGAAGATGTTTCTTATTTTGTAGATAGAACGTTGCCAGTGCCCGTGCCATGTGCAGTATGTGGGGACAAGAACTTTGGCAAACATTACGGCGTCTATTGCTGTGATGATTGAAGATGTTTCTTATTTTATAGATAGAACGTTGCCAGTGCCCGTGCCATGTGCAGTATAAAGGACAAGGGTTTTGGCAAACATTACGGCGTTTATGGCTGTGATGATTGAAGATGTTTCTTATTTTGTAGATAGAACGTTGCCAGTGCCCGTGCCATGTGCAGTATGTGGGGACAAGAACTTTGGCAAACATTACGGCGTCTATTGCTGTGATGATTGAAGATGTTTCTTATTTTGTAGATAGAACGTTGCCAGTGCCCGTGCCATGTGCAGTATAAAGGACAAGAGTTTTGGCAAACATTACGGCGTTTATGGCTGTGATGATTGAAGATGTTTCTTATTTTGTAGGTTGATCGTTGCCAGTGCCCATGCCATGTGCAGTATGTGGGGACAAGAACTTTGGCAAACATTACGGCGTCTATTGCTGTGATGATTGAAGATGTTTCTTATTTTGTAGGTAGAACGTTGCCAGTTCCCGTGCCATGTGCAGTATGTGGGGACAAGAACTTTGTCAAACATTACGGCGTCTATTGCTGTGATGATTGAAGATGTTTCTTATTTTGTAGGTAGAACGTTGCCAGTTCCCGTGCCATATGCAGTGTGTGGGGACAAGAACTTTGGCAAACATTACGGCGTTTATGGCTGTGATGATTGAAGATGTTTCTTATTTTGTAGGTAGAACATTGCCAGTGCCCGTGCCATGTGCAGTATGCGGGGACAAGAGCTTTGGCAAACATTACGGCGTCTATTGCTGTGATGGCTGTAGTTGTTTCTTCAAGAGAAGCATCAGGAGAAAAATGGTGTATACATGTATAGGTAAACATGAACATACTTTCGGTTAAAATTGAAAAAATCTTGAGAAACTACAATGTAGAATAAATCTTCACCATTTTGACAATACATATAAAGAATCAACAGCAATGATCAGCAATCCTTTGCTGTATATATCATGTATTTCTCAAATAGAACTATTTCTTCAACATTATAATTATTTCCATTTGTAATCTGAGGCAGAATCCACGAGTTTTATAAATGTAGCCATAGTGTTCCGAGTAGCAAAAATGTTCCACTCGATGATTCCGTGAGTAGTACAGTATACTGTATGGCTATATGATTGTGTCGTAGGTAAAGGAAACTGTGTGATAGATAAAGCAAGGAGAAACTGGTGCCCCTATTGCCGTTTACAAAAGTGTTTCCTTGTAGAAATGAACAGAGATGGTAAGTGTTCAACCACACATATGTTTTAAACAACACATCTTCGCGTTTCACATGTTGTTATTTAAGCTAGCCTTGTAGAGAAATTGCCATTGTAACGGTGATTCGATTCAATTTATAATAAAATACAGTAATTATAAATGAAAACACAGTACATATAAAAGATTGAACACATGACATCAGTTATGATGTTTGTACCCGTACATGCAAAAGCAGAATATTACGATTATTATTATCAAACATTCTAAGATTGAGTTTTGTCTAAAAGAGAATGAAGATGAAGATCTTTTAAAAAGTTTATGCAACCTTGTTAATTTTTTAGCTGTGCAAGAGGAAAGGGGTCCCCGCAAAAACAAAGGGAGCCAGAATAAACATCCTAGAAATCACCAATCTGGTTCCTCGATTAACAAACTTCAAAGTTCACGGCGCATCATCCAAGCTCACAGGGCACATCCATATATGGACACAAGCCGTTTACTCGCGTCTCATTGGTCACACTTCAACCAATCTTACATGGGGTTACACATGAGTGCACGTCAGAACACGAGGGGTCGATTCTTGGAGGGAAATGACAGAGCATTAGATCTGTCGTTTGAAAGGAGTGCATTTACTCGAGTGGAGACCTTGCCTACTGAGGGAACAATGTCGAAGTTTTATCAACCAATGTTGACATCAGTTGCACCAGGAGATGATACAGAAAGCAAAACTGAACAAAAAGATTTCCGAACACCTAGTAAGTTAGTAATTTAATTACCTGCCATACATTGCATCGGAAATAGTTAGCAAATTAACATCCCAATTTTGAGACGGGATAGACGGGACTTAACACGAGATAGCTGTTCTTTTCGCAAAGTTGAATTTTTCAATTTGTGTATACTTTGATGTTTTAGATCACCCTAAAGATACTCCGAACACATGCACCCCCAACTTGAATAATCTCATGCAGGAAGTGAGTGCACAGATCTTATTCACTTCCATAAAGCGTGCGAGAAGCAACCAGTTCATCATGCCACTCATTTCCGTCGACCAGAAGTTGGTACTAGAGACTTCATGGAGTGACGTGTTTCTATTGACAGCCTCCCATTGGCCAATCGACATAGGACTCCTATTACAGAGGATGACACATGGTATTGACAAACAGGTGGGTGTTACTGTTCTTGGGACGGACGAACAAACATCCCACTTATGGGGGCTAGAATATAGTGCCCGTTAGTTGGCAATGCCAATTACCTATATACTCACTCTATGCAGGCTGTGCTATACGAAAACAAGCGGTGCGGATACCACGTGCGCACGGTGCGGATATGAACGATCATTTTGAATTTGAATTCGTGACATTTCATAAAATAAGTCATGTTCGGTACACAATTATAACATACATGTGTACAGGATCCCTAATAAAATGGAAATTGTACTAGGTGTGTACTTAATTCTATATCGACACATCGACCAATAATGCTCTCTCCAAAGCAAGTAATTTGAAATTGCAGCTGTTACACAGCTACCAATTCAAACGATATTTGCATTTTGAAAGTTGAAAGATTTCTGTGTGATTTTATACAAAATGGGAAACATTAAACGAAAATGTGCCACCTCTAAACAAGCGATGCGGATATCCGTAAAGTAACGATATCCGCACCGCTTGTTTAGATGTAGCACATATGCGATAAATGTTTTTAATTTTTTGAAAATTCACACAGAAAGTTTATGACTTTTAAAATACAAAAATAATCGATGAGTCATCTCAATCACCAAAACTGAATAAAGGCTGTAAATGGTGTATTAAAGCAGCAATTTCAAATTCTTTGCAATGGAGAAAGGATGATGCGTCGTTAAAGAATGAAGAACACAACATATAGATAAAATTTCCCTTTTATTAGATATCATCTCCAAGTAGGTGACTATAACTGAGTACCCAACATGTCTTAGTTTATGAAATATTTTACATTCAAATTCAAAAATAACCATTAACATCCGCACCTTTCGCGCATGATATCCGCATCGCTTGTTTTCGTATAGCACAGTCTGTATTGTGTGATACTTTTTTAGTTGAAATCGCTTATTCATGGACGTTAGAACCATAGTGTAACAAACCCCAACACCTAAAACAATGACCAAAGAAGAAAAAGCGACCACCCGCATCCCTCCTACATTCAGAAACAATTATCACAATCCAAAACATGATTATGAGAAACATCAACAACAAAGCATCGATACGGGCAAATATACAACTCATCTGAAAATGATTCATTTATTGAGGCTTTATGTAAGACTGGATTATAACTTCCTATTTCAGGATATGTCACAATATCAGCAAGTGCAACAATGTATATCAGGATGTCAAGCCCTCGGTGCAGATTCCAATGAACTGGCCTTCCTTGAGACCCTTCTCCTTCTCAAAAATGGTAAATAAGTAGTTTCCGTATCAAATATTTATCACAAATCATGATCGTTTGTAATCGTAGCCAGTCATGAGGCAGACGAGGCAATTTTAGACATATTCAATTAAACTGTAAAGATAAAAGTTTTATTATTGCCTCACCTATTTCAATTTGCCTCGCCTACTTTTAGATCCTGACTACGCCTCTGACGAATAGGCCTGTCATATATGAATTCTGATTTCAGACGGGAAACACGACCTTATAGAAAAATCGAAAGTTCAGATGTTAGAAGACCGGGCCCAGTTGAGCCTTGCACACTACGAGGCGCATGCGTACTCACAACATCCGGCTAGATTTGGAAAATTATTGCTTGGACTCTCAGTTCTGAAGTCAACAACATCCAAAATGGTGGAATCCGTATTTTTTAAAAACACAATCGGACAGGCAACAATAACAGAAATTATTCACAGCATTCAATAACCATTCGTGTAACTATACTGGGGAAATCGTGTAATATATTACTCTAGTAAATATGTTAGAAATAAGTTCATGTTTATAAATCTCTAGAGATTTTGCCAAAATGTGACTGAAAATTTATCGTTTGGTGTTTCACAAAAATATGTACTTATTATGTGCACGTGAAGAATTGTATATTTCATCATGGGCTTTCGAGAGAAGGGGATCGATCAATTTTAATGTTCTCTTCACCTAGAATGAATCGTTTTCTTCACCAAATTCGACTTTGTTCATAGGGTGGATTTAATATAGATAGTAAAATGACTTCAAGCCAAATATCAATTTGATTCTCTACCAATAAGTGTGTCTAAACGAGAAGTATTTGGGATTTATTCACTAGTAAAATGATGGCTCCGTAAATGGATAGAGCTGCGTGACAAATGACGACATGATAGTTCACATGTGTTTTACGTTACACACTATAGTCTATAACAGGCCTCCCGACGCGAACATCAGTTCTGACCTCGCAAAATTACAGTTCCTTGCACTCGAACCACGATTCTCACATTGCGAACGTGAAATCTTTAGTCGCACACCACCATTTCCTCGATCCCGAACACATTTCTCAGAACTGATGTTCGCGTTGGTGGTTCCAGTCTTGGAGGCCTGTATAAGAGCGGTTACGAAATCTCTCTATTGTTATAGATGATAGGTACTAATTTCAATAATGCCTTCACCCTTCTCGTTTTTTTAAACTAAAATACAAGCTATATGTACAAATTATGTGTATCGTTAAAAACAGAATAAATCGTTCATGTCATTCAAAATTAGCACTTGGTGGTAAATGCCTTACATTGTTTACCTTATCATGAGGGATATATGCATATCTAGATGTGCATATCTGACGACCGTACATAACTGCTTTACCCTATACCCAGTGGAGTTTTCTAAAGATTCATAGTTTTTCTTAATATTTTTTTGTAATTTTTTCAGATTTTTTCAATTATTTTTTCTAAGTATGAAGATATGCCCTGGAGTGGGATATATGGCGGGAGATATGGAGGTTCTGGATATGGAAATCTCAAAATCGGGATATATCTTACCAACTTATCTCTCTAAAACTCTAATTTGCATAGGATATACGCCACATTTCAATACATACATTTTTGTTTTATACACATAAGGATGAAATCCCTGCGACCTTCCAAAACATTAAAGATGACCAAATATTTTGAAGCATCTCTTTACTTTCCATTTATGATAATGAACATTCATTTAAAATACAAAAAATACAAATGTAAGAAAAATAAAATAAAGATTAAAGACACAGACAACTTAAACTATACCCCCTTTACCCACAACAAGTTCTAACTACGTTCTTGAAATGTGATTCATAGATGTACCAGTGCTTTGAGAAGACTATTTATAGCAGACTATTTTTTATTTGTTTTCCATATCAGGCAGATTGAAGGGGTGGTTGTCTTCAAATTTATTTATCCCAAAATCACTGTGATATGTTGTGATATGTTCAAGCGGTATTATCCTTGCGGTAGGATCTTGACTTTACATGACAAATACTCTGTTGGCATTGTAGATGGTGTCCATCATTCGAAACAAAGTACCCTATATGAAGTGAGTTATTATGAGACTGATGAAGACAAGCACAGATGGGAGAATGTGCCCTGCTCCATCCCCACTTCCTCCATCTTCATTTGTGAATGTGTCATCAGCTGCCTCAATTTCATTAGACTGTGAGTCGAACTCCTGAACCGTAACGGCTGCCTGTAAAAATAAAATAATAAACCAATGTGTGCAGGGTGATGCAGGCACAAAATACTTCATGAATTATGCGTTTTACCCCCTTACTTCATGAATTATGCGTTCTACCCCCTTACTTCATGATTCTAGATCCATACTCGCAAGTCTATTTCAGATCACGTGACATATCCGCTATATTCTAAGCTAAATAAACAAATGAGTTTTAAGTTTGATTGATCTCAACCAGTGTGAATCTACTAGAGAAAGGTTCTCACCCCCAACTCGTTTGTCTGTGAAACGTCGTAGCGACACGTTGCATCACTACCACAAGCCTCCTCTATCTGGGCCTCAGTCAGGGTACTGCTTGTCTGACGTCTTCGTCTTGTAGTAGAGTCAGAAACAGGGTCAACTATTACAAAAACGTCAAATAAATACTGTATGTACATTCATATTATCATAGAAAAGTGTTCAAAATGCCTATATGTTGTAATTACCTTGTATACCTTGAACAGATTAGGTGTAAATTAGTATCCACATGTGTCAGTGAGAAAATATTAAAAAGTGTTACAAAACATAGCAAGGAAATGAAACATTGACTATCACAACCAGTCATAAGGAAATCAAACCCCAAATATCCCGAACTATGATCTAGTAATGAAACGCTGTCTAATACCCATTACCACCACTATTCAGGGACCATCATCCCAATCCAAAACAATATTACCATGAGACATTTCCTTCATACTGAAACCAACAACACATGTTCAAGAAAAAATGAAAACCAATAATCTTGGCAACAAGAGTAGCAGAGGGTCAATATCCATCTATGAATCCGATGCCATAGTTCATGATCATTAAAACACAATAATTTCGGTTTGGCCGGGATACCAAGTGAAAATTTGTGGGTACAATGCAAATGTTATAAAAATCCCAACATCTTTGAGCATGTTAAAGGGTGACGCATATCGTTTAGCAAATCGAACGCTCGTTTCTGGTGTTGCTCACCGTTTAGTATAAAAGGCCCGATCCCGGAATAAAACTCAAGGGTTCACAGGCTCGAGGTCATTGTGTCAACACCTTTAACTTATATAGTATAAGTATATTATAGATCGTCACATATTTATAAAAGGGTGATTTTTATTTTGACAAATCAATTTCACATTTATGAGTGAAGTTTCAGGATCTTCTATTTGTGTATAATAAGGAAAAATTGACATCTTTTCCCTACAACGTAATAGCACACAGCTTAGCATATGAAATATCCTACAAATGAAACAAAGCAGTTCTAATACAAGGATTTATATTGGCTGTTGTACATATTCTTTGAACGCAATCACTCTATGGATAATGTTTTCAAAATCATTATAAACGGATTACTTTATCTCAAAGACAATTTCAATAAACTGGATTATACAGAACTCCCCTTATTTCTTAAAAATGAACTGATCCAGTTGATTCACCTGGAGCCGCCATATTGTTTTATACGGGATGCTTATCGGAACTCTTTAAAGCTTCGTAACTAATAATTTATATTTGTCAGCAAAGCTCTGAAAGTGTTGCTTCAGTTTTAAAAGTATTACCTTAACTTTAAATAAGCCTTCATTTTTTCATGGAAAATGGTGGCTAGGCCTACTTTGAATTCAGTGACCACCTTTAAAATTTCTTTTTGAGCAGATGCTCTTAGATGCAAAATTAAATAAAAACTACAACCACTGAGCGGTATTTGAGTTCTCAAAGACATACCAGATAAAAAGGTAGTAAAGGTACTATTCCTTTTATAACAGAACACCTCTGAAACTCAACGGGCTGCTCAAGTAATACGTAGTTATTCCACAAAGACCGTGACTTGCAGGTTAATTTTGGTGCATGTTATTGTATTATATGAAATATAGCAAAAATGTTCAACCTTAAAATTTCAATTATTATGTGAACACTCACGTTCAACTAACTGGTCTGACGTGAGTCCTTGAGCAAGGATACCACTGGACATTTCCAGTACTTCGCATGGTAGACGACTCACCAGCAAGTAAAGCGTCAGTGAATCAGACACCACAAACCTGAAATATGAAGCAATAGCTCACACATAAATCAATTCAGTAAAATATTTAGGCTGATTCATTGAAAATATGCGGACATCCTAATAGCACGATAGCGTTTGATATAAGAGTTCCTTCTAAACGTAAAAATGTCAGACTCATCAGAATTAAGCTTAGTACTAACCGGGAAAGCTGGACGAACGATCCAGTGGGCCCGTGTGTAATTCTGCGTCTCTTGCTGGTGGATGAGATTTTAATCTCCTCTGGAACACAGTAATAGATACCTTCATTTATATTTCTAACAAATTACTGAGATTTAGCCTAGCAGATTACAATTGCATGCACTGAATATATAGACGCATATCTTTCGCATAAAAATCATGAAATTTCTTAATAGCTGTTTTTCTGAGCACTGACCTCCAGCTGCACCCTGTTGTGTTACGTCATTGTCAAACGTTTCTTTGTAATTAGCAGCGTCCATGGTGTATTGCAGCGCAACTTCACCAGTGCTATGGTCGAGCAGCTGAAATTCAACAGACCTCAACTTCGTGGCTTGTTTAGCAGATCCCGGGATAGCTTCAAATGTTGCAGTCAGACTCATGTAGTCGTTTTTCAAAATGTCTACGACGCCAGATGTCATGATTGACGCCGTGACACGTTTAGTGGTAAAAGTCCCGTCTCCAGACTCACTTGGTACTTGCCTCTCGATGTGAGAAAGTCCAAACATACCAACAGTTCGTCTACATGTCGATTTCTTTACTTCAGGAGTGACCTAATTGTAATAAGAATATCTGTATGTGTGTCGTAATTGAGACTGCCAAAAGGATACTGAATACAAAATGCATTCTAACAAATCATAAAATGAGAAGTCAATTTTGTATGTCACCTCCAAACTACTAGACGATGACGCATCAGCTCTGCCGAGTTAGACTATTTGGAGTTTTGACTTATATCAATGTCAGATTTTTTAATAAATCCTGATGGGTAGAAATTGGGATTATTTCAATGGAGTTATTTTTCTATACTAGCGCAATTTTGATGAGGTAATTTTTTATTTAGCGAACCTCAAGACTAAATACAATGAAATAATTTTCAATTTTGACCTTCACCTGTACACTGTGTAAGTTTCAGGCATGCGTACATAATCTAGGTGACAAAGATGAAAGAATGATGAAATAATATGAGAAAATGAGCCAAAAACTAAGACTGGTCTTCATTATTTTATGAAACTTGAGCGTCTGTGTACTGGTGCCGTGGGATGTTAAGAATTTTACATTCAACAGTGAGTTGAATGTAAAATTGAAAAAGGAATGTCAGATCGGCATCATGGCCCTAAAGTTAACCAGTCTGAAAATGTTACCTCAACACGTTCACCAGCAGTTAGACAAGTCTCAGCAGTAATTCCACACAGGTCCTCAACACAGTAGGGAATAGCAAACAACATCCCGCATTTATAGCCATTCTTTGCCACGTTGTTAGGGGCGACTGGGAAATCGTCGGCGTGTTTCTCGAATAGTCTCCGGATGGACGTAGTAGCAGATTTATATGAACTGGAAAAGATGACACACTGCAGTTTTTAACCAATCCGTAATAGATACACCCATTATAATGAGAATAAAGTATATTCAGTTACAGGTGGATAAATCAATAAAGTAGGATATTCACGAATATAGATATTTTAACAAGAAAGCAATAACCCATGACAAAATGTTACCACCTTTCGAAGGTCATCGAAGGTCAACCAAATGTCAAATCTCAAAAGTCAGATTTGAACCTGAGAACTTGTAGATAATCTTAAAAAGATTTGGTCAATTTAAAGCAAGTTCGAAATGTACCCTTTTGACATTTTTACCTTGAGAAGGCCATTGAAGGCTCATATCTAAAGTCAGATTTGACCTTCTTAGAACTTGTAGATTTGGAGCCAATCTAAACAGTACTTGTTAACTTTTAGGAAATTGTAAGAATTTTACAAGAAATTGTTACAAGAATTTGTTACAAACGCCGACTGCCCTCCACAAAAAAGTTTGAGATCATAACAATACGTCACCTTGGTGGTGACATATAAACTCAACTAACACCTACCTGCAGATATATTGTTTATCAATCTTTCGATTCTCTAACTCTCTTTCGCTCATGCCGCTGGTATCGAGAGCTGGGTTGTATGAATACACTGCCTGCATAAACGCGACCATATATGTATTGGTGTCGAAAAGACGTCTTATCGTGGTGTTGTGAGGAATCGCTTCATAGACGTTGTGGCCTCTCACTGTAAATATATCAAGTCACTGTAAACTGTTTATAGGAACTTACTCCTATCCCTCTGAGTGAGCAAAACACAACCAATCCCCCTCCACTTACACCATATATTATTTCAAGAGTTTTCATGCAGGGCTAACACTATAATAATAATCACTCTCATTATCGTTTTATGATGGTTACCATCAAATTTTTGTTTTTAAATCTTTGATCTTCCTACTGGCTATCATCAAATTTTTGGTTGTAAAAATCAAAAACAATTTTTATCTAGAAGACAGAAAACAAGACCAAAATTTGTGTTTTTGTTTTTTGAAGAACTTAATGATATCTAATGATTGTTAAAATCTCAAACTCTCTAGATGTGTCTAAACACTTTTTCGGTGTAGTTTTGCATGATACTATGGATTTCTAAAAATTGAAAGTGGACGTCTTGGGCAGATTTTTATGAAACAAAATAAATGTATATATAAAAACTAAAATTAAAATAAAAATAGACCCTTGATTACACCCTTAATAACTTTCATATACTCAATTTGAGTGACCTGATAATTGCCAAAATTAACCAATAAATGACCGTATTATATTTTCTAGTAGAAATGTGTGTAGTTATCTATAAAGAGAGCATATCAAAGTGAATTTCTAAATTGTATTTTTGATAGTTTTGCTCATAAAAGGACAACTGTTTAACTCAGCCATAACTTACTAAAACTCCAAGGGATTTTGCTCAATTTGTAAATACAGATCAAGAACTGTCTAAATTACAATTTCAAAGCATTGAAAACAGGGGTTCTCCAACAGGACATAAAACCTTAACGAAGCGTCTTTAGACATGTTTTTGGTTGACACTACTTAGTACTGAATCCAATTAGAAAACAAGTTTTGATGACAGCTTTAACAAGATCAAGAAGCTTCAGACTAAGTTTGCAAAACTATTCTATTTCATTTAAAAACTTTACTTTTTCACTGTATAAATAGATGTATAAGTATAATACATACGGCCTTCCCACATCTCACTGAGGACTTTGCCATTGCAGACCCTTTTATAGAGAGTATATCCCGGGTTAGTGTCACAGTCGAGCTGGTCTGACCACCAAGACTCAAGTTCTCCATTATTACAGTCATCTATGGCAAGCGCTACTTTTTCCACCATTGTACCGAGTACCCTGAAATTATGATTAATTACAGAACAATGTCAGGAATATAGAATTTGTTCAGGAAATAAAAATCATTCAATATAAGCTTTTAATACATCCAAGGTCGTGAGCTTTTGATTAGTTTTTAGTTTTAATAGTCAGAAACCCATAGCTCTCTATCGTTTCAAAAATTTTACCCAACGTATCGGTCTCTGTTAATTTATGGCATCCATACTTTTTTGAAAGGTAACACCTTGAGGTTCAATTTTCTGCCGGATGCCCTTGCAAACTCTCATTGGTTGCTCTGTATTGTAGCATTCCGTTACCATGGTTACGCATCTATAGACATCTTACCTTGGAATCTTAAATCATTTGTAGCTTTGTCATTATTTTGTCTATAGAAATGATATTGGTATCAAATTAAACCTAAATAAATGTCCCATAGAATTATAATATTCAATTATGCAAATTAGCTCATTTGCATAAATTGTGACGTCATGAATCTATTTTTGGTTCAGAATTTTCAAGTATAGCAATGTATCTTTAAGAACTGAAGCCGTACGGTAAAATTTCTTCAATGTTATGACTTTTATTCTATGAGCAGAAGGTTTAAGCAACATAAAAGTGAAAACAGATTCAAAATTGGATCAGAACTAACAAAGTTATTAAGCTTTCTAGGCAGCTACCATGCACGTTATCACTGAACAATTAACTTTAAACATCTTACCTAAGAATTGATATGTTTGGTAGCTTTGTCATTATTTGGTCTATTAAAAGGAGATCTTGGTATTGAATTGATCCTAATTGAATAATCGGTATGGAAACGATATTCAATTATGCAAATTAGCTAATTTGCATAAATTATGATGTCATCAACCTATCTTTGGTTCAGAACTTCCAAGTATAGCAACATATTTATTAGATCCAAGGTTGTATGGCGTAGTTTCTGCATAGTTTGTCATTTATTCTATGAGTGGAAGAGGTATGAGCAACATAAAAATGATTCAAAATGGAATTAGTATTAGCTAAGTAATTCAGCTTTTGAGGCAGCTACTATGAATGTTACTATTTCACGGGATACTAGAGTATCCGCGTATATTGAGTATGACCGGTTCTAAGCTTACGAGTGTGACCGTATTTCTGTTCCTATAAACAGACGAGGTAAGTACTTGCTTTTTATGAACACTTTCGAACGTTTTCTTTTTATCCTACTTGGTCAATGAATGATACTTGGTATACTTATAATGCCAGGCATATCACAAGGGGCCTTAATCAAGAGAAAACGTATTAATATTAGATTGAAGCCGTAAAATCCTAGTTTCCAGCATCTTTGATCAGTTTTTGTGTAACACAACGCAACTCCGAAGAGGATGACACATCTTATGTATAATATATAGCTAGATCTACGAATTAGTCATGAATATTTTAAATAATTTAGCCTGCTCTGTCCAAATATGATACATCTTTGAATTTTTGAGAATACGAATGTCACTGGTGCCCCATTATTGGAGAATACGATTGTGAAACAATCAGTGGGCCGTGTTACACTCGTTTCCATGACATTTCACAAGCGTATCCTCTGGGAAAAGATAAATCCTTCTCTTGCTCACTCTACGGGGGATTATATAAACTGAGATTTGGAGATCTTGTTCAGGTTAGCCATAAAAAGTTTTGGGATTTGTTTTTTTCTACTGTGATATTAATGATTTGGCTCTAAGGCGAGAAATCTGTACTTTCTGATTGATATTCCATTATGAACAGTTACATTGCTAAAATAGCTCATGTTTAACATTTTTTGTTACATTACTATTAAATACAGCATAAACTATATTCAACAAACACAATTTCAAAAAGGATAATATAGAAGTTAACCTTTATTTTCCATTTTTAAGCAGCTGTGCCTCTCATGATTTTCCAAAACAGGTCATATTCGTAGCCTAAGAACCGGTCACACTCAATATACGCGGATACTCTAGTTACCCGTGTATTTGACAATCAAAAATAAAACACTGAAATAACAAAAATGAAACAAAGCTGATTCAAGCTTATCGAGTGAAATCTATATATTTTCCATGTCACTGAATTAGTTGGTGTATAGAAATGATACAAGTATTTATAATTTTGACTATCATTGACAGGGGTCAAAACAGTTTTTTTGATTTTGTAACATGATTTATTGTTTGTGAGAAAGTTATGGATTAATCAGTTAGTGAATGGGTGAATGGTATTGTGAAATCTGTTATGTAATCTATAAATTTTTAAACTGATTTGCTTCATAGGCGTCAATCTATTTAAAGAGATGAAACATCATGCCTGGTCAAACATCAATATTTGTTCTGCAGTGAACATCTACATGAACTTTTAAACATTATATTATATTATTATAGATTATATCATTGCTGTTTTTCATGTCACCACCAAAAGCGGTGACATATTGTTATGATGATGACTGCTGATGACGTTGCGCCATTCTAACACCTAACTGATTTTACCATACTATATGCTTTTTGAAGAAATAAATCTTATTTGTTAAATTTTCTAGCAGAAATCGGCTCCCCTTCACTCATTTTGTCAGATTACTGGCAGTGACATGAAAGATACAATTTTTATTTTCTAGGGTGTCTCAAAAATGTACCCAAAGGTATATCAACAGCAAAGATAAATCAATCAATATTTTCAGATATTTTTTGCATGGTCATTTAGGAAAAGCATGTAAGTTTTCTCTCCAATACTAAATTTTTAGTTCAGTCTTGACTTTTTGATGCTTTTTAACCCTATTTATACCATGTGTTTAATTTAACCTCCTTACATTTTGATTAGAGCCTGCATCCTTACTGCTACATTGTTTATCATATATGATAATGTTTTTGGTGGAATGTTTTGAATTTCCTTTCACATGTTGATCTCAAGTTGTTCTATGTCTCTAGGCTTGGGATAAGCATAAACATGGTTCTTGAAGTCATCCCAGAGAAAATGTTTGGGGTGTCAAATCTGTTGAATAGGGAGGCCCTCACAATGTCTATATGCTGATATGCAGAGAGAAGAAACTCCTTTTATGGGAATTTTTGTGTGGCCATTGCTGTACATGGAGGGGCTCAAACTGTGTTCTCATTTGGATTTCATTCAGTCTCCGTAACTCTGGCAGATGGAACTCCATTATCAATTAACCGCTAAATCATTTGACGACAATTGACCTGGTTCTCTGTGATTGTTCTCCCATCTTCAACCTTGGAACTTCTTTCTCTAGGGCTATTTGAAGGAACATGTTAAGCTTATCCAAACCCAAAAGACCTAGAACAACATAAGGCCAACACCCAAAGAGAAATTCAAAACATTCCACCTGAAACATTATCAAATGTGATGAACAATGTAGCACAGGGAAACAGGCTGTCATTGAAATATGAAGTTAAAAGTAAAGGCTTAGATCATCAAAAAGGCAAGACTGAACTAAAAACTTTGTATCAGGAAGGAAACGTACATGCTTCAGCAACATGACCATGCAAAAATGTCTGAAAATATTGATTGGTTTAACTGTGCCGTTTATATACTTTTAGGTACATTTTTTGAGACACCTTGTATTATTTATCATACCAACCTATCATAGTTCATAGATACCATTGCATTTTTATATTAAGTGTTAATGAAGCGTAGAAATGAATAGTGAGGGCTTTAACCCGAGAGTTTCTACATCCATATGACACTGATTTAATGTCATCAGTGTGACATTGATATCCACGTTAAAATCAACTACATGGCATTCATTCATGTTATAACCATCTACATGTATATGTAACATTGATATTCATGTAGCATTACCCATGTCTTGGACCCATATGGCAGTGGTTGAATTGTTCTTATGTATCTATTTCAGTGGTTTCATGACAGGGATGCTTTTTATTCTTAATGTTTCCATCATCTTTGTCACATCTCCATGTTCACCTCACCAGTGTGATTTGACTCGCAAATATCATCTGTGTGACATTAATTTTTTTTTTTTATTAAATTATTCATTTGTACAAAGAATACATACAATAATACAGTGTAATAATACATACTGTATGCTATTTTCATTCCATATTAAAGCTTCTAAGCTATAAAAAGTGTATATCAAAATAGTTTATTCAACCTCCGTCAATCATACTACGTGAACTCCTTTATTTTGCACTAAAATCTCCTGTTGTTACTGTTCTCAGTTTTGAATGGTATCCATATTCTTTGGGATATACCTGAAATCCATTCATTTGAGACTCATATTTTTCATAGATTTTTACATATTTCATATTTTGGAAACCCTTTAAAACAAGTTCAGATTTTAAGTCCTATACCACACATACTTCCATAAGAGTTAGATGTAGGAAACCTATATGTAGATGTAGGAAGGGTTAGTTAAAGTCCTACAAAAATCACATCTTTCAAAAATATTTTAAAGGGCATTTTTTCTTTGTGGCTATTTCGATCAATACACTTCAATTTCAGGATTACTAGTACTACTACTGAGCTCTTTGTATGGATTTTGTCATCATTTTTCATTGGATATCAAAGAGGTTATACTATGTAAAATTAAACTTTTCATTTTGCTTCCCGAAGTACCTACTTTCTGCTTATAGTCCATTTTCAGAAAAGCTATAACATAAACCATTCTAAGGTTGAATCACCAAGGATTTTGAAGGTTAAAAAATTCCCTTAAGTAGTTGTCACATTAGCTGTGTGGGCTCGCCATTTGCCACCAATTGACTTATTTTGGGCATTGTTTTTTTAATTAATTTACTTTTTATTTGGTGTGATGGGGATATCTTTCTGTAAAACTATTTCTTTTGCCCACCCTGTATTCATGCTGTACCCTGCCATCTGTCGGAAAGTATTTACATGGTGGCGAATGATGAGCTACAAGGCCTAAGTGTGACAGCTCCATCAAAGATAGGCATCCTGGAGGGTGTGATGTGACTCCCTCAATAATTGACACATTGGGACATGAGATGGAAATGTTAATATCTAAGTTCTAGAGTTGACACTCTATCTGTATTTTGAATATAAAATGGTAATTAAGAATTATTTAGCTTATGTCCAAATATCAACAAAATTTTGTTTTCAGCTTTATCACATGTTAGAAATCAAATGAAACCAGGAATACTCCTCCATATAAATTTTGTAAATATTGATATGTATATTTGTCAACATATGTCTAAAAAGCATAATTAAAGCATTACTATGTATTCATATGGATCATTGACAGTATATGGTGAATTATAAAATTGGATTTTGAAATACAGGATCAAGATCACACGATTTTGACCCCTGTGAATGATAGTCAAAATACATATAACATATCCACATACTTACATGTTCAGTTCAATGGAAAAATATGAACAAGTCATGTACATTTTTACTCAATAAGATTGAAACAACTATGTTTGTTTCTTTTTTCGTTATTGTAATATTTTTTATAATTGTAAAACAATGACGTTCACAGTAGCTGCCCAAAAAAGCTGAATAACTTTGCTAATTCTGATCCAATTCTGAATCTGTTGTCTCTTGAATGTTGCCTATATCTTCCACTCATCAAATAAAGGTCAGAACTATGCACACATTCTGTCATACAGCCTAAGTTCTAATATATATGTTGCTAAACTGGCATATTCTGAACAAAAATTGATTGATGACATCACAGTTTATGCAAATTAGCTAATTTGCATAATTGAATATTGTAATCATACAGGAAATAAGGTTTAATTTGATACCAATATCATTTCTATAGACCAAATAATGACAAAGCTACAAACATTTTAAACGTCCATGGTAAGATGTCTGAATATAATTGTCAAATAATGACATTCACAGTAGCTGCCTCGAAAGTTTAATAGCTTTGGTAATACTGATCCAATTTTGAATATGTTTTCTTTTTTATGTTGCTTATACCTTCTTCTTATAGTCTAAAGGACCAAACTTTGCAGAAATTCTGACATACGGCCTCAGTTCTAATAGATACGTTGCTATACTTGAAAATTCTGAATCAAAAATTGATTGATGACGTCACAATTTATGCAAATGAGCTAATTTGCATAATTGAATATCATTACTTTATGGGAAATTTAATTAGGTTTAATTTGATACGAATATCATCTCTATAGACCAAATAATGACAAAGTTGCAAATGATTTAAGATTCCAAGGTAAGATGTCAATAGATGCGTAACCATGGTAACGGAATGCTACAATACAGAGCAACCAATGAGAGTTTGCAAGGGCATCCGGCAAAAAATTGAGCCTCAAAGTGTTACCTTTCAAAAAAGTATGGATGCCATAAATTAACAGAGACCGATACGTTGGGTAAATTTTTTGAAACGATAGAGAGGCATGGGTTTCTGACTATAAATAGAGTTTTCATGTGAAGCAAAGTTTTCAAAATATGTTAATCCAAACGGCGGTAACCATCCCTGCAATCCCAACTCCACTTACTCGCAAAGTTCGTCTACAAGTGTAAAGTTTGCCTGATACAAGGCGTCTCCGAGCCATGTAGTTATCTGATCATAGCCTCCGTTACGATCGAAATACTCCATCATTGGGACCATGCAGTCATGTACAATCTCTGCCTCTGGAGGATCATCATAGTTGTCGTCACTAACATCCGAACTATAGTTAGTCGGAGCTCGTCGTGAGCAGTTCCAACAGCTGCTTAGCTGGCCAGTGACACTTGAAACTAAAAGCAAAACTATTGATGGTGATACTAACACTATTCTGATGATATGTTTACTAAGATGGATTTGATGTAGACACCCGAGGCAGACATCATTGGGAAACATATCATGTCAAGAGTGACGAGAGACAGGGTTGGATATTCTTTGAGCCAGGGGTTGGGCCTGCGTGATACTTATGATCCTTGAAATGCAATTATTAAAAACGTTGGTGCTTAATTGCATCGTCGAGTAAAACTATTTCGTGTAAACTGCAGGGAGAACACGAATTAATTTGAAGAATATGAACTTCTCTACAACTGTTTGATTTTAGGTTCCTTAATTAATGTAGCATGATAATAGCATTAATATAGATTAACATAAATACTGACTGGACAAAATTGTAAATCTATTATTTTATCAATTTACCATTGATTGCTCGCTATTTAGTGCATTTATTGAACTATCTCAATGTCCCTGTATTTAATTGTTCTCACGAGACAAATATATTAATTGAAGATCGATTTAGGTCTATTTAGGAACTTAACTAATTACAGGGGTTTCACTAGAATTTCTCACAACAGGCTAAATAAATGAAAACAACAGGCAAAATAAATGGAAATCAAAAATTTAACATGGAAAAGTCCCTGAACACAACAGGCGATTTTGTAACAACAGGTGAAAATCGCCTGTTGCCTGTTGTTAATGAAACTCCTGTATTAAGTTTGGGGGTGGGGGCGGTCAATACTGAAAGGTTTTCTATCCGACAAAATCAATGTTTTGAAATGTCATAAAAGCTGAGTTTTACTGCCTTCAAAGATATAGTAAAGTAACAAAAACTGTACTATTGTAAGCTTAATGGTACCAATCTAGATGCTATCCATCATTCTTGTAAAAATGTTGCGGAAACTTACCGATTTCCATCATATACATGTATTAAAGTTTTACTTTTTCATTTCAATTCTTTACCCCGATTTTCAACATTTTAAGAATTAAGTTTGAAGGGCGGTGAGGGTCAGAGGTCAAACTTGATTTGTTAAGTTTTTAAACAGACAGTGAACTTTTGATGCCTCCCCCAAGACCAGACGCACAGAATTTGTTCCACAAAGGGTACATGTTAGCATGTTAACGAGTTACAAATATATTTTCGATCGTAACATAAAGGAACCAGTCGTGTAATAAAAGGCAAATACCCCTTAGTCGAAACTTTGCCCATGGAGCAATATATTGTACAATATTTCTGAAATCTTTTAATTGATTGATTATTAATTGGCTTTATAATTGTTAGTAAATGACTGAGAAAGCAAAGCAACTACTTACAGCAGGAGCTATGATGAATCTAGTTTTAATCGAGAGCTCAAAAAGTATCTACATTTTTGATTTTGTTTATAAATTACTAGCTCGATCAGGCGCTGTAAAACGAAATTGTCATTATGATTCATAACGCAATTTAAAGGATCCTTACCCACTATTACGAGGAAAGCCAGGATCTTCAATACATTACTGTTCGCCATCATTATCAAGATTATGCGATGATGCGATTGGAAGTGAACAGGTGCAAATTAAACTTGATTTCTTCAAGTTTATTAGGATTGCTACAACACAAATATGTTGCATTTTTTTGCTAGAACACCACAAAAGCTGTAACCAGTTAGATTTATTATACAAATAACAACCAACAACAATAACTTGCATTTGTTTGGCCTTGAAGTTTTAAAAAGCAACATTAAATCAATATTTGAATCGATTTATTGCTGTAAAGTAAGCAAAGCTTATTATTTGCATCAACTTTAGAATGGTTATCTAAATCGTATTATTTGTAAAGCCTAAAAACGAGCTTGATCCTGGCTGAACTTAGCGGGACGCTGGTTTTTATCTAGGTCAAAAACTAAATCAAATTTTTTTTTTTTTCTCTAAAATAGTCAACACATATTCAATATTTTAGAAGAAATTCTATATGGAGAGCATGCTAATAGTGTTAGCTTTTAAGTACTAAATGCCCTAGTTTTGAGATATTTGAGTTTGAAAAAATGCTCAAAATAGTCATTTCCCATTTTGCTTCAAATCGCCTCATTTTCTTGTAAATCATTTACAATTTGCCAGTGCAGTTTATTATATCTGCAATCCGAATTTATATCAAAATTTTATTCGCGGCCCTTCTATATCCGAATTTCGAAAAATTAAATCGATTCTTTGATTTCAAATGAATGTCAGATAGGGCTGAAAATGTCAAGAAAATAAATAAAAAATGTCTAGGTTACACGCGTTTTTCAAGATTGGAACCTACAAATTAATATTTTCGGAATGAAATATGGGAAAAGCATCCATTTAGTTTGAAGGTTCTACACATTTAAGTAAATCAGTATATTCAACGATTTTGCACCAGAGTACAAAAACAGCAAATTTCGAAAGTTTCGTAAATCAAATCAAAGGGGTTAAGGTTTCACGTTTGATAAGGGTTAGAAACGAAATGAGGTTTAAGCTAGGATAAGAGTTAGAAATGGGCCTTTGTTAAATCGGATGGGGTTGGTGACAGGTTATTTTCGGACCTAAACAATAAATTTTTTACTATTTTGTCCCATGGGCCTCCATAAAAATTCGGACGTGAACCAACAGCCTCGAAAGTAGTCCTCCTGAGCATTTCAGAATTGTAACCTAAATTGAAATCGGCCCATTAGTTATGATGATGGACATGCCATGTTCATGTGAGTGAATCTCTGCAAACGCCGAAATATGAATGCCTAAATACACCTCTGCTCATCAAAAACCGCAATCGCCACATTTTATTACATATTGTCTTATTATACACAATGAGAATGATAAGAATTTACACACCGGGCAGTAACTTACTAATAAACGTAGCTTTAAACGGATTTAATGCATTGCTCACCATGTTAAATTCTTGTTAAACGCACTATCTATGTTACCGAAGAGAAGTGATGGAATATTAATCTATTTTAACCATTACTTTCATGACCGGCGTTTCATTTTGGACATTACATGATACAAATAACAAGGAAGTAGTTGAGTAGAATTGATTGTCTCCTTTTGACAACAACTTTTTTGAAAAAATAGGCCATTTTGAATTCAACAGTGAATATGAGAATTCCATCTTAAAGTGTCTCACATATTCGATCAAAACTTGCCATGTAAACATGTTAGTCTATTTTACTGGCCCCCCTTGCTGTAACAAGGAACCCAAAACACATTAAAACGTAAACATAAACCAATTAGTCACTTCACTTTGAAAGTGGGGGTGTTAGCAAATGTGTATTAGGCCATAAGAAGTAGATTCTTTGTTTTGCGTCCTGGCAAAATCCAAATCATGCAAGGGTACAAGGAAAACAAACACAAACTCAAGAAAAAAACACAAACTTGTTTGCTGAGAAATGTATACATTTTATGGGCATAAAAAGGGATGACATACCAATTTGCAGTGATCACAAACACATATCTATACATTTTATACAATATATTTAAACTTCAAGGGTAAAAAATAAGAAAATACACAATGTATGCCAAAATAATTATAACACTGTCAATTTTGACGCACATCAAATTATCCGCCATTTCGTCTGATTCTGATTGAACGAAATGTAATGGTACTTTCAGACCCTTGTGATTGATATTTTGATGTGTTTGTTTTTTCTGATTTACTCAAAATAGTGCAAGCAAGGGGACGCAAAGCAAAGAATTTACTTCTTATGGCCTTAGCAGAATAAGCTGTGTGCATGGACTAACACAATATCAGTGGTCATTTACTGTGTCAACTTAGTAACCCTTGCATATCGTGCTCACTCAAGTATTGAATAATTTTTTTATGATCTAAATGTTTGTGGTTTATAAAAAAAGTGATATATTTTAGTTAGAAATGCATTAATTAATATATTCATTCAAACAGCACTAGAATGCGGGAAGAAAGAGCAATGGTGACAAAATGCAGACAGAATTTTCCCTAAGGGTTTCAAACATTTCTGAACACAATCATACATGTACTTCATGTGTACTGTTATTTTTAGTGCTGTATTTATAGATATAATTTCACGTATTAAAATCATATTTTCCAGCAATGACTTCAAATTCGGAACCACACCCATATCACATTTTCTTCAATAACTCCAAACATGTGTAAACATTGACCATGTGCATATAAATTCAGATTTCACGGGCTCTTTCCTATTCGAGTACCTCATACACCCCTGCATGGATTTGAGTTGGATTCGCCTTTTATACGTGAGCCGACACACTCGCAAACGCTGATTGGATAAAGATTGCGAGAATCTTTAAGCAGACTTAAATGTTTATAAGGCATCAGCATATAAAATTTGATCCAAGTCAGTCAACTGGTATTTGAGTTGTCAAAGATAACATTATTTTTACAAATAATGGAGGCCATTTATTAAAATGAGTGGCCATATTGAAAATGCATTTTTAGCAGAGGTTCTTACCCCCATACGGGCCCCCATAAGACATTTTGAAAGAAAGCAGCCATATTGAAAATTTCTTTTTAAGTAGGACTCCTATGTTCTTAAGGCATCAGCATACAAAACCCGTCAACTGGTATATAGGTTATCAAAGATTACATTTTTATTTTTTCTTGAGCAGGACTGAGGCACCAGCATTTAAATTTAAACCAAATCCATTAACTGGTATATGAGTTTTCAAATATAAAACTTTATACAAAAAATGACAGCCATTTTGAAATTCAGCGACCATCTTGAAAGTTCTTCTTGAGCAAGACTCCCTAACTTTGTTCAATGGGATAATTAAAGCTTTTGTTACTGAGATTTTATTACTCAAAAATAAAATTCAACTGCTACATAAAATTAAAATGTTCACCTTTTGTTAAACATTAAATCATTTTCAACTTTATCAACAAAATATGGAACATCAGCATTTCCACAGTTGGACAACCTTTTACTTTATAACACACATTTTAAAGATATCAGTCTACTTGTGGAAAGTACATACTAAAGTATTCCCAGATCTCAAGTGAACTGGGCTAACTGTTTGCTGTCTTGTCCTTTCACTTATATATATGTCCTAGTATCTCTATAGAGAAACATTAGTCCAGTGATTCTAGAATGTTCACAATATGTTCAGTTAACTTTGGTACATTTTGTGTGTTCTGTGCTTCTATTAATGTTTGTAATAGTTTCTCTTGCTCATCTGGTTTGTCGTCACAAGGGACCTAAAACAAAAATAGACGAGGCATTAACAGAATGCAAATACTTGCCATGTTACTGCAATTGTTACAAAAGAGTTAACATTTGTTACATGTGCCAAATGTGGACTTCACTAATTGTTGGAAGCTGGACACTAAAATGGTGACATCATGGCAAGAGCATATCTATTGGAATCTTCTTTAAGTTCTTATCATGTACCATATCCACTTCCATACATCTTAAATGTCTCATGGTCTTGTGGTTTTAGATTTTGATAATGGTTGTTATGATATTGTTTCTTTGTGTATTAGCTGCATATACATGTAATATACATGCATTCTTGAAATATACAAACCATGGAATATAGCATTAAATTGTTGAAAGTATTTGTTATAAGCTCATTATCTAATATTTGCTATAGCTACAAGCACTGCTTACCCCCAATACCCCTAAAGAGTAGCAGGCCTCAGGTAATGGGGGAATTCCTAGACTATCTGTGTGATGAATCTTCCTTACTGACTCATGTAGCTGGAACAACAAAATAACATACCATCATTAACATGTTCTATGCAGACTTTTCTAAAAATATCTAAGCATGAAATACTCTTGATTAACTTCATTAAAAATTAAAAATTTAGTTGAAGGGATATCATATTTGATGTCTACATGTAAAATTGTAGAAATGTGGTTTAAAAAGTATTTACCAACTTTGAAAATGACTTCTAGGTAAGGGAGATTCCCCATAGACTCCATGTTACAAAATCACAAAAAGTGAAATACCTTTTCTTGTGTTGGGCAGATAATATTTTCTTTTACTAGACATAATATCGTTTATATAATTATCAGAATAAATATGAAAATTGATCCACTTAATCGGATAATATTCAAGTTTAAGGGAACTTTCTTATATACCTGCCATGTTAATTAACCCTAATTAGCCACCTAACTAAGAAACTACCTACTTGCATCTTGGTAATTGAATTTGACTATGCTCTCATCTTTTAAAATAAATAAATTTGCTTTTCAAAATGTTCAAGTTTTACATTACATCTGTTGATAGTGCAAGCTACAATCATCATCACAAAAAATATTTCAGGGTAATTCAGGATTGGAATTACAGATAATGGCCCCTCTACAGTGAATCTAAATGTCAACAACTTGGCAAAAGATCCTAATACTATAGCTTATAGTAGTAATAGTAGTTTGGGAAAAGTGTTTTTATACATGGTATAAATTGCTTGAACAACTCTATAGAGTTGTATACACTCATGAATAATTTCAGAGAGCTAGATGATACAATAGAGGAATTTCATATCATGGTGAAAAACTAGGAATAAGAATTCTGTATCATTCTTCATTGAAAATACATGTATAAGAGCATGAATGCCGCACTAATGAGGCACATAATGTATAATAAGTATATAAAGGTGAAGCAACATTATCAGAATGGCTTATAGAACATGCATAAATGCTTTAAAATCCAATAAAGAATAATACATGGTTCTTTATTGTAATTCAAAACACTTTCACTCCTTTATAAAAAATGCTCAGTTTGATATAAAACTAGAATGCGCTCTAAAATAATGGTCCTGACGCACAGCTCAGCTCAGCTGACTCCATATTAAGTACAGTGTACATGTATATTATGCACTGAAATGCTCTGAGCTGATTTACTGAGACACACTTGGCATATTTGAATTACAGTGAAACCTGAATATCCAAACACCTCTCAATCTGAACACGTGGTTCAAATCTTCAATAAACATTGAAATGTGAACATCTACTAATCTGAACACTTTGGATTGGTCCCAGTGGCATTCAAACAATACTGTACTAGCAAAAGGTATGCACCCTCTAATATTCCATCTACAATGAAGAGACCTTTTAGAAAACACATTTTCAGATAATATTCTTACTTTGAATCATCTGAAACCTCAAACGTTTTTTTGAAAGTGGACAACAAACACCCAGATACAATGTAATTAAATGGAGGTTTTGAGATACTGTTAGTCAACTTAATTTGGCGTGATTTAATTTGGCGAACTGGGCAAAATTGGAAAATTTTGCAACTCACCAAATTAAGTTGACTAACAGTATTCCATTATACTGTATATTTATTTAGTAAGTACATGTATGTGACTAAACGAGAAGTATTGTTCATTGTATTATAAGTAATAATATAATAGTAAATGCATATGAGCATGTGATATGGTGTTATATAAAAGTAAATGATTAGTCTTTACCTGTGATTTGCTTGCATTGTGTTTCTCCTTCTCAGATCTTGCAGTCTCATCCACTTCATCTGTCTTGTCAATGATTTCATGGATATCTCTAAAGATATACAAAAACAGCATTTACATTTTGAATACAATTAAGAAAAATATAATAATGTATTGTGCAATATTTTGGATATTGTAGTGAGTTTACGTGAAAGCTCATTCATCTCAGATCTCTCTTTTAACAGGAAATGTTGATAAAACATTTATATGTAGGAACAAGGTTGATACATCAATTTTTCTTGACACATAGTATGTTATTATAAAATTAGCAATCAGAGAATTTTTCTAAGTTCGATTTGAGTTTTTGAGTATTTCACTGTGTCTATAAAATCCATGTAATCCTACAGCTAGCTTTATTTCTTCATAGTGTGCTTATTGTTTGCCATGTTGTCTGATGAAGCTGATCTTCTATCTATACGCATCGCAAATGCAAACTTTGCAACAAGTTCATGATGAGGCCTCAGGGTGGCAAGCAACAGAGCAGGGTGGCAAGCAATTAAGCAGGTGACAATCAATTTACAAGGGTGACAATTAAACTGGGTGGCAAGCAATAGAGCAGGGTGGCAAGCAATTTGAGCTGAATGGCAACCAATGGAGCAGGGTAACAAACAATTGAGCTGGGTGGCAAGCAATTTGAGCTGGATGGCAACTAATGGAGCAGGGTAACAAACAATTGAGCTGGGTGGCAAGCAATTTGAGCTGGATGGCAACTAATGGAGCAGGGTGACAAACAATTGAGCTGGGTGGCAAGCAATTTGAGCTGGGTGGCAAGCAATGGAGCAGGGTGGCAAGTAATAGAGCAGGGTGCCAAACAATTGAGCTGGGTGGCAAGCAGTTTTAGCTTGGTGGCAAGCAATGGAGCAGATGGTAAGTAACTGAGCAGGGTGGTAAGCAATAGAGAAGGGTGGCAAGTAATAGAGCAGGATGCCAACCATTTGAGCTGGATGGCAAGCAACTGAGATGGTTGGAAAACAATTGGGCTGGGTGGCAAGCAATTTGAGCATGGTGGCAAGCAATTTAGCAGGGTACTCACATGTTATGCTGATCTATCATATTCTCTACTTGCTCCAAGAGATCCTTCTTTCTTATTAGTAAATCTCTCAGCAACTTCTACAAGATTATTCATAAACATGACTAATGACCAATGAAAAAAGTGACTCACAAATAACTTACAAATATTTATTGATGAATAATGTGCCTGAACAATTTTCAATTAAAGGGCTTCAATTCCCTGTTCTGTTCAAATCCTGTCAAAATCTCCAATATATGATAAAAAGTAATTTAATGTTGTGTATTTTTTATGTAGCCCCTGACAAGGTCTGAGAACTATTAATACTAAAGATTGCAACAATGAGATGATTAAGGCATTAACATGGCAAAATGTCACTACCTTGTAATACTATAGATTGAAACAATGAGATGATTAAGGCATTAACATGGCAAAATGTCACTACCTTGTAATACTATAGATTGAAACAATGAGATGATTAAGGCATTAACATGGCAAAATGTCACTACCTTGTAATACTATAGATTGAAACAATGAGATGATAAAGGCAGTAACATGGCAAAATGTCACTACCTTGTAATACTATAGATTGAAACAATGAGATGATTAAGGCATTAACATGGCAAAATGTCACTACCTTGTAATACTATAGATTGAAACAATGAGATGATTAAGGCATTAACATGGCAAAATGTCACTACCTTGTAATACTATAGATTGAAACAATGAGATGATTAAGGCATTAACATGGCAAAATGTCACTACCTTGTAATACTATAGATTGAAACAATGAGATGATTAAGGCATTAACATGGCAAAATGTCACTACCTTGTAATACTATAGATTGAAACAATGAGATGATTAAGGCAGTAACATGGCAAAATGTCACTACCTTGTAATACTATAGATTGAAACAATGAGATGATTAAGGCATTAACATGGCAAAATGTCACTACCTTGTAATACTATAGATTGAAACAATGAGATGATAAAGGCAGTAACATGGCAAAATGTCACTACCTTGTAATACTATAGATTGAAACAATGAGATGATTAAGGCATTAACATGGCAAAATGTCACTACCTTGTAATACTATAGATTGAAACAATGAGATGATTAAGGCATTAACATGGCAAAATGTCACTACCTTGTAATACTATAGATTGAAACAATGAGATGATTAAGGCATTAACATGGCAAAATGTCACTACCTTGTAATACTATAGATTGAAACAATGAGATGATTGAGGCATTAACATGGCAAAATGTCACTACCTTGTTATACTATAGATTGAAACAATGAGATGATAAAGGCATTAACATGGCAAAATGTCACTACCTTGTAATACTATAGATTGAAACAATGAGATGATAAAGGCATTAACATGGCAAAATGTCACTACCTTGTAATACTATAGATTGAAACAATGAGATGATAAAGGCAGTAACATGGCAAAATGTCACTACCTTGTAATACTATAGATTGAAACAATGAGATGATTGAGGCATTAACATGGCAAAATGTCACTACCTTGTAATACTATAGATTGAAACAATGAGATGATTAAGGCAGTAACATGGCAAAATGTCACTACCTTGTAATACTATAGATTGAAACAATGAGATGATTAAGGCATTAACATGGCAAAATGTCACTACCTTGTAATACTATAGATTGAAACAATGAGATGATTAAGGCAGTAACATGGCAAAATGTCACTACCTTGTAATACTATAGATTGAAACAATGAGATGATTAAGGCAGTAACATGGCAAAATGTCACTACCTTGTAATACTATAGATTGAAACAATGAGATGATTAAGGCATTAACATGGCAAAATGTCACTACCTTGTAATACTATAGATTGAAACAATGAGATGATTAAGGCATTAACATGGCAAAATGTCACTACCTTGTAATACTATAGATTGAAACAATGAGATGATTAAGGCATTAACATGGCAAAATGTCACTACCTTGTAATACTATAGATTGAAACAATGAGATGATTAAGGCAGTAACATGGCAAAATGTCACTACCTTGTAATACTATAGATTGAAACAATGAGATGATTAAGGCAGTAACATGGCAAAATGTCACTACCTTGTAATACTATAGATTGAAACAATGAGATGATTGAGGCATTAACATGGCAAAATGTCACTACCTTGTAATACTATAGATTGAAACAATGAGATGATAAAGGCATTAACATGGCAAAATGTCACTACCTTGTAATACTATAGATTGAAACAATGAGATGATTGAGGCATTAACATGGCAAAATGTCACTACCTTGTAATACTATAGATTGAAACAATGAGATGATAAAGGCATTAACATGGCAAAATGTCACTACCTTGTAATACTATAGATTGAAACAATGAGATGATTGAGGCATTAACATGGCAAAATGTCACTACCTTGTAATACTATAGATTGAAACAATGAGATGATAAAGGCATTAACATGGCAAAATGTCACTACCTTGTAATACTATAGATTGAAACAATGAGATGATTAAGGCATTAACATGGCAAATGTCACTACCTTGTAATACTATAGATTGAAACAATGAGATGATAAAGGCATTAACATGGCAAAATGTCACTACCTTGTAATACTATAGATTGAAACAATGAGATGATAAAGGCATTAACATGGCAAATGTCACTACCTTGTAATACTATAGATTGAAACAATGAGATGATTAAGGCATTAACATGGCAAAATGTCACTACCTTGTAATACTATAGATTGAAACAATGAGATGATTAAGGCATTAACATGGCAAATGTCACTACCTTGTAATACTATAGATTGAAACAATGAGATGATAAAGGCATTAACATGGCAAATGTCACTACCTTGTAATACTATAGATTGAAACAATGAGATGATTAAGGCATTAACATGGCAAAATGTCACTACCTTGTAATACTATAGATTGAAACAATGAGATGATTAAGGCAGTAACATGGCAAAATGTCACTACCTTGTAATACTATAGATTGAAACAATGAGATGATTAAGGCAGTAACATGGCAAAATGTCACTACCTTGTAAATTGTTACAGATGCCCAACTCCAAACAACATCCACAAAAAAGCTGGAGACTATAACAATATGTCATCACTTCTGGTAATGACATAAAAAATTGAAAAAATAAGATGCCCCCCTAAAAAAAATTGTGCCCAAAAAGGGTTTTGGGCCCAAATTTCCTCCTACCCACATAAACTGGCTGGTCAAAAGAAGATATATTAATAGCAAACTGACATAAATGGGCATTACTTTTTAATTTCAGGCCTAATTCTAAAGAAAATGGGCACCAGATTTCAAATTAGGGGTTCACTTTTGAAAAAAGACCCTAAAATGTTTTACAAGTGATTTATCAATTCAATTAATGGGTGCCCCATTTTGATTTCCAGGAGTGCCCCTAACGTACCAGTTCAGTGCCATCATAGACTTGGTCTTGACCCCTAGCTGGAGCACTAGTTTTCCTCATCACATGCTTTATCCTGAAAAATCATATACAATTATAATATATTTACATTTGTATAACAATTGCAAATTCTCAATTTTATAGTTTTGGCATAAATGAAATTGCTCTCAATTACTTATGAACAAGCTAGTTACTATAGCTTCACCACCAGATGGGAAACTTTAGTCAGACAACATGGCCAATTTACAAAATATTCCCCAAACTTGAATATAACTAGATTTGGTAAACCTGTTTTCAGTATTTTGATTCTGATAATACTGTTAAAATAAATTATATTCTGTTGAGTACAAGAAAAGATATCTAGCTTTCATCTAACTTAAATTAGAAATCACATTTTTAAAGAAAAAAATTAAAATTTTGAAATTGACTAATAATTTTTAAAAACACATTTTGTAAGTTATTAATGCAATAACAGAAAACAAAAACATTCAAAAACAAAGGCATTAACATGACACAATGTTATTATTTCAGATTTGAATTTCTGGGATCTTGTAGGTGATTATGAAAAAGTTGAAAAAAGACCTTTTTGACCCTGAGAAGGTCATTGAAGGTGAAATCTCAAATCTAAAGTCAGATTTGAACTTCTGAGAACTTGTAGATAATTTTGAAAAACAAATTGGTCAATTTGAAGCAAGATGAAAAAAGACTGTTTTGACCTTGAGAAGGTCATTGAAGGTCAAATCTATTTTGACCTTGAGAATGTCATAGAAGGTCAAATCTATGGCCAGATTTGAACTTCTGAGAACTTGTAGATGATTTTGAAAAAAATGGGTCAATTTAAAGCAAGATAAAAATACCTTTTTGACCTTGAGAAATTTTTTTATACCTAGAGAATGTCACTGAAGGTCAGATTTGAACTTTTGAGAGCATGTACAGAAAAAAGGGTGCATTGTCCTTTACCAATCATATCTTTTTTATTTTTGTTGTTATCATACCAAACTTTCAGAGGTATAATGTATGTATACTTTGACTAAATGGAGAAAATTTCAAAGAATTTCGCATATATGATAAAAAGTTAGAAAGGATTGTATATAACAACTCCCAAAATTGTGAGTGTGACTTTTTACCATGAATTAACGTCATAAATTTGAGAAATCCTATACCCAGCAATGTGCACAGAAGGGGATCTTCTGAGACATGAAATTAAATTGTTAGTTACATTTAGAGGAATAACATCATTTTACAAAGTCTTGAATCCAATAAAACTTTGTGAAAAATATCAGTTATAGAATGAAAGTCTGATTAGTTACAACCATTTTGTGCTAGAATTTGAGGTAATATCCTTCAGATTCAGAGGTCTCTTCTCAGTTCAAAATTAGGGGTAGGGGTAACATATACTACAATAATTTTGAAATTGTCAGATAATAATAACCTTTAATCTTTCTCAATGACCCATAAATATGTTATACATCCAATAAAACTTGGTCAAATCTCAAAACTGAAGTCTGATTTGAACTTCTGAAAAAATGGTTAATTTGAAGCAAGTTGAAAAAAGACCTTTTTGACCCTTTTTGACCTTGAAAAGGTCATTAAAGGTCAAATCTTAAATATAAAGTCAGATCTGAACTTCTGAAAACTTGTAGATGATTTTAAAAGAAATGGAAGTCAGTCTAATCAGTATTTGTAAAGTTATTGGAAGTTGTAAGAATTTGTTACAGATGCAGATCGCCAAAAAGATATCTTGATTTTCAAGTTCAAATGCAAATAGGCCCTGATATCTATTACTGAGTCTTCCACCTATAACAGATATTGCCAATCTGTTGAAATGAGAAATTTTACAAGTAAATTTTCTATTAATTACAATACAAACCTATTCCATGACATATGCTAATACCCCTAATTTGGAAAAATGGGCAAGTCCAAAAACAACAGGATAACCAAAGGAGGATTGGAAGCCAGGGTTCCAACTTGATATTCTTTAATCTCCACGCATGCGTCATTTGCTATTCGTGTCTGTATAATTTGTACGACTGCATGGAGAATGACCCGATACTCTCCAACAAAGCTATCGCTAGGTGATTGTTTTGCAGAATATCGGTGTTGCATTCTGGGAGCCAATCCTCCTTGAGGATAACCTGAATCCCTCTAGGTCAACTGACCTAACACCCCTTTATATGCTATATCTTCATAATTGTACGCAGTAAAACTTAAAAATACTGCGGGGAGGCCGGGTGGGCCTATGGTCATGGAATAGGTTTGTATTGTAATTAATAGAAAATTTACTTGTAAAATTTCTCAATTACATACAATCCAACCTATTCCATGACATATGCTGAATTCAAAGTAAAGGAGGTGGGACCCCGATTAAGCCAAAAGTATAATAAATATGGGTACACCCCAGTTCTCCGAAACCCAGTTGTCCGAAACCCAGTTCTCCGAAACCCAGTTGTCCGAAACCCAGTTCTCCGAAACCCAGTTGTCCGAAACCCAATTCCCCGAAACCCAGTTGTCCGAAACCCATTACTCCGAAAAATAAAGTCATAATTTACCAGAGAAAGGGGGGGGGGGGCGTAGCTTACTTAAGCTTACGTCAGTTTCATGCCATGTATTTGGCCAAATTAATGGCATGGACGCATTCTGTTATTCATAGATCTCTCTCTCACTTTGAATTGCATCCATTGCATGGCGTTACCAGAATGGCAGGAACGGGAGATTTATTTTACATTGTGATTCTAAAAAAGGTTATTAAGACACAATATATATTACGGAACAGTTTATCTTATCTTCTTCAATCTCTTTTATATAGGCAAAATAAAATGAAACATTTTGAAACAGATAAAATAAGTTATCGCATAACACTTTAAGAATGAAACGTCGCATTTAATTTCTTAGTCTCGGTCTCTTATCAAATCGTAAAAGAATAAAACATTCTAAACTTAATCACTTGGGATTTATGTTTCGGCATTCGTTTCAGGCATTTGTTTTTTATGTTCTTCTCCTGAAATATATTTGTTTGACAATAATCAGAGAAAGTGCGTATACGTATAAATATGCCACTCAAACAAACGGGTGTGACTTCAATTTCTTGTCTGTCTGAGGACGTATTGGGAACGAGGTAGAATTAAAGAATTCTTATGAACGAGTCATGCAAGATACTAGAACTAGTAAAGTAATTATGTATTGGATAAGTTAATTTCTGATGGATCTGGATAAAATATATTTCCAAACTTTGTAAACACTAGATAACTTCATTTAGGCAAATATAGTATCTTGATATATTTGGCTATCATGCGTTTAAAATACGTTCCTAAAACTATGAAGACGTTGGGTGAGAAATATTGCTATTGTACGTTCGAAAAGTATTTGGTTGTACATGTATTTTGTAGTTCTCAAGTTACCCATGAACTTTCGTGGGCTAATTAACGTCTTGACTTAGCATATTTAGCCTAATTTTGCAATGATGTCAACGTGATTCAAATGTTATGCTGTCGTGATTCGCAGAGGTTGCGACAAGATTCGTTTTAAGAAATTGTATTTTTTGATAAGATCCCCTAATTTTCGGAGAACTGGGTTTCGGACAACTGGGTTTCGGAGAATTGGGTTTCGGACAACTGGGTTTCGGACAACTGGGTTGACCCCAATAAATATATATACACAAGTACTTATAATAAAAAGTAAATTCATATTACCAAAAAGTACTCTGATCTCACAAACCATAGTGATCCCTAGTAGAACAGCCACCGTCATCCATTGTAAGGCAGAGGCTGTGACACATCTGTATAACTGTTATTGTCCTATCATAGTAGGCAAGTACAATTATGAAGATATAGCATATAAAGGGGTGTTAAGTCAGTTGACCTAGAGGGATTCAGGTTATCCTGTTGTTTTTGGACTTGCCCATTTTTCCAAATTAGGGGTATTAGCATATGTCATGGAATAGGTTGGATTGTATGTAATTATGATCTATATGTGTTCACAGAAGAAATTATTAAAATGATTACACAGTAAACATTAAGTATCGTTCACAAATGGTCATACCGAGATGCAATCTGTTGCAATTTATCCCTCACTTCATCTTCTAAAGTGGAGTCTGTCAGCATGACACTCTGCCTTTAAATACATGAAATGAAATTAGCAAAGCAATGTCAAGAAAAAACACAAGGAGTAGGGAAAATGCATCAACATCTGAGAAAAACATAATAGGCTCAGGGCTTGCATTAACGGCGTCCCGTACATGTTAAGGACTCAAAAATAATTTGGAGGACGCAAAGATTGAAAATATTTCCGTTTTTTAGACGCAAATTTTTTTTAGGTCAATACTACAATGTGTTTACAACGATACCTAACAAAAACAAATAATTATGATCTCTCACCTTTATTTGAATCGTAAATAAGGCTCAACATGTTGAATATTTACAAATAATCATGATTCTCTCGAATTTTTCGACTTTGTTTATTTTTAGATTTGAAACCATGACACGCCACAGTTTTTCCTATTCAGAAACAAATATTAGGTTATTCATGAAATAAAATGTATTCATTGTCGAATGAACGAACATGCATTTATTCAGTCCGTACTTAAGGTTTACTTCCGTTTTAAATTCGCGGCAAGAAATCAAAAACTGAAAGGTGTTTTGGTTAAAATAATGCTTTTAAAATAAAGTTATACCTCAAAACAGGCTAGAAATAGGGGACACACTTATTTTTCAAAGGACACACTTTTTAAAAAAAATTGCGTCCTTGGGACTCACAAATTTTCTAACCTAATGCAAGTGCTGCAGGCTACATGTTATCCAATAGGTTATAAATACAGGGTGGTCAAAAAACTGGAAACCCTGTCGCCATTTTCCTCATATCTTTGTCATTTTAGGAAATTACTCCCTGATATTTAGCACATTTGTACATCATTCAATTTCCTACCGGCCTAATATATTTCATGACCATCAAATTGATAGTCACAATGTTACAGCACTTTAAACATGCTCCATTGGCCAATATTGCACTTTCGGCAAACCTGCACCTATCATCCAAAATGTCCCTACCTAACTTCATCCTGTGGTGATACACCAAAAATGAGTGTACGAGAATAACCCCAGGACAAATGCAAACCTCAAAAAGCAGATCATCCATGTCATTCAGGCCTTGCCTGCTGAAAAATGTAGTCAGATCATTGAGAACCTGTTGAGATTTGCCAATAGCGCGATGGTGGCCACACTGGGGCATCTTGTTCAAAGTGCTGTATCATTGTGACTATCAATCTGATGGTCATGAAATATGCTTAGCTGGTAGGAAATTGAATGTTGTACATGTGTGTCAAATTTCAGGGAATAATTACCCAAAATGACGAAGATATGAGGAAAATGCAGGGTTTCCGTTTTTTTGACCACCCTGTATATAGATGTATGAGGAATCAGACCTAGGATCCTCAAATCTAAATCCTGATGTTGTTTAAACTTTGCCATAAAAGCTTAAGCTATTCTGTAGTTAGTGGCTATCTAGAGTTGTTCCGTTTCATAAATCTCCTAGCATGTGCACGAATTTGAAGGAAATTTGAAAAATGTTTTTCCTGGAATTGTGATGACAAGATGTATAAAAAAAACTTCTATAAAATGGATGACATAAAACAAAACAGCCACTCAACACAACAGTTTGTCAGTTCTAGAACTTGGTACCATCTAACATGTGTATCAAGAAGAAAATCAATGAATTGATGAATAAACAAAAATATGCAAACTGTGATAGAGAGGTTTATAAATACAGTATATCCCTCAGTCCCTTGGGAAGAGATGGATACTTATAGGATATCCTATGATTTTGAGGAATATCGTTTTTATCTACGAGGTGATATTGATATCTGCATGAGAGAGCAAAGCGAACGAGTGCATATATAAATATCATTCACTGAGTAGATTAAGATGATATTCTGAAAAAATCATAGGATGTTCTTATTATCCTACACTTACCAGTTAGTGTACAAATCGGTATAATATGATTAAAATATAAATTATATGTAGTTCAAATAGTTCAATTTGGCACAAAATCAACAAGCGGAGTATATCGTCACAATATCCACCGCATATTGGTTTTTCGGCGTATATCGTCACAATATCCTCTGCATATTGGTTTTCCGGAGTATATCGTGGCGACATACTCGAGTTATTCATTTTGACAATAGATATCAAATTTATTTTTAATTGTTATTATACATTTAGTACACTAAGTGTAGGATAAACTCTAGTATCCATTTGGATAAACCCAATATCCTAGACCATTTAAATAACTGTATCATATTATATCAGATGATAAATAATATTAATCTAAAACATTTGGTTTGTGTTTACCTTGACATGATAATTCCAAGCTTAATGATGACATGATGTAAAATTGGTAATTTAGTACACAGATGCTCGTACTAGTATTATGATTCTAGTTTCTAAATATTTTTTATTGAAGATGAACTTACTCTAAACATCCTTGTACAATGCTGTTTACTCTCTCATGGGTTTTACTTTCAATTGGTTTCCATGACAACTGCCGTAACTTTGATGCCACCTTCACAATAAGATCTGAAAGAAACAAGATCCATTGATTACCTACATGTATGTGGTAGTAGTTACCAGCTTCAACACCATTTGGTTGACTTGGCTAACAGGCTACGGCAACATTGCAGATAAACAAAGTTTGCATAATCTTAGGATGTCCTCAAAGCAAAATTGAAAATGATGAACCGCTAATTTTCATTTTCGAAATCTAAAGTGTATACCATGACTAAGCGTTTCTGTGAGTTTGAGAAAAAAATTAAAGGACAACTGAAATAACTTTTCTCAACTTGCAGCTACAAAAACGCGGTTTTCTCCATTGTAAGCCCAACGTAGAGTTCTTGCGATAGCCATTATAAAATAAATGTTAGATAACTGCTAACGGTCATAGATAACGAAATAAAACTAACTGATTAATCAAATTGGCCCCCACGTGATTAGTAACGTCATATACAAAATATAGCTTTGGTTTATCGGTTTCTTAGTAATCACAACGTCACGGCAACCATAGGATTGTTGTGTAAACTAATAACAAAACATTTCGGCATTATGACGTCATGATCCAATGGACCAAAACGGGCCATGTGGGGACCAGTGAGAGATCACGTGGGGGCCAATAATGTCACAACCAATTCGAATATTGCTTATTAAGCAGCTAATAACGATCGTTAGAGTAAAATAATTTCCACACTACTGATGAAAAAACATGTCCAAATACATCTATCAAAAAATTATATTGATTCCTTTTAGGTTAAAAATACCATTTCATATCTGCTTTAAGTACTCCAAAGAGTCTTTTGGGAGTGAAAATCTGAACTTTCCATGACATCCAATGAGTAAGTGTCCATGCCCGCTTTTGTCAAATATTGACACATTTTAGGTGCCTCTCATTTACAAAAAACACACTAACATATGGTCTTAACATATAACATTTCAATATCCTTTCTTGCCTGCTAGAATCTCAAAAAATTGTGTTTGAGAAAAAGTTAAATACAGTAAAACCTGTCTAAAGGGAACACCTTAAGTACCTCTGAAGTGTTCCACTTTGGAGGTGTTCGACTTATTGAGGTTTATTTAACATTCAGTTGTTCGGTCTCTGAGCTCTGAGAAGTGTTTCACTAACAGAGGTGTTCCACTTTACAGGTTCCACTGTACTATTTCAAAAATGTTAAACCTCCAATCTTAATGAAAATAAGGTTCTTGTATCTTGTAATTATCAGAATTAAAAAATTTATTGCTCTCTTTGTCAAATGAATGCATTACCATTGTCAGAGTCTGAAGAATGCTTCTTCCTCTTCACAACTTTTTTGACAACAGACTTTTTCTTGGGACCCATCATTTTACGTATCTGTACTTTACTCTGCGTTTTTTTCACAGATGTTTGCTTTATCATGGTGGCTATTGCCCTAACTGGCTTTTTAGACTTAGTTTTTGCCATTGTCATCTATTGTCTATTAAATATGTGCATCAGTGTCACTTGTATATGTGCAAATGTGTGAGTCAGCGTGGTTCAATGTCTCCTGGAATGCATGAAGCATCACTCAAATTGGGTTCATCAGTGTAGATTTCTCAGGAGCAAGCAGTTATTAGCACAGCTGCAAATACAATAGAAATCTTATAAGTAGTAAGATGCATTTAAAATAATCAAAGATAGCCTTTTTAATAGGGATATTTCCAAAATAGCCCTATTAATACCCTTCAAATCCAATTTTCAAAGAATATATTTGGAGAAACAATAAAAGGTGAGTGAAGACGGTTTCAAGTTATACAGAAGTCAATTTGAAACTCAAGAATGTTTTCTTTGACTCATATCAGAGCTCTCGAGTGTCCCGCGAATAGCGGGATTATCCCGAAAATTTGGCTAATTCGCGTGTCTTGCAATGTCCTGCGAAATCCAGCAAATGTCGGCTTTGACTTCTACAAATTTTCCAAATTGTAACAATCCTCGAGGCTAAATAATTGTGATTATCTTGTGATATAAGAAGCTAAGTTTTTTGCGCTTTTGAGGAGTAAAGTTTACCTAATTTGAAAAGTGCTGCCAAACTCCCAGTGCATCAGATCATCGAAGACTGCTTTTTATTTGGAAAGAGCATATAGTCCATTTATAAAACTGTGATGTTGATCCAAATAACACCATAGTTGGCTTCTCAAGTACCTAGTATGCCGTTTGGTATCAAAATAAAAAGGAAGAGTGCAATTTTCATTTTAATTACGAAAATAGGGAAGTATGTCACGAATAGTTCCAACGTTGGCCTTTTTACTACGCGTGTCACGGCCTTCATCTCAGAACTGAGCAAATGTTAGCAAACGCGAGTTCCAATAAATGGACACTGATATTTCGAAAAGAAACCTGACTCCCTATAATTTGATGTAGATTAATCGAACCCCTATATGAATAGGTACATTTTATTATATAACACTATGGGGGTAAATGTTTCATAGTTGGTCACGAATGCCATAAGTGCAAATATTGTTCAGAATTTTTGAATTTGGTGTTGGATTACGGTACTCACACCTAAACCGTGGTTTTTTGGTAGTTTAATAATATTTCTATGCGTATTGTGTAGAATTGTGTTTACTTAAGTTAAGTGCATCATAGCCTATTATATTTGATAAATCAGTACCTGAAAGTTTGATTTGAGTACTTTTACATTAAGCCCCGATCACGCAAATCCCTTGAATGTCCCGCAAAATCCCGCAAATTTAAGGCACTTTGCCTAAAAAAATCTGTCCCTCTATGAAGTCTTTGGTAGTTACCCTGTTAACTGGGCTTTGTATAAAAAACCTCCTACCTCATACCCACCTACCCACCTACGTGGACCATGATACGGTCATTGAAGGGTTCAATTTTTTAAAGATTATTAAATCTCAAATAGCTCAAATTATTAACATTTCTACAATTCCGGCTTTATTTTATGACTAAACAGATGACAGATCCATAAATAAAGGCATATGGATGCATTTTAATGTGTAATGACTCGAGGGTGCCCCAGGGGAATAAATAACTAACGACCATGAGCATAGGTACCATCCAAAGAGCCAGATAATGAAATTGAAAGAAAGTGTGCTAAATTCGATGCTCCGAGTGGGAATCGAACCCAGCTGGGATGTAGTAGTTACTTGCGATCAAGGGTCGTTACAAATGCATCTATAATTCATCATAAACTAAGATGTAATAAACTAAGATCTTTAAAATTGAACCCTTCAAAGACTGTATCATGTCCCACGTACGTGGGTAGGTGGGTATGAGGTTTTTTATACAAAGCCTGTTAACTGTCCCGCAATTAGCGTCTTTGTCCCTCGAATGGTCCCGCGAAATCCGAGACCCTATCATGCCATGGTAGTGTTATCGTGATAGCCTGGTATAACAGTGACAATGCTATATTATAAATGCAAGGCCTGTCATTACCGTGGTAATGTTAAAGCCTGATGACCGTGACAATGCTATACTATATTGCAAGGCCTGACATGACCATTGTAATTAGGGTGTTTCATTTTTGGAATTTTTTTTCCGATCAAGTTGCTATTCATACATTATGATCTATGGTTAGTAGGGACCGCACAAAAAAAATTTCAGCCAAATCGGACATCGTTTACCTCACCCCCTCAAGCCATCTTTATTTGACTCATTTAGCATGAATACATTAGATTTAATTATGAAACATGTTGTAAATTGAAAACTGACATATAAAATAGGTGGAGTCCTATATTCTAGTAATAAATGAATTACAATGTCAAGTGACATTTGAAGGTGTTTTGAATGCATTGACATATTTCTATTGATACAAGTTTCTAACTTGATGCTGCAAAAAGATAAAATTGATGACGCCCACTTTCTTATATCTTCCAGGGGTATGGCACTATAAAGTCATATTAAAAATATGAAATAGTACTTAGTCATTATAATTAGTTGTATTAAAATATCGGAAATAGCATGGAAATGATTTTAGAATACTTCTTTGAACAGTACAAGCTGTCATCATTTGCTTGAAGCTACAAATATAAAATAGATGAGACCAAAAAAAGATGTGTAGTGGATCAAAATTGACACAAAAAGTTTGATATCTCTGGATTCAGTTGTCATAAAATGATGTTTAAACCTGCACATCGCTCCAAAACGCAATATGTTGACATATATTGTTTTTACATTTTCAAGCTCTAATATAAAGTTTATGTAAATAAAAATTGTTTTTTTCTGCGTAATATCAAAGAACAATCATTTAGTTAAAAAAATAAAAAGGCGGATACGGGATTCGAACCCGGGCCTCCCGCGTGCTAAGCGAGGATTCTACCACTACACCACCGTATTCTTGTGAAGAGTGGAAGTAATTAAACGCTACTTATTTTGAATGCTATGATTCGGAAGTGACGTCACGTTCTTCATTTAGAAACCTTTCCAAAATCATATCGCCGGCTCCCATCGAAGCAAATTCAATGAAAAATCTTTGAAATGACACATTTATCGTAAGTATTTCTACACAAGATTTGCCCCACTTGTTCATCATTCTATAATCTTTCATTTAGCTCAAAATGATAAAGTTCACCCCCGAAACAACCCAAGATTGCGTTTCGGAGGGAAGTCCAGCTTTAATGGCTCTTTAGAAAGGCCTTTTTATGTATTTTATGTAAGAAGCCATAATACAACATTTTATGACAACTGAATCCAGAGATCTCAAAATGTTTGTGTTAATTTTGATCCGCGACACACTTTTTTAGTCTCATCTATTTTATATTTGTAGCTTCGAGCAAAAGATGACAGCTTTTACAGCTCAAACAAGTAATCTAAAGTCATCTCGTTGCTATTTGTGATATTTTAATGCAACTATTATAATGACTAAGTAGTAAGTACTATTTCATATCTTTAATAACACTTTATAGTGCCCTACCCCTTGAAAAATATAAGAAAGTGGGTGTCATCAATTTTATCTTTTTGCAGCATAAAGTTAGAAACATGTATCAATAGAAAGCAAATTAATGCATGCGAAACATCTTCAAATGTCACTTGACATTGTAATTCATTTATTACTAGAATATAGGACTCCACCTATTTTATATGTCAGTTTTCAATTTAAGTACATGTTTCATAATTGAATCTATTGTATTGATGCTAAATGTGTCAAATAAAGATGGCTTGAGGGGGTGAGGCAAACGATGTCGGATTTGGCTTAAAATCTTTTTGTGCGGTCCCTACTAAACATAGATCATAATGTATGAATAGCAACTTGATCAGAATAAAAATTCCAAAAATGAAACACCCTAATGGTAATGTTAAAGCCTGATATGACAGTGAAAATGGTTGCAATGCCTGTCATGAACGTGGTAATGTTAAAGCCTGATATGACCGACTGCAAGGCCTGTCATGACCGTGGTAATGTTACAGCCTGATATGACCATGACAATGGTTGCAAGGCCTGTCATGAGTGTGGTAATGTTAAAGCACAATATGACCGTGACAATGGTTATATTAAGTGACATTTAGTAGCATGAGAAATGAGAATGCTGTAATGAAAAATGTTATCGTTTATCTACCTTGAATATGTAAATCTAGACTACTACTACTGCTACTACTATTACTACTACTTTAAATCATAATTCTTTTCCACAAACTATAATTCTAATCTCATTCAAGAACGTAAACATTGTCACAGTCATATCAGGCTTAACATTACCAAGGTCATGACGGCCTTACAACCATTGCCACAGCCATATAAGGCTTTAAGGTACAGCTGGAAAGTAACATTTTGGTAAAAAATTGCTATACCTGCACATGTTATTTTCTGGTACAAAATAAAGTATGAAGGCATGTGTCAATTTCCTTGCTTTTTTCAGGAAAGTATCATTACATTGTCTTCTTTTAGAATATCTGGTAGGGGTTCAATGGAAACTCCAGGAAATTCTGATATTTCACACTTTCTATTTTTCCAAATTTTCTTTCAAAGTTTCCAGACAACATAGGAGCTACCATTGACCTGTTTCTAGATATTCTATAAGTAAATAGTGTAATGATACTTTCCTGAAAAAAGCAAGGAAATACACACACAACTTCATACTTAATTTTGTACCAGAAAATAACATGTGCAGGTATAGCAATTTTTTACCAAAATGTTACTTTCCAGCTGAACCTTAACATTACCACCGTCATGACAGGCCTTGCAATATAATATAGCATTGTCACATTTATACCAGGCTTTCACGATAACAATACCACGGTCATGGCAGGATCCTTGCGAAACTTAAAAACACTTAATAACATGGTGACGGTTGTGCCGGGCATAAGTCTTGCAATAGAGAGCATGTGCGAAATCCTGCGAATTTGATCAAAATTTGACCCATTATTAGCCATGTTTTATAAGCAAATCCCTTAAATGTCCCGCGAATTTAGGAGGACGTCCCGCAAAATCCCGCGAATTTTTGGCACTGGGTCTAAAAAATCTGTCCCGCGAGAAAATCTTTGGGGTTTGACAGTACTGTCTCTATATATTTATATCTGTATACAAATATATATATATGTTGTTCCCGTGTCTGTGGTTCTCTATCTATTCCCACCTAAATGCCTGTCTTGTTAGTTCTAAACCCTTTTTTGTGAAAGGCAATAGCCTATACGCCGCGAAAAATTCGGAACTTCAAGTTCAACTTGTGAGCTTGTTTATGACTAAAATGAATGCTTAGAAGCATTGAAACTGCCTTTAAAATTTAAATACCTACATACGTTATTGATGGTTACCTTATTTGCTCTTCCATTGATCTGTGGCGGTAGTAAACCAACGTTTTATTAGTCATTGCATGAAATATTGTCAACAGCCATTTTGAATTTCAAAGTTAACATTTGATCAACGCTACAAAATAACTCGCTACAGCTAAAAAGTTTCCCTTTGGGTGTCTCTACGGTAATTCATTGATAAATATTGAAAAATTCACAAAATTAAGTTCTAGGGTATATTATATAATCATATTCGAGCGAATTATCGTATATAATACCTATACTTCTGCGTTAATTTGACTTATTCGGTAGTCAGAAGGCAGATATTCGAAATTTGATCCAAATGCAGTAACAAACTCAGTCATTTCTTAAGAAAAGTTTCTTCTCACCCTCTGTTCAAGCATGGGCTCTACCATATTTTTTTAGAATCATCCACCATTTTGAAATTTAGAGGATTAATCAGAAGAAAATGTAATTTGATTCTACTCAGCTCTCTGACGCCAGAGACGTAGCACCCGGTACGCCCATATTGAACAGAAGCCCCCCCCCCAGGCTATATACAGATTATAGTGGAGAAATTCCCAAAATCCATGGGTACGACTGGTATGCACAGGCGTACCATATTGTTGCAAATACACTCCAAATACAACCAAATTGTATGGGGGAGAGCCCCCAGACCCTCCTGGACGCTTGTTTTTCACTTTGTTCAACTCGTGTTCCTGTGCTGGTGTACTAATCATAAAAATAGCGCTATGACAATGACGTCATTTGTTTGTCACTTTTACCAATCAGCGACGTTGTCTTCTCAATACACATTTACATCATAGACATATGTCTTATTTGAACCCTGCTGGGGTTATTCCCCTCTTGAGGTATGAGGTTCCATATCCATCCGCCAAAGGGTATGACCCCTATATAGTCCATTTAAAAAACCGTGGTATTGTTCTAAATAACGCCATAGTTGGCTTCTAGGGTACCTAGTATGCCACTATTTGGTATCAAAATAAAGAGGAGGAGTTCAACTTTCATTTGAATCACGAAAATAGCGATGTAGGTAAAAATTAGCTCCGACGTGAGCATGTTTACTACGCGTTTGCCCGTCATATCAGAATTGAAGAAGTGGTAGCAAACGCGAGTTACAGAAAATGGGCGCTGATATCTCAAAAAGTACCCTGACTCCCTATAATTTGATGTAGATCAATTGAACCCCTATATGAACAGGTACATTTTGATATATAACACTATGGGGGGTAAGCGTTTTATAGTTGGTCACGAACGCCATATGTGTAAAGTATTGTCATGAATTTTCGAATTTGGTGTTGGATTACGATACTCATACCTTGAGTGACAATTGCACATTTTCAGTTTGGGTGGAGTAATACCAATATTACTCAGAATTGAGCGTCATCTAGCGAACAATCAAAAATGGATTTTCTGAAATTTTCTGAATTTTAAAGTGAGTGAATCTTTTCTTCCTAATTCCAGTAATCTGAAGGCGTAGACATTGTATTATCATTTACCTCTCACTAAACAATGTTAAAGAGAAGGCATATAAGCTTACGAGACTGAAAAAAGAAGACGAACTGTAGAGTGATCCGAGTCGGTCAAAAATAATCACATGCTATCTATTGCAAGACTTACGCTTGCCACAACCGTCACCATGTTAATCAGTGTTTTTTAAGTAGCGCAAGGATCCTGCCATGACCGTGGTAGTGTTATCGTGTAAGCCTGGTATAACCGTGACAGGCTGGTATAACCGTCACAATGCTGTATTCTATTGCAAGGCCTGTCATGACCCTGGAAGTGTTATCATGGAAGCCTGGCGCGACCGTAGCCTTTATTGTGGTTTATAAGCGAATGTGAATATTAATGTATAGTAGTAATTTTGATTTTGACATGATTAAGGTAGTGCAACACCATGATCATAGTATTAAACTGTTTAATTGTAATGAGGATCACTTAAAATTGTTAAGGATATTCCTGGCATTAATGTGTTGTCATACATATTTACTGGTCATTGCAATACATTATAACGGTCATAGTAGAACTAAGCCTAAATCTCTACATTACCACCCTCATACCTGGCCTTGCAATACTATATTACATTGTCACGGTCATACCAGGCTTTGCGATCCCATAATACATTGTCATGGTCATGCCAGGTTTTCAAATACACATTGTCACGGTCAATTATAGCAATTATAAATTTCTACATCACCACTCTCATACCCGAACTTGGAATACTATATCACATTGCCATGGCGCATGGCGGTCATACCAAGCCTTGCAATACTATATTACATTGCCATGGTCATGCCAGGCTTTGCAATACACATTGTCACGGTTATAGCAGTCCTAATCGTAAATTTCTACATCACCACTCTCATACCTGAATTTGCAATACTATATTACATTGTCACGGTCATGCCAGGCTTTGCAGTACTATATTATATTGTTACGGTCATACCAAGCCTTGCAGAACTATATTACATTGTCACGGTCATGGCACGCATTGCAATATAATACAGCATTGTCGCGGTTATACCAGGCTTTCACGATAACATTACCACGGTCATGGCAGGATCCTTGCGCTACTTAAAAAACACTGAATAACATGGTGACGGTTACGCCAGGCGTTAGTCTTGCAACAGATAGGGTCTCAAAATAATAGTTATCCAACAGCCCATTTCACTTTTTTATTTCGTCAGTAGAACCCCAAAAAATAAGAAATCAGGAGACCATCGTGCAATAATATATGGAAAAGTATATTGTAGGCTGCATGAATCACAGACGACTTCTGGTGAAAGGAGATGATTCCAAATTTTGAGTAACATGCTATCTATTGCAAGACTTATGCCTGGCACAACCATCACCATGTTATTAATCAGAGGGGGAGAAATTATCCCGTACCAGGACTATAGTCCTGCACTGAGCGCATTCATTTGCCTGTACGATTACAACATGGGAGAATTACCTACGCCCCTTACACCTACCTCAATGCATTATAGAACTCAAAATGTAAATTCTAATATATTGGAACCGCCGATTGTCTGGGTATATCGGCAGAACGGGAAAATTTCTCTTTTTCATTGAGAGATTCCATCACTTTTCAAAATGGCGGTTGGATTTAAAAGGGGAATCCCTTGTTTGGCTGTCCCAGATGTAGCCCTGAAGTACCAATATGGAGGAATTCGACGGTTGAAATAAGTTAAATGTTACAGGCAAATATTGCGATCAAAAACGAAAATGTCTTCGTTCTGCCGATAAACCCAGACAATTGTGGATTCAACTACACGAAAAGAATGCTAAAATACCAAGGAATCTATTGAAGTAGGTATCTGAAGTGTAAGAAGAGTAAAAACTTCTCCCATGTTGTAATCGCACAGGCAAAAGATTGAGATGTTCACAGGACCATAGTCCGGGAAAGGGATAAGGGAGAAACACCAGGTTTCAAAGATGACATACGCTTATAATGTAAATCTGTATTGAGATGACATCGTCGCTGATTGGTCAAAAGTCGACAAACAAATGACGTCATCAATGGCGGTTTCAAAATTTTCGAAATACGCTTCGAATAATATTATGTTCATTTCTGGCATGTTAACCAATATCATAGCTTGTTATTTCATATCAAGATAAAGAAAGGTGTACGGAATATGCCTATATCAATTAAAACCTCCCATCGAAGTGTAGTATTTGATAACTAGCCGATGAAAATTCAAACGAACGAAGGTGGTAAGCAAGAGAGGTAATTATGTCTGTCATCTTTAAACTCTGGGGCTTTCCCTCCTGTTGTTATTAATTAAGAAAGTGAAGTGGAGGGGGGATTTATATGTCTTTACGACAGAACAAATTCACAAGAACTCGTGTATTTGAAAAACCCAACTCAGTACCCCAGTAAAAACCGGATATCATATCTCTGGAGAATGAAAAATGGGAAAATTTGGAGTCATAAAAATAAATTCAAGTAGCATGACTTATCATGTCATATATACACTTTATCCCCCCCCCCCCCCCTCCATCCACTCCCCCCTCAATCCAATATTAATTTATGTCGATTATTTTTTGTATAACGCATGGAAACTAACTTTAAAAAGTGAGCATTGTCATTAGTATTGTGATAATAACGTCCCTTATACCTATTTATTACAGGTCGTGTAGACCATTGTTGCCCGATTTATAGCAAAAACATTGACTTTTGCACGTTGGTGATGCACCTTTTTTAATAGATCTCATATCTTAGAAGGATATCAGTTCAAAAATATATTAGATGACCTAACATATTTTGCCATGCACTGCGCCTATTCATTTGGCAGTTCAGTTGTAAAGTTTCTCTTGAAAAATAAATCTTCAAAATTTGTTGAGTTTTCTTGCAGAAATCGTCTAATCCCCCCTCCATCCATTTTGTACGATCACTGGGCATGTTTATTGTCTTTCAAAGTTAACAGACTACTATTGGTCAGTTCAAACTTAGGTAGGTAGGTAGATGGAAATCCACCTAGGTGGCCAGCGGTGGCAGATTTAACAAACCCTAAAGAATAACCTGATAACATGAATATGATCTATCACGATTGAACGGTTATGTTCATTTCCAGGTGTTAATTAAAGATGTTTCCGCCACACCCTAAATATTTCCTGGTGAGAGTCCTGCCCATAAATGTGGGGTTGATGATTTGAACAATCAACTCCACATTTATATGGGTAACTATGTGGAAGGGTATGAGAAAAGGAAAAGTATGAGATCTAGGTAAACTATACACAGGCAAATCTCAAACAGTACTGTATGGTACAATTTTGGCTGCAGTACTGTATGGTACTATGAATATGGTACAGTATGGTACCATAGACTAACACAGTATAATATGGTACTGTTAACATACCATACAGTACACGAGTACAGCACTGATTCCAGAGTGCGGAGTAGAGGTGTATGTGTTATTAGGTTGTTAAATGATTGAACAGCTTTATTATTTCTTAGACAAAATCCTTGTGTTGACTGTCTTGCAGAGAAAAATGATGTCCTGTTCCAAGTAGATCTAGCTACAGTAGCTAGTTGCATGTATTTCAGTCACATTTCTTTTTGATGATTTGAATATCTCGGACAAATGTTACCTAATGTTTAACTTTCAAATATGCATTAAAAATATAAAATGACAAGTACCCAATGGCATTTCAGGTGGTAACCTGTCCATCTTTGAGAGAGAGGCAATTCCATTTAAAAGCTGACATCTAATGATAATGCAAGTTATATTTTCCATTTTCAGGTGTAAATAAAATGTAAAAGATGAAGTCATGGCAGCGACCTTTGACCTTGCCATGTGAACTGGAATCTTGGGACAAGGTTACCAATGCATTAGCAGATTTACGAAATATCCGCACACTAGATGAGCTGAGGAATGCCTTAGACAATCTCCAACAGATTTCCAGTGAGAAGAGTCAATCTGATAAGGGGGGTATATATTCAGGCCTATTGTATTATTTACAATATGAATGCAGTGAATGTGAGCTGGATCTGTTCATCAACCTGACCTTGACATGCATCGTTGATCTAGTCAGAACTTCACAGGACATTAGACAGAGGCGACAAAGTCAGACAGATAATGGTAGGCATTTACCTGGCCTCCCACCTGGCCTGTTCTATAAAGTCAGCTGTCACTTCCAAATACTTTTTTTATTCAAAGAGTTATATATGTATTGCCTATAAAAATAGATTTGTTTCTGCAAGACCCATAAATGATATGAATGTATTGTATTGCAGGTGCTAGTTTGACTCTAAGTCAGGAATATTTGCAGTCACTTTTAGCATCAGCTTTGTTGTGTCTCCTACCACAAGATGGCACCTCTAGTCTTAATTTTACATCACTTTACCGACAAATACCTTTTAGGTGAGTTAATTCTTAGAATACTTGTATTCATTTGTATTTCTGTTCTAAATAATAACTAAAAATAACTAAGAGCTAATTTAGACCTGAAAATGTCAAAATTGCCAGTTTCTCTGGACATGATTCTGACTACTGATTTCAACAGACAAGTATCTATCTAAACTATGGTTTAGATAGAGGTTATTTAATGCGAGGGATTCAATATGGGTTTAATTCAGAGGGACAATAATTTTTTTTGTATTTCCCTAGGGCCTGGAGGGCCAGAGAGAAATATCATATTGTCACGAGGAGGAATAAACTGAACGTAATAGGAAACTTTGTTTGGCAAAACTTCTTTGGGAGATGAATACGTTGTGAATGTGATTTGAAGATATGACATATCACATCGATGATGACATCAGTAGCAAATAAACAAACAAATAATAAACATCATTATTTTGATTCTATAGTAATCTGTGACATCATTAACATGTTACCTTACCAACAACAAAACAAGCATTTAAGTTTTGTTCATTGTCCTTCCCTGTGATCTTTTATAGAAGGTGGATCAGTTTTCTCGAACATATGGCCTACATATTTTCTAGTGATATTTTCACTGGATTATCTTGTTATTGGCATGTAATGTTTTTTTCTAGCTCTTTGGCCTCCAGTAAACTCAAGACAGTCCTAACATACATGGAGGACATCAGTAAACATTACTCAACAGGAGAATGCTCTCCAAATATACAAATACAAATGAAGGTGAGTGCTATTTATGGGAGGACAATCTCTCCTATGATACCTACCTAGATAGTGCATGTAGTAATCTTGTATAATTTAATTAAGTGTTTCCAAATCATACTGAAGTATTCCTAGAAATGTAGAAATATCTCATTTTTTGATGGTCAGTGTATCGATTGATTGATACCAGAATATACCAGAACTATTTTGACTTTGCAGTTTCTGTTATAATCATTTGGAATACTACAGTTCAGGTTTCTGGATCACGCACTCGATTGTAAATTGGAATATACATACACATTTTGATAATGGTTACACATAAACTGTGGTGATTCTCGTCAAGTTGTGTAAGTCTTGTATCCGATTTCAGCCAATCCGAACACAGTATTTTCACGTGACATCAGTGCGTTAAATAATCAATAACGCATTCATTATATGTCGTCGTCATGGTGAGGGAATTGAATTCACTGAGATTTGCCAATTTGACCCTTGCAAAATTTTCATCGAAAATATGTTGTTTTTAATTAGTGTTTTTATATCTTTTAAGTGACATGGAAGAACATATTTTGTAATGTGTTGAAATAATTTAACCCCAAGACTCGATGCATTGTGGAATGACAATTCCTTTCAGACATTGTTTCCTAAAATTAACACTTGATACATTAAGCATCTCGTGCAAATTTTGGAAAGCAACACCTTCAAGAAATGGTCATTCCACATTGCACTGAGTCAAAGGCTTAAATCCTTAAACCTACTTGTGTGTGATTTGTACCCAAGAGTGTGATTCTCTACCTGATCTTAATGTGAAATTTACCGATAAAAGCAGTTTATACAGGAGAGTGCTGTTTGATACCTACCTGTGTTAAGGAACTCTTCAAAATAACTGTTCAAGTGAAAATGCAATTTTTGTTGTGATTTGAGTTATTATTTTTTTAATTCTAGTTATGTATTAAGATATTCAAAATAATCTTGATAGATTGATATTTCAGACAATGGAGACATGTGACCTACCAAGCCTCAGTGATTGGTTGATGTCTACAAAACCACTCTGCCAAGTTCATATTAATGAAACAGTAGACAAAAACAAAGAAGAAGGTCCTACCAGGAAAACTTACACCGATGCTCAGACATCATTTACAGTGAATGATCCACCCCGAAATATGAGAAATCAATTAGATGAATGCAAACTACGTACATTTGATAGATTTGAGCCAAATCAGAAGAGGCCAAAGGAACCTGATGCCATACATGCAAGAAATACACATCTGATTTATATTGATCAGAATGACAATACATGCAACCAGGTGAGTTTTTCTTAAACCCCCCTCCCCTGTCAATCAAGGGGAAAAAGAGATGGGCATTTTACTCATCTATGACATCTGGACATGAATTTGACTTGATGCATTGCAGCAAAATTCTGGTTAATGTTATTAGCATATGAGACACATTAAATACTAAAAGTAGAGTGGATGCTCCATTATCCCACTGAACAAAGTTTGCATGAAGCCATCTGTCAATTCAAGTGTCCGGGAGATAACTCAAATACCAGTTGACAGATTTGGTTCAAATTTTATATGCACAAGTACCAAAGGGAACACATCAAATAAAAGAAAACCAAAGTACATTCATAAGGAAAACAAACCCCACCTATTCCAAACCATTATCTAATGTGAAACAGTGAAAAAGAAACAATGTCTAATACCCCCTCCCTCCACTGTTCAAGTAATATAATCACAATCCAACACCACAACACCAAGGGTCATTTCATTCATACTGAAGTCATTACAATACATGTTGAAGCAAAAAGTCGAAAATTGATAGCCCAGGCATCCATGAGTCTTGGGGTGAAACTGTCAAATATGTTGATGTTTTTGAAGAGTATGCCATTTGGTCATCTACCAACAAAACGTACAACTCATTGGTACAATTCATTATATTGTTGATCAGTGTTCCAATTTAAAAACATTACATTTTGCCTCATATGGATATGGACCAACATGTAGGATTGCTGCTGCATTAGCTTTATTCCCACGCTGCTGACCCTTGATTCATTTCTGAATGCATTTTATGAGCTAATGCATACATCCTCTTTATGAACATTTTTTATGAAAAGCAATTGAGTATATCTAGTTGTATGTAAATACACAAGCAATGTCTACTTTTGTTTTTTCAGGAGATGTATAAACATCCAGACTTGTTAGTCGCTAGTAGTTACCAGGAAGAACTAAGAGCAGGGGATGCTCTCTGCCTTACAGCAGACAACAGTGTGAGTAAATGTGAATACAATATAATTAGAGCTCATTTATTATATCAACATGAACCTTGCACATCAACATTACACTTAAACCTCACCTTTCAGGGTTCAAAATTAGCATTGCAGAAGTAACTCTTTCTTTATTTTATTTACTCAAATCACTACCTAGAAACTTGACCAAGTAGTGAATATAGTTACCTGCTCACATAAGGACTGGAAGTGTTCAGCAGTGCATATTATGGAATGGAAAATATTGACAACTGGCAGGCATCACATAAATAATTGCATGATTTTCTATTTGATGGCAGACTGATCCATACATTGTTGGGATTGCAACACAGCCTTACACTACAAGTTCTCAACATCAATACTCCATCGAATCCTTGCTCTCTGAACTCAACACCATGTATACAGCTCTTGGATCCTATAGCAACACCAATGTAAACAACAATGTGGTTGGCAAGTGTTCTCAACCTGAAGATACGACAAGCAATATGATTGGTCAGAATTTTGATGCAGATTATCTCATTGGACAAAAGGAGGATGGATCTGAATGTGATAGCTCTACTGTACAATCAGAGGACTTTCAAAGTGCCACTGAAACATTAAGTAATGCAGGTAAGTTTAAGCAATATACATTGTCAACCAAAGAGTATAAAAATATATATTTATATGTGCTATGTAGGCCTATTCTGTCATCTCGTTCCTCTCTCAAAAAGCAGCAACACAATGCAGTTTTGTTAATTAGCAGTAACAATCAACTCTTTATTTATGTATTTGCATAGTGTCGGGTGATGTATACAAGAACTAACTTTTTTGTTAGAAATGGCAGGGAAGCCTTTGCAATAAATTCAAATATAGATAGACACTATATTATTCACAATGAACTACATTTTCTATCAATCATACTGTAATTCATGTATGTACTAAATGTGAATATATCAAATATGACAATGTCTTCACTACTAACAGACATCATTTACAGTTTAAGAAACTCTACAGCTAAACAAGTGAAAATATGTGCGTGTAGATCTGTATTTGAATTTGGATGTTACCTACATTTATTAATAATTATACAAGGTGATACAAAAATGCCATCCACTTATTTTGGAATAATTTTCTCAAAAATGAAGGAATCTTCATGATGTTTTACACATGCAAATTACATCGGGCCCCATACAAGCCTCGATTTAAAAGTTTTTCATACATTTGAAGTGCATATCAATAATATTTATTATGGGAGCTACTCACTACTACTCAGTAGTTGATGTCAAGGTCACAATCAGGTGGTGACATTTTGTCATGTTAATGCCTTTTTGGTACATCTATTGTCATAAACTTGAAGATAAAACAGGAATATATGTATTGCATGATGGTTTGGGAAGTATAATGATTACGCTTAGTCTTTTATTTTATTCCAGAAGCTGAACCTAATGAAGAAGATTTAGTTGAGTTTTATCAAACAACCAATCAGAGCTACTTGGTGCCAACCAGTCAAGCCCAAAACCTGTTAACCAATCAGGATTTAGGGACATTGGAACCAAACAATCTTGCATTAAAAGGACAATTACAAACCAATGAGAATCTCAACCAAAGTGCCAATCATGATACTCATTTTTTAAAAGTATCCAATGAGAGTCCACTTGATGCCAAATTTACTAATGACTCCTGCCTTGATGCAGAGTATGGTAATGTAGCTGCCCAAATGGATGAGGAGGAGGTTGCATTTATTAGAATGGTGAAAGGCTTTAAACCTCCTGTTGTATCTCAGACCCAAAGTATCGACCACCCCTGTAGGCCTGAACATTTGGGGGAGGGTGAACCATCGCTGGAACAGCTAGCTTGGATGACTGAATTTAGACGACGAAGTTCAAACTTGAGTGATCTGTCTTCACGACGAAGTAGTACAAAGAGCAGCTTATCCAGAACTAGCAGCAGATGCAGCTCAGATTTCAGTTCAGAATTTGAAGAATATTATGAAAATTTTCAAAATGTTACAAAAAAAATTCACCCACCTGCAATTACTGAGGAACCACAAGGAACTCAGAATGTGTCTGATTTTGCTTCAGAGTTTGTAGAAGGCATTCTTACAGAGAGTGCCTGTACAGCAGCAGATATGACCCCAGGGGTACAGAACTTTGCTGTTTTCACCCAGAAAAAGTTATCAACCATAAAACGTCCTAAAGCGCAAAAAATACATCGGACTGGTGCACAACATTTTGATGAAAATCAAGCAGTTGTGCGATCCAGGAAAATGAGCTCTGGTAGTGACATATATAAAAATAATTCAGATTCTGATGAGTCATATAGGAACAACAAAGTCACTGACTATCAACCATGTAATAGTAACCAATTACACAGTCATGATTTGGACTTTCACAATGAACAGGAAACTGCCCATCAGCATAGGATTGCTGCTAATTTTATTGACAATATGTTTAATGATACGCTCCTCCTGATGAGAAATGGGGCACATCTAGCAGCAGACCAAGCAGATAACTGTGAGCTACAGGGGGCAGTTGGAGGGGAACCAGACAATAATATAGATGAGAAGTACTCATTGGTTCAATATTTACCAAAATATCAAATCCAAAATTCTGAATTTCAAAGCAATCTTGAAATTCAAGAAAATCTTCAGATTTTAGATTTTGCCTCCAACTCAGCTGATTTTATCCTACACCAAGTTTACCAGCAATTCACAGAAGATCCTAATTCAGTGGCACCACCTTGTGAAGAAATGTATTACCATATCACCCCACCTATTGAGCAAAGTGATGATCATAAGATATTTCTTGAGAATGTTAAGTCATATGTTGACTGCTTAGTTGATGCTGGTTTCAGTGAAGCACTATGTCAATTTCAACCTCCAGGACCCCAACTTCAGCCTATTGGATTTCAACCTTTACCCCCTGAATATAATTTGCAACTGACTTTAACCCATTCCTCGCCTATAGGACCTCAGTCCAAATCGCTAGAACCACAACCCTCATCCCAGAGTATTGACCCCAATGCCAGTAGAATAGAGGATTATGCGACATTAATTGTGACACAGGTAATTCAGTCTGCTCTGGAAGAGATCAAGTCTTATCTTAAGCATCCACATACAAACATGTCTGATGATCTCAAAATACTTTTGCAGCAGACCACTGATTATAAGTGCAACAATATAAGTGAGACTTTGTCTGAGCAAGTGATAGACTCTGGCATAAAATTAGCGAATTATGCTGAACTTGTATCCAGTGATATCATGCATGATGCACTATTAGATATAGAACTCAGAATGAGTAACCCAATACACATTATTGAAACATCAAGATCTTTGACACCAGATGAGCAGTACTTTGAAGAAGAATTCTTAAGGGAGTCACCAATGCCAACACTCTCAGTGCCATCTAGTGGTGATACAAATTTGGGCAAATTTGCTGTAGATCTTGCTAGGAGGGCATCATATGAGGATACCACCCGTCGTGCTTCAAACAGCTTTCAAGATAGTACCTTATCAGCATTCGCAGATGAGTTGGTTCAAAGTAATCCGAATTTGCCCTCCCTCAGTATGTTTCAACAGTGTCTGCATGTTGATCTACATCCTGACACTTCAGATTATTTGGCCAAAAGAGGGAGCTTTGATAGTAGCCAGTATATGAGAAGTCACCATGATCAAAACAATGACTCAACAAAATTAAGCAGCAGTTGGTGCTCATTGGCATTAAAACACGAAAAGTCTAAAGGGGCAGGGACCTTAAATTCCACAGGTGGTATTACTTTACACATACCAAAGTTTCATATAAACCCTAGAAATATTCATCACATGACCAGACTCAAAGTTACCCCAGAACTGGAGACTCATTGTGATGATTTGGTGTTCGATACACTTCAAACTGTTATTTACGACATCACACACCCCTCAGTCCCATGTGCCAAAACTGACCATGTAAGCTATGACAAAGATTCAACCATATCAGCACAGATGCTTTTATTTGCTGACTGTATTGTGCAAAATGCTATTCAGCAAGCCCTTGATATAGTGTCTGTAAGCCCCTCAGATCTAGCAGAAGCTGGCAGTGACTTGGAAGAGTACTTTGACTGTATTGCCTACCCTGACACTGTGACGTCCTATTCTACCATGCTCAGTAGAAACATCATAGATGGAGCATACCTGGATGTTAAGGCAAGGATCTCTGGGAACCATTTGCAGGTATTAAGAAAAAACACTTTCCTCATCCATGCATCAGTCTAATTTGATTGCTCATTATAATCATGTTAATTATTATGTTATATTATTATATTAATAATTATATTATTCTGATTATGCAAAGCATTTGCCATTTGGTGAGTGGAAGTATACAAATGGCTTTTATAGGCAGCTACATAAACTTGGCTTAATTTGGCACCCACTTTATTCTGGCTAATTTGTGTAACCAACTCACCAAGTTCACATCTTTGTCAAAATTCAAGATAAATCTCCTGGAATTTTTGCCACAATGGCATTTAGGGATTTTAGGAATATATTTCGGTGTCTTTCACTGGGAAAAACAGCAAAGCTAAGTATTTGTTTTCTCCAAGGTTTTGGAGAAAGAACTAAGAAAGGATCATTTATAAGATTCATATTACTGAGATGACAATTTGTATATAAACATTAATACATTCTTCAAAATTCTGGTTCTTTTGACATGTCAGTCTGCTTCTGAAACATTGAAATTTAACATTGTCCCGATCCACCAAAAATAGCCACCAAATATATATATTTGGAAAATTAAAATTAAATCAACCTAAATTCAGTAGATGTTAAAAACTTGTTCATACAAAATACATGTACGCATCACATAGGAATACTAGAGAATCAATGAATTTATAAACTTATCAACAGTACTAGTCTTTTATGTTAATAATATTTTAAGTTGACTTGACTTGTTGCAGTGTCCGAGGTCAGTGAGTGTCCACCTGATGGGAGATTCCCAACTATGTGCTATCATTCAATGGATCAGTGCCTCCTATTGTGATATTTCCACACTATGTTTGAACACCTGTGATAACGAATTTCTCTCACAGGTATAAGAGTAGTTAATGTTGATTTCTTAATTTATAATTTTAATTAAATTGCAGCAACATTGTTTCTATTAATAATGAATTTATGTTGTATCAAATTAATTGATTTTTGACTTTAGAAAATAAGTTCTACAACTTCATTTCTTGAATTCACCAAATTATATTATTATAGTATTAGAGGTGTTCAGGATTTTGATGAAATAATGTCCAATAAAACCATGTTCTTCCCCATTTAAACTCATTAGGCAGTATCTGCATGTATCAGCCATTCTCAAACCCCCAGTTGTACAGCATTGTTGCTTGTTGTAGATGCATACTGTGAGTGCCCTGGTAGAAGAAAAACAATGGACTGTGGGAGATTTGGCGGCATTCATCTGCTTGCTGTACAGGAGGGCCCAGGAAGACCTCAATTGTGGTGTTGTCAAAGACATTAGGCCCCTAGATGACCTTATAATTCAATTGAGGAAAGAGTAAAGACATTAGGCCACTAGATGATCTTATAATTCAATTGAGGAAAGAGTAGACATTAGGCCCCTGGATGACCTTATAATTCAATTGAGGAAAGAGTAAAGACATTAGACCCCTGGATGACCTTATAATTCAATTGAGGAAAGCATAGACATTAGACCCTGGATGACCTTATAATTCAATTGAGGAAAGAGTAAAGACATTAGGCCCTTGGATAACCTTATAATTCAATTGAGGAAAGAGTGATGTTTCATTGAACTAATGGACAAATCATGGTAGATGTTAACAACCACGTGTTCTGTATTGTCCCAAGTTGCTCTCTATGTATGACTATACCTCTGTTAAACTTATATTGGACAAAGGAATCATTAACATAAATGCAGACAGTTATTTTCTTCCAGTTTTCTAATTTAAATGTAACTTTGCCATTATCAATATGAAGTTGCTTGTTATGTGAACAAATTTGGAATTTTGGATTTTTCATCCTAAAATCTTGTCACTTCAACTGATTAATGTCAGGCATTTAAGATGAAAAATCTGTATAGGATCAGCCATTGGTGGGGCCGGACATGTTGTCCATGTTTGTGTCCTCGTCTTACATGTATCCATGTGTGGAGTGTAATAAATCAATGTGCTTTTTGTCACACTAAGTTAACCAAGACAATTACTTGAATTACACTGTGTTTTAAGAAAGTGCCTAAGGGTTTAACCCAACTTTAGAAAAGCACCTTGGTAAATCACCAAGATGCCTTGTCACTAAAAATCAACATTAGTCTTAAAGCACTTTGTTGTTGCATCAAGATGGCCAGCCTTCCGGTAATAGATTTTCGTAATGTATTTTGTTTTCTCAATTTAAACCCATTTCTAAGACGAATTTCTCAATAACCAAATACGTGCAGTTAGTGCACGATCTATATTTCAAATAACTGTCATTTGTATACATGTAGCATCATCGAAAAGCGATTAATTCACGGTTTTAGTTCCTCACTATTGATGCAACAACACCAAACCGAAGATGCAAAAACACCCATCTAGATTTGAGCAATGATGCAACAACACCAATGTATGTCATATTGTTGTTAAACCATAATGTAATAGGATTTACATAATCACAACTAGTTTTAATAAAACGTCTCACCAAGCTTTTTACCCTTTGTCCTTAACAATTTATATTAAGTAGACATCTAAATTGAAAATGTTTTATTGAAATTAAATTTCAATATCAGTGTCACCATCACTGAACCTACACATTTCATGTTTTTTATGTCACCTCCAGAAGTGGTGACATATTATTATAGTCTCCCAACTTTTTTTGTGTGTTTGGCAGTCAGCATTAGGCGATCTACATCTGTTACAAATGGCAGGTGGTGACATTTTGCATGTTAATGCCTTGTTTATAGTGTAATTTAAGCCAAGTACTGTACTTCTACTTAATTTGGTACCAAAATTACTGGGAAATTGAGGGTGACTTAATTAGGCAAACTTTAACAATTTGTCAAATGAAAACATCTGCCAAATTAAGTAGAAGTATGTAAATAGGAGACTGCCATTGAGAAAAATTGAGCAAAGTATGTAATTGTAGCGGTAGTACCATTTAAAATGTAGTCAGCAATGACAAGCTAAAAGGATCATCTTGATATGTCTAAAAAGTTAAGAGAAGTTAATTTGATTAAATTGCTCAACACCACTGGATTTCCAGATAGATAGAGTCTTAATTAAACTGTATGATGTTTGAATCATTGCACAAGAGTTCAAAGACATTTTGCCAGATCGTATCTAAAAATCATAGTGTTTACAAGCTAGTTTGCTTATAGCATTTTATTTCATTTATGATGTTTATGTCCCTCAATATTGAAATTACACAAAGGAAAGTTTGGTTGATTTAAAAAAGTATCTTGTTAATGAAATTAAAGGTTTATCTTAGTTTTTGTCTATTTCGGGGGTTTTTGTTTTAATTTTTTGAATACTTTTTGTTAAATCAACCAAAATTTCCTTTGTACAACTATAATAATATTAGGAAGTCTAAGAAAATGTTGTATATGCTATTTTGTTCAAACAAGCTTCGGAAAGATATTTTATTTCATTCTCAAAAAATGCTAAAAGGAACAAAACTGTCCAGGTCAGGATTAAATTGATTTAAAACATAAGCACTGAATTGTTGTATGCAACTTATTAAAAGTCTGGGTCTGATTCATCATCCCACTCAATAGTTTCCATGGCATTATCTTTCTCAAAATCAACCTCAAGATCATATTGAAAATCAGGGTCATCAGCTTTTTTTCGATTTTTCTCAAAAGTTGTATCCATTACAGCTTTTTTGATGCGCAAAGTTTCATCATCAACCTTATTGAGGTCTTCAGAAGGATCAACAGTTTCCAGCTGTTTGTGTGTTTCTAAACTTTTCTTTAGAGATATTCCTTTTAATTTATCTTGTATAATTCCAATGAGTTTTTCCAACTGAATTATACTTATTTTTTCGAGGTACTGCTTATGACGGGGGTTGTTTTTCAATTCTTCAGTTGTCTTTTTAATATTTGAATGTTTATTGAAATTCCGTAATGGCATTGTCCTGCGATGTAATTTCCCAGAATCCTTTTTGATATATGTGATGACAATAGCTGGGGAATCAAATCGTATTCCACACTTCCGTAAATCCATTTCTACCAATGTGCAACAGTTTTTTCCTGAAAATTCAATGAGATAAGTTAATTAATACAATAAATTAATTTATGTTGTTGATCTTTCACATTTAAATACACATAGGTTATACATACTAAAGATGACCCTACTCATAGGGTGCGATCACAAGATTATTCTGCTTAATGCTTTTTTCCATAAATCACTAAAACTCAGACAACACAATTTATTTTTAATTCATATGTTTTGTTATATAAATAACATTTTGGTAAAAAATTGCTATACCTGCACATGTTATTTTCTGGTACAAAAAAGTATGAAGGCATGTGTTAGCTAGAGACTCGAGTAAGGTGAGTATTACTTGAGTCTCTAGCTTACAGCTAGATGTAACTTCATTGATTTTGTATAGAAATCTAGAAAAAGTGTCACACGCACGTGCATAGATTACATGAGATTATATAGATTATATAATTTAATAATTCTTATAAATATTTATAAGAATATTAATCATATTTAAGTTGAAGCATTGCTTGTCTGGATCAAGATATTTCAAAATTTCTTTTTGAAAGAACCTCAAACTCAACAGATCCGCCATTTATACAGCTCCCTCAGCAGAAAATGGAGGCCAATTTGAAATGAAATTCCACTTCGCTAAATTAAAGTATATATAACAATCGATTAGAACGGGAATATAAGCTGATATTCTGCAAATATGCACATAAAGGTATGTTTCATATAATTGTGCTATAACAACTGTGCGTGTGCCACCATGATTTACAAATATTGAATATCAGGGTGACTGATAACAATCACTCAAAGCCGGAATATAGAGAAGGCTTTGGACCAAAGTCACGCCCGGTGATCGTACAAGGGAGGTTTCGAAATGGCGAAATGACATTTTGAAACCTGGCACGTGTCATGTTGCATTCTGGGAGCCAATCCTCCTTGCGGCGTAATGGGGCTCCAAAATCACCTCAACAATTGAATATGTGAATATCTACTTCAAAATTTTAAGTTCCTATTTGTCATTAAATCCACGGCAAAATTGAAATGACTAAAATCTTTGTATGTTTTCTTCTTTGTTTTCTTCGTGGACCGCAGAGAAGACACTTCCGGTTTAATAATCGGTGAGTTTATCGATCAAAAAATATGTTTTTATGAATATCTTCGGTATCTGCTTAAATATAGTATGTTAATTTGTGTTGATTGTTAAATTACAAAATAGGTTGGGTAAAAATATGTCAAAGTCGTTTGATCTCGTCCCAGAAGCAATATTTTGTCATTTCCGTCGCTTAGAATTCCTCTAAGGCTGGCTCTCTAGCAAAATTGGCAATCAAAATGCTAAAGAGCCTTAAATTTAAGGCTCTTTAGCCAAATTGGTTACCAAAATGCTAAAGAGCCTAAAATGTTAGACTCTCCAGTCACGGCCTTATTTTTGAAATCAGGCTGCGCATGCGTATTGGAAGAAATGGATGGATCGGTAAATATTGTGACAAAGACCTTTCGGACTTTTCTCTTATATTACTAAAGGTACCATTGATAGTGCTGACTGTGCCTTCGCCCAATAGTAATTCTTTATGTTCCCCACTGTACAAAGTTTCTGTGAGTCTTACAGAGACTGCCCTGTCAACCCTCACGCATTAGGCGTGATTGTCACGCATTTGCTGGGAAAATAGAAATCACGCATCAAATTAGCGTGCATGATCAAATATCATGCAAATCACGCATTTTTATGATCAAATATCACGCAAATCACGCATTTTGTTGAAATTTTAAAAATCTTTTTTTGTGAAATGCCGACACGGTAAAATACCGAAAGGCGAAAAAAAGCGAACGCATTCCATTCGGTCTTTGCACGCGATTGCCATTTATGTCACGCATTTGGTACAAATATGTGTATAAATCACGCATTTGTTTCGAAAATATTCACACCTACACCCCCCCCCCCGTTGACGGATCTGAACAGCAAGCGATAGCTAGCTGGAAAAATTTTAGGTGTCCCAATATCTGCCAGTGTTCACTGAAGCTGAAGGCAAGGTGTTCAACATTTGGAAGTCACTCAATGTTAGATGGTCCCAAGTTGACAGCCTTGCAGAGATGAGAGAAGGCAGGCCTGTCAACTGTCCCGCAATTTGCGTATTTGTCACGCATTTGCTGAAGAATTTGAAGTCACGCCAGTTATTTTTGCGTGACAGAAAATGTCACGCAAATACGCATTTTACCTGGTAAATGTCAAGCAAAAATATTTGTGTAGAAAAATTTCTAAAAAAGATCGTCTACACAGCAAAAATACGAACGCCGGAAAAAAATGTACGCATTTCGTTCGGACTTTTCACGCGAATTACGTATATGTCACGCATTCCGTTCGAAATTTTTCGTAGCTACCCCCCCCCCCCCCCCCCCCCCCGTTGACGGATGTTTGAAACGCGAGCGTAGCGACCGCGAAAAATTTGAGGTGTTCAAAATTTGGCAAGATGTAGTAAAATTTAAACCAAGGTGTTCAAAATTTGGATCAAGGTGTCCAGATTTGGACCAAGGTGTCCAAATTTTGAGGGGAGATGTTCAACATTTCCAAGTCACTCATGTTAGGTGTTCCCAAGTTGACAGGCCTGGAGAAGGAAACCAAGAAAGAATAAAACATTTGATACTTACTTGCCCAAAAGGAGTCAGTGTACAGTGCACATATTAAGATTTGTTTGAAAACGATTCCCGATCGTATGTTTTAGAGAAACAAATTTGTGTGATTGTTTTTCCGATTTTCGAATATTTTTATAGGTCGGCCTAGATGAGCAACTGGTTTCTAAAACGGAGTCATTATTAAATTGAATTTTGTATCTTAATATCTCACAGTTTTTGAAGTATATACTTTTTACCACGTTTTTATAGCATGTCTCGAAAGTTATTGAGGAATAATGTTTTCATAGATATTGCGTTCAACTGAAATATTATATTTTAAAAATTCGTTCAGGAGTTTTTAATTTTGTTTTTGTGGGGCCCTTTGCGCGTGCGCAGACACATCCCGCCATTATACTTCCGGTTATGTAGTTTCCACAGTATTTGTTTATTTTTACGATTATAAAGGTAAAGTAACTATGATTTAATTTACTATTCTTTCTTGAAATATTGTAAGGAGCAGTGAAATGTTTGAAGAGGTCTATATTCGATTATTACTGTACAACCAGCTATATATCTCAGCTTCTCTATTTTTTGAGAAAATCGGATGGTCAAAAGGCCCTCGAAATAACCTCACATTTGTGCAAAGATGTTCGCTAGATCGTTTTGTAGTAGGATATCATAGGCTCAAAGAATAATTTAAGAAGATGCGTCACTAAATTGGAAAATATACCAAAAAGTGACCACCTTTCAAAACGTTCCTTTTAATAAACGGAGTGGCTCCAGGACCGACAATTGTCGGTACTGGAGACTGTCCAGGGGTATTTGCTTGGGTACCGACAATTGTCGGCGCTCTATCGTCAACTAGTAGTGCCAGATAGAGAACCGACAATTGTCGGTACGCAAGTTAGACTATATCCTATTTAGTCTGAATTATATTCAGACTATAAGGCACCTATATTAAAGTTTGGTAATATGAAATATTTGTTTACATAGGAAGTGCTATTCAAAATGGCCGATTGGTAAAATTAATTTGCTCATTTGTTACTTCAACTAGCTTTATTTCCACTTGACAATATGCTGGGTTACTTTTTATTGCATTTAATTGTACCTTGCTATTTAATTGAAATTTTGTAATGTTTATTTTATTGAAGAAATGGTTCCTCTAATTGATAATTTTGTGCAAAAAATTTCACTGCAATTTCCACAGGAAAGTAGTACATCATAACAGACTGACTTCTAGTCAGTCTGTTGGATACATACTAGTACGCAAGTGGCTGCTACGTGTTTTTGCTAGAGAGCCGACAATTTCATAAATAAATCCACTACTTTTACTTTTAGAAAAAACCTTATCACTGGTAGTCTAGTGGTTAGCGAGCACGACTCGAACACACTCGGTCCCGAGTTCGAATCCCGGCAAGATCTTCTTTTTTTCTTTTGAGGGGGGGGGGCATAGTGCTTCTTTTGCAGTATGGAATCGTACAGGCATTAACTTGTAGTGAGCCATAATTTATTTCGACAAAAATTGATTCAACTTCCATCAAAATTGTCCTACAAGCTTCAATTATAAAACATTTTAAAGCTCTTTTCTTGTTCTATCTAATGGGTCGATATATACAGTTAGGGGAGGGGATGCTTTTGCCCCCGTCACTCTCTACCCTTACTACGCCATGGCACAGGAGAAATATCTCATTTCGAATATATCACTGTTTACTTTGCGTTTGGTAGCTCTCTCATGCGAGATGGAATCGTGGCCATTAACTAAGGGAGCCAAATGCATCAAAAATTGTGCTATAAGGTATGAGTACCGTAATCCAACACCAAATTCGAAAATTCATAACAATACTTTGCACATATGGCGTTCGTGATCAACTATAAAACGCTTACCCACCATAGTGTTATATATCAAAATGCACCTGTCCATATAGGGGTTCGATTGACCTACATCAAATTATAGGGAGTCCGGTTACTTTTTGAGATATCAGCGTCCGTTTATTGTAACTCGCGTTTGCTACCACTTCCTCAATTCTGATATGACGGGCAAACGCGTAGTAAACATGCTCACCGGTTCGGAACTATTTTGACCTACATCGCTATTTTCGTAATTCAAATGAAAGTTGAACTCCTCTTTATTTTGATACCAAATAGTGGCATACTAGGTACCCTAGAAGCCAACTATGGGTTATTTAGAACGATACCACAGGTTTTTAAATGATCTATATAGGGGTCATACCTTTTGGCGGATGGATATGGAACCTCATACCATAAGCTTCAGATAAAAAACATTCTAGCTATTTTCTTCTATCTAATGGGTAGCAAACTCCCCTTTCTACGCCTGATCGGCTCAGGAGAAATATCCTGTCTGTTTAGAATATATATAGCCGTTTACTCTGCATTAATAGCTCTCTAACGTCTTACTTGTTCATGTTTTTTATTGGGCCTTTCAACGTTTACTACCATTCCCTGTTCCCGGGCTACCATTTTTTGACTGGGTTTGGTAATCCCCGGAAAATCGGGGCTAATGCCCTCCCCGGGTTTTGCACTTGTTCCCAAAATATCCGTATGATATCTGAAATATCCCCCCGCGCATTGCGCATGCGCCAGAAAATTCGAAAATCAATATTTGTCGGTCCTCTAGCGTGTAAACACAGCATATCTCCCGTACCGACAATTTATTTGTCGGTCCTCTAGCGTGCCACCACATCAGAGTCTAGAGTACCGACAATTGTTTAATAAATGGTTCCTGCTTCCCCGTGACACACGCGATCATACAAAATGAATGGATTGGGGGATTAGGCGATTTCAGCAAGAAAACTCAACAAATTTGAAAGATTTACTTTTTCAAGAGAAAATTTACAACTGAATTGCCAAATGAATAGGCACAGTGCATTGCAAAATATGTTAAAGTGGGGGACAAAAATAAATCTCAACCCTCAAAAGTTGTCACAATGAGCTAAATTCTAAGTTTCATGTCTCAAACTCTCCCAAGTGGTAGAAAAGTAATTCCCATCCACTTTAAGTAGCACAATAAATGAATCCAAAGCCTCATACCTGCAAATGATGGATAAATCCCTACCAAATCGGACTAATGTTTTCATGAATCGCCATGTTTGTGATCCAAGGAGGATTGACTCCCAGAATGCAACATCAAGTAACCTTATTTATTCGTGACGTATTTCAAAATGGCGGAATGGCATTTTGAAAGCTGACACGTGTCATGTTGCATTCTGGGAGCCAACCCACATTGCGGCGTAATCTGGCTCCAAAATCACCTCAACATTTGAAGAGTCGGCATTAACATGTGAATTCCACATCAAATTTTTAAGTTCTTATTTGTCATTATGGACACAAATTCCACTATATCTGGACTTACTATGACGGAGAAAATAGAGCACTGAATACACTGAGGTAAGAATTTATTACATATGCGACAACATGTAATTTCCATAGGTTTTGTAATTCTTTATGCCCCCCACTGTAGGTCATCTACAGGTGTAGTATTTTTTTGAACTGATACCTTTCTAAGATATGAGATCTATTAAAAAGGGGCATCATCACCAACGTGCAAAAGTCAATGTTTTTGCCATAAATCGGGCAACAATGGTCGACACAACCTGTAATAAATAGGTATAGGGGACATGTTTTCTCATCAGTATTGTGAAAATTATTTCAATCTAATGATCGTCTATTAGCTACTTAATAAGCAATATTCGAATTGGTTGTGATGTTACTGACCCCCACGTGATCTCTCTCTGGTCCCCATGTGGCCCTTTTTGGTCCATTAAATCATGAGGTCATAATGCCAAGATGTTTTGTTATTTGTTTACACAACAATCCTATGGTTGTTGTGATGTCGTGATTACCAAGGATTCAATTAATCAAAACTATTGTTATGTATGACGTTACTAATCATGTGGGGGTCAAAATTAGCTTTATTCTCCCTGGCTTTATGCTATGACTCAGTGGCGGAGACAAGGTTACCACTATCGCTTGGCCCTGGGTTCGATTCCAGGTTCAGACAAGTTTGTTTGTGCATTATGTAATTCTGGGTGTTTGACTGGGTGGTTCACAACTCATATAAAAGGCTGTGGTGTGTACTTGTATGACTATGTACCTGTACACATAAAAGAACACAGGGTTCCTCCAAGGAGGGTTTTCGGCTCTGTCATCAAGTGTAAAATGTGGAACATACCAATGTGGTAATATTGCTCGCCAAATATGGCGGTAACCAAGGTACAATACAAGAAGGAGCTCATTGCCCAGGCCAAAAATCCACCCCCCCCCCATTTTTAAAAGTTACAAAATTGTTATTTATCTTTTGCCTGTGAGCCTTCATATTCTCCCTGTTTGTTGAAAACATATCCGCAGACTACATGTAGAATTCCCTGAACTTGTTTGTGTTTCCATGGAATGAAAATAGTTTCGTAAAATAATGGTGGACCAAATGCAGAACTTATGGGTAAAATCATATCAAAATTTTAGAGATTTTTTGCCCATAATACCAAAACTTTTGTGCATTGTATCCTTGAAATAAGAATTTTAAGATATATATAGGGTGTCTCAAAAAAATGTACCCAAAAGTATATCAACACCATAGACAAACCAATCAATATTTTCAGACATTTTTTGCATGGTCTTGTAGATAAAAGATGAAAGTTTTTTCCCCCATACACAGTTTTTAATTCAGTTTTGCCTTTTTGATACTTTAACCCGTTACGTTTTACACCACATATTCAATGTAACCTCATATTTCGATGAAAGTCTGCATCCTACTACTACATTGTTAATCACATTTGATATTTCTGGTGGAATGTTTTGATTTCTGTTTGGATGCTGGTCTTAAGTTGTTCTAGGTCTCTTAGCTTGGGTTTAGCATAAAAATGGTCCTTCAAATGGTCTCAGAGAAAAAAGTATGGGCCGTCAAATATGGTGAATAGGGAGGCCCTCACAATGTCTTATAGCAGATAGGTCAGAGGTTCAAGAGGTTCAAGAAACTGCGTTGGTTGGGATTCTAGTGTAGCTTTTGTTGTGTGTATCAATTTGAGACCACTGTGTTTTCATTTGGATATCATTTGGTCTCCAGCTCAGCCTGCCTAACTCTGAAAGGTAACTCCTGAATCGTTTGCAGATAATTGACCTGATTTTCTGTATTTGTTCTGCCATCGTCATCCTCAAACATCTTTCTCTGTGGCTATTTGAAGGAGTGTTTTAATGCTCATTCCAAGCAAAAAGACCTAGAACAACTTAAGGGCAACATCCAAAGAGAAATCCAAAACATTCCACCTGAATTATTATCAAATGTGATGAACAATGTAGCAGTAAGGATACAGGCTGTCATCGAACTATGAGGTTACATCGATTATGTGGTATAAAAGGTAAAGGGTTAAAGCATCAAAAAGACGAGACTGAAATAAAAATGGTGTATTGGGGAGAAAACTTTCATGTTTTGGCTACATGACCATGCAAAAAATGTCTGAAAATATTGATTGGTTTATCTGTGCTTTTGATATACTTTTGGGTACATTTTTTTGAGACACCCTGTATATAGTAGCCCGGACAGAATTGTTCAATGGTCACTTTTTCTTTAATAACTTTTTTAATTTTCAGTATTATCAAAATCTGATTACATATTTGAAAACTAGAGTCAAATTCTGACATACATAAAAAATATTTAAGGAACGTCTCTTAATTTATTGATATTATAGGCGCTCATAGTATGAGTGACGCAAATACATAATTCACCATTTTGTCTCATATTTGTTCAAAATGGCGGCATATTTTGTGGTTTGAATGTTCAGTTAAAATTAATATTTAAGAAATGGCATAGGCCTATGAAGTCATGCAGGCTGCTGCTTTGGTATGAGGTAATGACTGCATTTATAACCTTTTGTTTTAAATTGACTTGTATGTATACCAGAACTTAAAAAGGTTTGTACATTGTATGTCCAGTATATTGGTAAGGTCGCAGGACTTAACGTTTTTTGGCCATTCCATTGTTACTCGTAGTGGATTAGCAAACCTAGTTTGTTTAACCTGTGCAACTATACGATCATACTGCCACAGTTTGTAATGTATTTCCCAGTCACACGCCTCTTAACCCATCCGTGGCATGCATGTGAATTGTTCTTCAGCTTTTCAATGGCCTCTGAGATGGCTGTTTGGAGCTCTTGAAAAGATTGAGGAGCTACTCTCGTCACACCTCACACATTGGGGCACCACCTTTTCACATCCTCTTGAACATAGCCCCGAACATTTCAATAGAGTTGATTTCATATACCCTTGGAGGGAGTTGACTTCTTGTATATTTGATGATTGGTCAGTTGCTGCATTACATCAGGATTGTAACAGTGGCAGCATGGCCCTATAGTCCTGTGACAATCTAAATATCAACTTTCAACTGAATATTCAAATTCACAAAATATGCCGCCATTTTGAACAAATATGAGGCAAAATGATGAATTATGTATTTGTGTCACTCATACTATGAACGCCTATAATATCAATAAATTGAGAGAAGTTCCTTAAATATGTTTTTTGCATGTCAGAATTTTAGTCTAGTTTTCAATTATGTAGTCAGATTTTGATAATACTTACCGAAAATTAAAAAAGTTATAAAAGAAAAAGTGACCATTGAACAATTCTGTCCGGGCTACTATATAAAAAGGATATTTTTTTGTATTTTTAAAAATCAGGTCACAAGATTTTTAATAAGTGGCTCTGAACTACAGAAATGGCGAAATATTGCAGTTTAATTAGTTTCTGGTACAAATCCAAAATACCTTTTAATAACCTCAACTACTTTTTGATTGTCAACACAAATATACACACCACAATTGGAAGCAGATATCAGGCAAAACAAACTATATATTTTCTCATCGATAAAATTGCCATTGAAATCTGTTATATATCCAGCTGAGAAGTACATGTTCTCTGAGAATCATTACTAATTACAAAACTTGTATCCCGTCATCAGTCAGATTCATGAAAACTAGATTTAAGGAATCATGTCTCCTTTGTTAAGATTTGTTTCAAATGGAGTTACCATGTTCCAGTTAACTTTTTTACTGTGGATTGCTTTATTAATATAAAATGTTATTTACATGTATATTTGAACTATGATTTTATTGAACTATGATTTTAGCTGAGGCCTCAATATGGTGTGGCCTAAATTATTGGATATGACACGTGATGATTCAAAGAGGGTGTTACGGAGACTAGAGCTAGAGGCTTACTCTTCATTGGTGTCTGCTCTACGGGCTCAGGGTGATTTGACAAGTGCAAAAAAGTCATTCCTGCAAAATGCTCAGAATCTCTTCAGGTATTTATCACAAAGTTTCAGCCACATTCATTATTATCCCATCTAACCAAACGAAGAAAATAATATGAACTACAATGTTCATTAAGGTCAGATGTGGACTCTATCAACACATAGAGGATTACCTAAAAATTAAGGTGAAAATTAACTTTGACATTTTTTTGACTCAAATTTTTGATTCTAAATAATATTTCTAAGTACAAAATTGTTTAATAGTACAAGTTGATACAAAAATGCAACCTTTCTCTGCTATGGTAAAATATTTTGTTCTTTCCGTAGAGTATTCAATGCTTAAGTTATAACAATGGTATAGACAAGCATCTATACTTTTACAACATGCCTCTGAAGGAGAACAGAATTCCTATGAATTCCTTCTGCTTTTTCATTATTGGTAAACTATAGATTATTGAATTCACTTGCTGAAGACTGAATTCTGGACATTCTTTTTGAGATATTTGGCACAAGAGCATGCCAAAGATGGAATCAAGATTTCACAATATGTAAATATTTGTGAAATAAAATAGGAAACCATGTAGGTTTTAGATTATGATTGTACATTATAATTTATGAAGGTAGCATTTAATGTAGCATTAAAGTAAGATGCAGTTGATTTGAATGTTCTTTTCAGTATATCCACAGAGAGACATAGAGCTGAAGTGAGACGTGCTATCAATGATGAGAAACTTACAACAATCGCAGACAAGTAAGAGCAAGTTTGCATAATGTTTACCAATATTGAAATTTCGCAATATGATTTATTCTTGATTTTTGCACCATTTTGTAATAAATAAGCAGTAGTTGTTATTGTAGAATTTGGTTTGAATTGTTTAAATACTTTCAATATTGAACTAGTAAAGTAACACATGTAAACAGCCATTCTAAATCTTTTTCAGTATGTCTGGACCAGTCACTGACTCTGAATGGTTGGTTGAAGGAAGGCGTTTGATTCCTTTGATGCCTCGCCTTGTGCCACAGACTGCATTCACTTTGACTGCAAATCATCTGGCAAATATCCAAGCGGAGAAGAACTTTGTGATGCCAAATCCCTCACAGACAGGAAACAAAGACCTGAATGCTGTCCCTACAACTAATGCAAATGTGGTGCCATTCAGTGGTAAAGCAAGACCAAGTAGCCCAACTTCTAATGTGGTTGTACTTCCCAGTGGAATGTCTATACATATTAAGGGTAAGTGGGTTTCTATACATATTAAGGGTAAGTGGATTTCTATACATATCAAGGGTAAGTGGATTTCTATACAATTAAGGGTAAGTGGATTTCTATACATATTAAGGGTAAGTGGGTTTCTATACATATTAAGGGTAAGTGGATTTCTATACTCAAATGAAAGGCAATTTAGAGTAGATTGCAAATATTGTATCGTTTTTGTAATTTTGGCCTCGTAAAATTCAAAATGGCCGGCTTATGTTAGATTTCGCAATAATTTTCTATTCTCTTTAAAGTATGGCTATGTTATACTCAAATTGAAGGGAGTAAAGTATAGCTTTATTATACTCAAAATAAATGAAAGGAAATTTAAGGCAGATCACTATTTTGGTATTGTGTTCCTGATTTGTGCCTCAGAAAATTCAAATTGTCTTTATTATTTGTGCCTTTAAAATTCTTAAATGGTCATCCAAATGCTTTTGAAATTGGTTGAAATTCTGATATATCTCTAATGTGTCTGATATTTATATTTTTTGTGACAAATACAGATTCATATATGTTATAGTGTTTGTTGGGATTTGATTCTCTGTGGAGTTGCCATTTTCTAGTTGATTTATTTTTACTTTTCTATTATCCATCGCCCCAGACATTGACACATTTTGCACTTAGTGGAGAATCTAAAAGAATGTATGTTGTGTACATCTCCATGTATTATCATATGTTAATGTAAACGTTGCTAAAATATTCCTAAATGTTTGTCTAGGTGGCCTAAATACTGAAGAAGAGGATATCCATAAGAAGAAGAAAAGAAGTAATTCTACTGAAGCTATGTATGTGTCACGTGCCAACACATTGCCAACAGGAACTAAATTCACTCCAGCAAGTAGTGGCAATTTACAAGGAATCTCCCCAATGAAGATCACATTTACTAAAAGTCCAGCTCGTAGTTCTACCACAGTATCTCAGGCACAGAAGGTGAGCTTATATTCCAAATTGAATACTAAAAGAATGCTTATGTTATGCTATGATATGTTCTGAGATGTCTAGATATGACTCAGGTTCTTTAACTGGCACGATGTTGTCTTGTAGTTGTAGGAAATAATAACCATGCATTATAACCATGATCTCCTCTCTTTAAATCCATTTGGAAATAATAACCATGCATTATAACCATGATCTCCTTTCTTTAAATCCATTTGGAAATAATAACCATACATAATAACCAAAATCTCCTTTTTAAATCCATTTGGAAATAATAACCATGCATTATAACCATAATCTCCTTTCTTTAAATCCATTTGGAAATAATAACCATGCATTATAACCATGATCTCCTCTCTTTAAATCCATTTGGAAATAATAACCATGCATTATAACCATGATCTCCTCTCTTTAAATCCATTTGGAAATAATAACCATGCATTATAACCATAATCTCCTCTCTTTAAATCCATTTGGAAATAATAACCATGCATTATAACCATGATCTCCTCTCTTTAAATCCATTTGGAAATAATAACCATGCATTATAACCATGATCTCCTCTCTTTAAATCCATTTGGAAATAATAACCATGCATTATAACCATGATCTCCTCTCTTTAAAGCCATTTGGAAATAATAACCATGCATTATAACCATGATCTCCTTTCTTTAAATCCATTTGGAAATAATAACCATACATAATAACCATGATCTCCTTTCTTTAAATCCATTTGGAAATAATAACCATGCATTTTCTTTAAATCCATTTGGAAATAATAACCATGCATTATAACCATGAACTCCTTTCTTTAAATCCATTTGGAAATAATAACCATGCATTATAACCATGATCTCCTCTCTTTAAATCCATTTGGAAATAATAACCATGCATTATAACCATGATCTCCTCTCTTTAAATCCATTTGGAAATAATAACCATGCATTATAACAATGCATTAATCAAACAGATTTGGGTGATTGTGATTGCCAAATTTATTTTTGTCTTAGCTATGTACATGATTTTAAGGTTGTTTTCCTATTTCATGTCATAAAATTGTAGTGTCTCACATTTCCCATTGTTTCAGGTGATATTGGTGTCAGGATCAGGGGCCAGCACACCAAACATACTTCAAAAATCTCTCACTGTCCCTGTTGTTAAGTCAACCCCTGGGACAACAAAGGGCCCAATTGTGATTGGCTCTAGCGCATCAAATATTGTGACAGTTGGCACTTCTGCCGTGGCGACATGTACAACAACTTATTTAGGCAATACATTAACATATGGAAAACCACGTCCAAAGACTGTCACCACAACAAAGGTTAGCTGAGTTAGATATGCTGATATGCCTCAATGCCATCTCTTATGGCCACTTTGAATTTGTGCTATAACATCCTCAAATTAATTTGCAGCAGACCTGAGCCATGTCCAACAAGTTTTGGCCAACACTTTCCAAATAATGAATTTTGAAACGTACAATACACTAGAATATTATGAATCCAATAGACATCATCCAACAAATTGAGAAAAACAAACTGAGTGAGCTTGTTTTATCAAGTTAAAGAGATGAAAAGTCTCATTCCATTTTCCCAGTCTAGTCTAGAAAACAAAATGATGTTGAACATCATGTTTAGTTACCAATTGCCTAATAAGACTGATTTCTTCCAGCAAACAAGAGGCATTGTTATACCTGTTGGCACACATAATAGACTCTCCTCTATGGCATCAAGTCATCCTAACCTACAAAGCATTCAGATCAAGTCAGTCTCAAAGCCAACCATACAGATCAAACAAGAAGGCTCTATGAAGATTATTACACAAAGTTTGCCATCATCAAGCAAGATTTTACCCAAGCCTCCTAGTGGGAATCCTATTGTCATGGTAACAAGTCAGTCATCATCATCTGGAATTACTATAGGAGGAGCAAAAGCATCTTGTAAGGATTTTATATTCATAGTTTGGAATGATTGCAATTACCACTTATATCAAACTGTTTGCTTGTAGAAAATTGTGTGGAATTGTGTGTTCTGAATTGATAAGAACAATTGTAACAATTTTAAGTATATATCTTTCATGAAACAATTAATCCTATGGAAAAGAAAATATCTTGATAAGTATACTATTGTTTTTTGCCAAATTGGTCCTTATTTTAACTAAATAGATTTATTAAGACTCTTAAGTCTTTGTTGTGTTAAACCTTGCATTATTTTAAAACCTAAAATTTGTTTTCTCAGTGCAGTCATCTTTTACTTCCAGCCACTCAAGCGGGCAAAGTATTGAGTATTACAACTCATGGAAATAAAGTTATAGCTACAACAACATCTCGCCCAAACACTAATATTTCAACATCACGTCCAAATACGAGTATTGTTACTTCACGACCCAATACAAATATTGTTACAGTTAACCCAAAAACTCTCCAAGTTGCTGGAATCAGGGGACAAACAAGTAAGTTTTAGAGTAATTGCTTTGAAAATGTCTCGATATAGTTGATTTAAACCATAGAGGTGTGTCCGGGGTCTCCAATCAATTTTGGAGTTTTCAGTATGGAATTTTCAATATGGCTGGTCAGTTAAAAATGGCCATCATTTTTGTAAAAGATTTAATCTTTGATAACTCGAATGCTTGGCAGATTGTAGTCAATTTTTATATACTGATGCTTAGGGACATAGGATAGGAGCTCTGCTCTAGAAGAAATATTCTCTAAACCTAATGTAATAGTTGATTGTATTATTATTATACAGTTACAACAGGAGCTAGAGGTGTTTCCAGTGTCTCTAAACCTAATGTAATTGTGGTTCAAAAGGCACAGGGCAAGAAACTATTACAGCAGCAACAACAACAGCAACAACAAGGGCAGACTACCCCACCCAGTGCCAAGGCAGCCTCTACTACTACCAGCCCATTTGAAAAGGTAATAACGTTTTAGTAGAGACAGACCCATGAAATATGTTTTATTAGTTCTTTGATTTTTACTTAGTTTGTTTTCACGTCGTCTGTTTTATAATTGCATACAAAACTTGAATAAAATATAGAAAACACATTTAGAAATACTGTTGTATAATACTAGTGTATCTCAAGTTTTACAGTATACTGTATTATAGTAAACTGCTGTCTTATTGTTGAAAACCAGTAAAGTGTTTTTTGAACCCTGTATCAAAAACATTATCATCTGTAGAAGTGGCTCAGTCCATCATCAAAATCCAGTTATTTCATGGTTTAAGTTCTGAATAGCATGTACTTGCTATTTCTCCTCTTTTTGTGGAGCATAATTTGACCATAATGTTCTTTTGTTAATTTCTGATCATGGCATATAACTCTAGGTTGATTTGCAGGAGTTTGGTAGCTTCATACAGAAACATGAGCCAGGTAGGGGACCAGCTGCGAGAACTGCAATTAGAGTGACGGGACACAAGCCTAACACAGAAAATACAGCACAGTACACTAAAAAGGTATGTTTTCTTCAATTCAAGTATAACATATGAAGCTATGCCTCGAAAACTGGACTGAATTGGAAGTAACGAACTGTAATTGCATTACTCTTTACATATACTCATATTTCATATTACTCTACATATTACTCATATTTCATATTACTCTACATATTACTCATATTTCATATTACTCTATACATATTACTCATATTTCATATTACTCATATTTATTCTGCTTCATTCAAATATTACTATTTTTGTCGAAAGGAGTCTGCAAAGGTGCCGCAAAAGCAACGAATGAAGAAATATAACCAGATTAGCTAATTAAGCAAATCCACCTAATTAAGCTATTATAAGCAAAACAAGCTTAAGCTTTACGACACCAATTTCAAACTCCTTTTCAATGCTCTTAACTTCATTCAGTTCATAAATCAAATTATTTCATAATTTTCATCTATGAAATAACAAACTATTGATGTTTTATTAATCATAACAAACCACTCCCAGGGAAACATAAAATTGAAATTACGCTGGACTTAATCCTGAATGAGGAATATCATATGATATTCAATGGAAGTCAAGTGACTTCCGATGAATATTGCTTGTTATTTTTTAGTCACATGTAGGACATTAACCAATCAGAGAGTGAGAATATAACAGTGATATAATAAAATAATATATCTATTAATGATATATAAACATTTTTTGGCCTATAAAACACCCTACTTCGGAAGTGCTGATCGTGTTTGAAAATGATTGCCTTAAAATAAAAGCCACTTCAAAAATAAAATTCATTGACAACTGCAATAATAATTTCTATACATTTTATGTTACACTCTATACTTTCTATAATTTCTATTATGTACAACTAGAACAGTAGTGATGTGACCACTCAGACAGACTGTGTCAAATATAAACAGTAACAAGCAGACTAATCTGAAATGGCAAAGACTTCATCAAATTTGTATTTAAAATCAATGTTGTACATTGAACATATTGTATTTGAAATTTGGGCAACAGTTGGATCTTATGTAACCACGCGGTAGTATCTCTTCGGGACGTATCGAAACCACTCCGTCCCGAAAAAACCGTTAATTTGAATTTAAAACCTACCCCAGTGTTTGAAAATCAAGGATTGTGAGTCTCACACTTCACCGTTTGTCTTCAAACTTGTTCCGTACAAAGCTTCACAGAAATACCTTTCAGTCGATACATTGTTTTCGTGTACAAAGTACCTCGTTTTAGCGGCGTTTTGGTCCCCAGCTGTGAGATAAAGCAAATTTTCATAACTTTCAACTGTAAGTCAAGTTATCTCGCCAGTCTTTTACCCATTCTCGCTTTTAATTTCAGAATGGACTCCCATTACAACCTTCCATCGCTACGTTTTGATTTTAGGGCATCAAACGCAGCAGTTTCTAAATCATCCACACATCTCTTAAAATTTGACTAATACGTCCCGTCACCTTCCACTACGCCCCGCCGAGTCCATGACTACACAAACGTGGAGTTGTATTCTAAAACATTTTGCTCATCGTTGTGTAATTTTACATAGGTTTGCCTTGGTCGATTCTTAACACCAGTCTTACGTTTAGCATACATACGGAGTATAACTATAACTGATTGCATAAAATGGATAATTTAAATGTTTGTGAAGATGTTGCTTTTTAACTTTAATTATATGTAATTGTCCTGTATTTGATTTTGTGAGGAAACCAAGTGTCTGGTTTGAAACACAATAAAATTTGGAATCTTGTTTTGCTAATGTTCAACATAAATAATTTATGAATTATCGGCCGAGGGCAGATTAGAGCGGATCAATCAATGATGTACAAAAAGTAACATGTAAAAGAAAAAACGCTATGAACCGAAGTTCAATACTGGGGCATACTTTGTAACGTCACGAGTGATGAACAATTGCGCTTTTCTGTAGAATTCTCAATGAAAAGACGTCAAAAAGCTACATGGGACATTTTTGTACCTTTTTCTTTCGCATCGTTTGACAAGTTATCATGTTTGAAAATGTTTGAAATTTTCCACGATCAAAATATATTAAAAACCTATTTCTAAAATGTTTTTATTTTGATATATTTCTTAATTTTAATGCGTGCACGTGATGGCTGGATTTCAAGTTTACGCATTTTTAAGCTAAAAATACTAAATGGGACATTTTTCGTACCCTACATATCATTTGATATTTAAGAAATTTGAAGGAAATTTAATATTTTTTATTCAGATTTATTAATTTTAGCCAAAACCTTGTTTCTAATTTTAATTTCAGCCTTTAAAAGTAATTAATTCTAAAATAAATGGCATTTTGCTTTCCTAGGGGTCGTCAAAATACCCAGCGTGACGGCCTTTGGATTTTGTTTGAAGTTGAAAAATCAGCGTCACATTCCATTGTTACCTTAAAACTAATGACGCCATAATAAAGATCATTGTCTCAGGAAGTGATTCATACCGGTCTCATCAAAATTGATGAAAAAATAATGATTCTACATCATTTCGAAAAATAGCGCGCTCCTAAAATGTTACGCGTGACGGCATATTTCTAACGTTTTGACCAACGAAGGACGTTCTGAAATGCTCTAAAATGAAAAATTCCATGTAAAATATACAAATGGGGTTTTAGAGGGTACCTATACGAAGATTTTGATATATAACATGAGTATGTTCGCTTTCCGAACTTTCCCAATATTTACATGGTAAGAATATGGAACGTCAAAATTTGAAATATGCCCCAGTATTGAACTTCGGTTCTATACTATTGTGATGACTATTGCTCTCGACAGAAAGCTTCAATTTTCATTGCATCATATTTATTTATTTACCTGTATTTAAACAGAGTGGTTTTAAACATATGCAGTTACTACTTAAATGATAATAACACTATTTGCTTAATTCTATGAAGAATGTTTTTATAGTTTTTAATATTCTATCGTCCAGCGTATTCTCTCCGAATTATTGATCTGGCTATGAATTTTATGCACTAAACATAAACATGTAATACGTATCAGAATGATACTAGACCCCTTGGAAATTTTGCCACGCGTCTCACTTGAAGTTTTGGTAATTTTGACAAATATGCCGTTTTCATAAATGGTTTATAACTCAAAATTAAACTGTTGTATTTCAGGAATATTTTTTTTTTCTTCATCATGCATGATTTTCAATAACCCTACAGGCACCACTTTTTTAGCTAAATCCATCGGGAAACTTTGCCACGCTTAATTTCAAAATAACGGAGATGTAATAAAAATTGAGCAATATTGGCACAAAAACGTTTCTAGATTCATATAAAGAATGCATCATCATACAACACTAATTGGTATATAAACAACATCTACTGACTTGGTCTGATAATGTAATATAAAGATTTTAACTGTTGTGTGTCAACCTTTCTTCTGTATGATTTCATTGGCTTACATTATGAAACGTGTACCATATAAAATGATACATGTTTCTAACGTTATGCTGAAAATAATATAATTGACATCACCCATCCTTTCGCATTTTAACATTTTTTCAAGGATAGGGCACTTTAAACGTTTCTTAAAAATATTTTCAATTGTTCAGTAATTAAAATCTTTATATTACAATATTGGGAAATATAAATTTTAGGGAGATTTTGGACCACCCTATTATAGGTATATTGAAAATGGACAAGAATGGATAAATCTTAAAACACAATCCGATTGGTATTTAGAATCGACAATGGCAACCTACAAACGGACATATCGATGGACAAATTGTTTTAGAATGCAACTCTACGTGTATAGTGATAGACTCGGCGGGGCGTAGTGGAAGATGACGGGACGTATTGGTCAAATTTGAAGAGATGTGTGGATGATTTAGAAACTGCTGCGTTTGATGCCCAAAAATCAAAACGTAGCGATGGAAGGTTGTAATGGGAGTCCATTCTGAAATTATGGGCGAGAATGGGTAAAAGACTGGCGAGATAACTTGACTTACAGTTGAAAGTTATGAATATTTGCTTTATCTCACAGCTGGGGACCAAAACGCCGCTAAAACGAGGTACTTTGTACACGAAAACAATGTATCGACTGAAAGGTATTTCTGTGAAGCTTTGTACGGAATAAGTTTGAACAAAAACAGTGAAGTGTAAGACTCACAATCCTTGATTTTCAAACACTGGGGTAGGTTTTAAATTCAAATTAACGGTTTTTCGGGACGGAGTGGTTTCGATACGTCCCGAAAAGATACTACCGCGTAGTAACTTAAGTGAGGAATTAAATAGACGATCCTGTTGTCTTCTGAACTATTTGTTCGCAAATATGTATATTTTCTAAACATATAATACTGATACATGTTTGTGATAAAATGTTGTGGGAATTCTGCTTACAACGTGTGAAATAAGGAAAAATGAGAAAATCATACCTTCGATGTTCCGACATTTTGTTACCAAAACGAACCGTTTCGGTAACCAGTGTAATCGAGTGGATCACCAGCGCAGTGACTGATCAATTCATATCAACTTAGTGAATATCTCTATGGTACCTTGCTTTAGGTGTTCATGACCTCAATTTAGTCCTTAGTCCTGTGTAAAGCATAATAGATCAACAAACTGCTTGGTAAATAAAAATGGTTTTGTGATACTAATGTATAAACAGTTGTGGTTATGGCCTCTCTCCCCTCCTTATAACAAAATTGTATGTTAATATTTTATTACTGGGGCCAAAAAAATCAACAATACACACATGAACTTGCATCGACCCCCACTCTCTCTAAGAATGAACTTGTTGTTCCATAACTTGATATTTCGACGCAACTCCTTACTTCTTTAGCAATTACAAATAAATAGTATAAAGCGGTGTTTTTTTGGGTTTTTATGAACCTCTTTTTTCAATTTGCCTCAAATTGACCAATTTTTTTTTCAAAATCATATACAAGCTCTCAGAAGTTCCAATCTGAATTGGGATTGAACTCATAATATTTTGAGCATCTAGGTGCTAGTTTATTCCATAAAATAACTCTATTTTGATGCTCTCTCCAATACTGTGTGCAACCAGGTTGTGAAATTCTGTTTATAGTATAAAAACTATAATAAAAAGGACATTCTTTTGATATTTCAGCAAATTCTTGTTCAGAAGTCAGATATAGATGCCAGTAAATCGTCCCTACTAGCAGACCTAATTCAAGCTGCAGGAATTTACCCAGACAGTAACTCTGGCTCTAATTCAGATAGAGGTTCACCCGCAACTGTGGAGGAATCTGCAACACGACAAGGTAAACATACTGCAGGGTTGGGAATTAAGGGAGGGCTGTCTATTGAGATGATATGTAAGTGTTAAGGTGCAACTGCAGGGTTGGGAATTAAGGGAGGGCTGTCTATTGAGATGATATGTAAGTGTTAAGGTGCAACTGCAGGGTTGGGAATTAAGGGAGGGCTGTCTATTGAGATGATATGTAAGTGTTAAGGTGCAACTGCAGGGTTGGGAATTAAGGGAAGGCTGTCTATTGAGATGACATGTAAGTGTTAAGGTGCAACTGCAGGGTTGGGAATTAAGGGAGGGCTGTCTATTGAGATGATATGTAAGTGTTAAGGTGCAACTGCAGGGTTGGGAATTAAGGAAGGACTGTCTATTGAGATGATATGTAAGTGTTAAGGTGCAACTGCAGGGTTGGGAATTAAGGGAGGGCTGTCTATTGAGATGATATGTAAGTGTTAAGGTGCAACTGCAGGGTTGGGAATTAAGGGAAGGTTGTCTATTGAGATGATATGTAAGTGTTAAGGTGCAACTGCAGGGTTGGCAATTAATGTAGGACTGTCTATTGAGATGATATGTAAGTGTTAAGGTGCAACTGCAGGGTTGGGAATTAAGGGAGGGCTGTCTATTGAGATGACATGTAAGTGTTAAGGTGCAAGCTTAAAGTGAGGTAAACATACTGCAGGGTTGGCAATTAAGGGAGGGCTGTCTATTGAGATGACATGTAAGTGTTAAGGTGCAAGCTTAAAGTGAGGTAAACATACTGCAGGGTTGGCAATTAAGGGAGGGCTGTCTTTTGAGATGATATGTAAGTGTTAAGGTGCAAGCTTAAAGTGAGGTAAACATACTGCAGGGTTGGCAATTAAGGGAGGGCTGTCTATTGAGATGATATGTAAGTGTTAAGGTGCAACTGCAGGGTTGGGAATTAAGGGAGGGCTGTCTATTGAGATGATATGTAAGTGTTAAGGTGCAAGCTTAAAGTGAGGTAAACATACTGTTAGAAACTGTAGAGGAGAGATCTATGTTGCTTGGTTTAGATGAGCATAAATTATGTTTCTTGTTGATTGGTGAGTGGCAGAATTTTCAAGGAAGAAAGAATCCCCTTTCAAGTCTACTGTCGTGCTGTGGTGATATATTATTGCTGGGAAAATTTGAAGATACATATTGCGACAAAGCAAAGCCCATTGCATCACAAGGCATATATTGACTCTGTTGTTGATATGGAGAACACTCTCATTATCCCCTGGTGTTATATGTGTCTCCAACCCTCTAGGAATCAGTGTTATATGTGTGTCTGCAACCCTCTAGGGATCAGTGTTATATGTGTCTCCAACCCTCTAGGGATCAGTGTTTTATGTGTGTCTCCAACCCTCTAGGGATCAGTGTTTTATGTGTGTCTCCAACCCTCTAGGGATCAGTGTTTTATGTGTGTCTCCAACCCTCTAGGGATCAGTGTTATATGTGTGTCTCCAACCCTCTAGGGATCAGTGTTATATGTGTGTCTCCAACCCTCTAGGGATCAGTGTTATATGTAGGTCTCCAACCCTCCAGGGATCAGTGTTTTATGTGTGTCTCCAACCCTCTAGGAATCAGTGTTATATGTGTGTCTGCAACCCTCTAGGGATCAGTGTTATATGTGTCTCCAACCCTCTAGGGATCAGTGTTTTATGTGTGTCTCCAACCCTCTAGGGATCAGTGTTTTATGTGTGTCTCCAACCCTCTAGGGATCAGTGTTTTATGTGTGTCTCCAACCCTCCAGGGATCAGTGTTTTATGTGTGTCTCCAACCCTCTAGGGATCAGTGTTGTACTGTGTTCATAATTTACATTCTGCTTCATCCTGCTTGTCACTTGGATGCAGGGCAAAATGTAGCAAGCTGTATAATATATGTATATGTTCAGGTATTTACAAGTGGAAATGACTTCTTCACAAGTTTTAATTATTGTATTGATAGGGCCAGCAGTGAGTGCAGCACAGCGTAACACCTGGTTCCAGTACGATGAAGATGAGACACCAGTTCAGTTCCAAACTCATTCACCAGGTGGCAGTGAATTACAAGAGAGTGCCAGTGATTCCGCCATCAAGGCACTCCTTGAAATGCAATCTGGGGCCCCAGCTAAGGTTGTGACGCAGGTGCTAGATGAGGAGCTGACTGGGACACAGTACCAACTGGAACAGGGAGAAGTCCTGACACTAGGTGACTAACTAGTGTTCTGGCTTATATTTATAGATAGATGAATTATTGTTCTGCATTAAAAAGACAAAAAAGCAAAAATAAAATGGCTTTTGGGTATTCAAATTAACATGGTATCGGTCGTGTTGAGAATAAAATTAACTGACATTGACTCCAGATGGAATTTGTGCAGTGATGTGGGTAGTTTGCTTCTCTGGATCTTGGGCATGTGTTTTACCTCAGCACATCCCATCTGATACGCATCTCATTTGTGCACTAGTACTCTACAATCTTTCGCAATGTCAAATTTAGGCAAAAATAACCAGAACAGTATCAGATTCTCTCATTTTAACACAAATGTGAATGTTTATTTACTCTTTATTTCCTCCAAATTTAAAGAGCTCATTCAACTGGATACCACTTATAAACATTGAGAAGTTTCAAGATCCTGTGATCCTCATACCTGAATGAGAATGAATGAGAGAATTTGATACTGTTCTGGTTATTTTGCCTAAATTATTTTGACTGCATTCCAAATTTGAAAGTTTGTATCAACATCACTGAATATGTAGTGATTTCAGCCCTATTTCTGTCAACGAAGCACCAAAAAATATTGATTTTCTTGAAGTTTCAGGAGAAATTGCTTTTATTGTCAAAATATGCCATGGGTATGGTGGGGAGATCAGTTTTTCATATAGTTCCATTAATTGAAAAATCTCTTCATTTATAAGATATTGTTGTATTATACATAAATTTTATTAGGAGGCCCCAACGGGGGGCCTCCTATAGATTTTATAGATATTATTTATTATTATTCTTTATTATTAGGAGGCCCGAACTATTCCTATTAATTTTATAGATATTATTCTTTATTTCTTTATTTATTTATTCTTCCTTAACCTTTTTCTCCTACTTCCAACTACCTTTTAACTATCTACTATATGCACCTACTAGGGACCTTAGCTGAACTTGGCGGGAAAGGAATTTTTATCTAGGTCAAGGTCAAAGGTCAAAATCTAGGTCTAATCTAAGTTTTTTTTAAGTTTCTCAAATCCTGACACTACACTTCAATATTTTTGGCTGAATTTTTTTTAAAAATCATCTACAAGATGCCTGGAGTTCGTATATGACCTTGTATTTAAGATTTGACCTTTGGCTGACCTTTAAATGTTCAAAAAAGCCTACGAGGCCTCCGTAAGATTGCTTGCAATCTTTAACATCTAATTATATTTACAGAGCAAGCTGCCCAGCTGCTGAATCATCAGTCAGGCCAGGGGGCATCTAAAGAAGAAACTTTAAAGATCATACAGAATGCTATCATGGAACAAAATACTCCAGTAAGTGAACATTTTCATGAAATCACTTTTATGTTTCAGTCTGAGCAACAAGAACATGGGGCATCATAATAGAGAATAAACCTACTGCTTCAATGAATTGTATTTGAATGTTTCAGTCTGAGCAACAAGAACAGGGGGGCATCATAATAGAGAATAAACCCAGTGGTGAGCTGGACCCCCAGACAGGCATGTTTTTCCCACAATCCTCAGCTGTTACTGTGACCACACCAAGTGTATCTCAACCACGAGTGGTCACTTTACCTATGGCATCATCATCCAGTAAAAACGTTGATATCTTCAGTAGTGCTATTGCGCAGGCTCAAATTGACCTTGACCCATTTCAGTTTATTGAAGAGGAGGAGAAAGTCCCACCAGGGGGACCTAGTGCATTGTCCCCTTCCAAAGGTGAAATTTTACTTTTTAATAAATAGAGGTTATTTAATTGGAAGTTTTTGATAAAGGGTATCCTATATCTGAGGAAAATACAATATATATACCCGAGGGATCGTAGGAACCGAGGGTTGATATATTGTATTTACCGAGGGATATACCCTGTATCAAAAATCGAGCATTCAATAACTGATTTATCCTATACTCAGTAGATTATGAGAATTAAATATGCATTGAATGTTAGGGAACCTTAATGTAATGATTACAAACAATAATTAAAATCAAAACATGAATATTTATCTCAATTTAAAGTCCTCAACAATTTTTGTTTTTTAAACTCAACAGTTTTTAACATTTAACAGTGTATGAAATTAATATTTATCAAATAGAGCCAAAGTATATCCCGGGAATTCAAAAAGCACCGAAAGAAATCCCTGAGAATTGCTGATGAGTGGGTGATATATATATCATCCGCTCACCTCAGATATCGCTTATATTCCCGCATGTCATTTACCTATAACGCTACTAAGTATGGGATAACAAGAGTTATGCAATTATTATTTTGTAAGAAATGTTTTTCTTATACTCATGAGAGAGCTTTCGATATAAGTTTTCAGCCAAACTTATACTGCAACTTTAACTTTTAAATGATGTAGACACCATTGTGAGGATTAGGTTTCTCAAAAAAAACAGGAAAATACATTTCATTTGAAAAATTTTCCTCGTTTCCTAAATGAGATAATTGATTTGTGAATATCCCAGCAATGGCACAATTAATTTTTAAGTTGTAATCATATTTTGAAACCGGAACTCACGAACTACATACTTGCCAAATATTTTGTTGTGATTTGAAGGTTTCCAGAGTTTGTCCCCAGTGCTATTCCTGACTTGTACAAGGTTGCGTATATGTATTCCATATAACTTACCATATATCGATAGCTTTATATTATCCATTCCTTATCCTCTGTAATCACATGAATCAGAATATGCAGGTAGGTGACATAATGGTTTGGTTGTTTACCTATAGGTGGAGCTAGTCAGACAGGAAGTACTCTTATGAGCATGCTAAACACTGCACCTAAAGTTGGTCAGCAGATGACAGTTCATACACAAGAGGGAGCCACTAAATTAGTAAGTAGTTGCAAACAGCAAATTCACTTATGTAATGTACCATTTTCCTAAAATATATTCACCTTTCTGATGATGTATGGCAAATTCTCAAAATGTGCCCAATGATTTTTTCTGCAAAAGCACTGGAAAATTAAGAGTTAGTTCTTTTGACAGTTCCTGATAACACATACCATCTTAGCCCTCACTACCAATATTACCAGAGTGCAATGGTCTGTTTCATGCATTTTCTCAACATACATACAACCAATGTGCTTGTGTATCAGAATTCTAGGCATTTTATGTTTTAAATGAATAACTTCTTCTTTTCTCCTAACAGGGTGGGGCAGTGACAGTGGAGAGAGTGGATTCTAACATCTATGAAGGTTACACCAGTCAGAAGTTGGATGACCTCTCATCTGAAGGTTTGTTTGTTTGTTTGTATGTTTGTTTGTTGTTTGGTGAGGCCATGTGAATTCCATAATTAATATGTGTAATAACTGTGAGTTATAGTTTATTAAGCATTATTTAGGGAAAATCACAGTAAGGGATTTCACTGGAATATCAATCTTTTAATAATGCACAGTTCAGTTCCTCAAGGTTTCAGTTCTTTCCCAGGTATTTTGCATGAATTCCCACTTGTTGTTATACTAGTATGTTATAGGATGTTTTCATGACACTGCAGTATTACTACACAAATACCCACCTCTCATTATATGCCTTAGATTCATTTTGCAATCTCATCATGGAGTCCTCTGGCTTTACTGATGACATTAACTTGGACCTGTCCAACTACTGCATATAGTTAGTTAGCTTACATGCAATCGTCCTCAATTTCCCCATACATAGTGCAATCAACACAACATTGAATTATAATGACAATGAACCATTGGAGGATGGACAAATTCCAGACTATTCAATTCAATTTCAAAGGGCTAATTCAAATATGCTACAAAGCAATATTTTCTCTAGTGATCAAGGAAATTCAGCAGATCCTACACCAGCATAAATACGGACATAGACAACAACATCAGCAATGACTTTGTGTCTCGTTGGCACATTCCGCAAGGAATTGAGGAGCACTACACGCAAGGGAAAGATATGACTTTTCAGTCAGATTTCAACCTAAATATTTCAGATCCAAGGCTCAAGCCTTGTGATTCAAGGCTCATTCTTCAAGGGAATGAGATGCAGAGCACATCTAGATCCAACATCTGAATTCAATAGGATCATGAGCAATAAACACTATGTCTGCTAAGAGCACTTCACAAACTCAGGAGCGTACAGAAGTAACAGATCCCTGGATTTACCAAAACCAACTAAGAGAGTTTTGTATGTTTTATAAACAGGAAAATCAGTAAAAAGGATTTCCCACTTACTAATGTTGTAGGGGGTGGAGAGGGATCATTCCTTATCTCTGGGACTGCTGAGAGTGATGCTGTTAGACTGGGGAAGAGGAAGCGAAAGGCCCCTATTCCAGCTGATGAGAGTCCATCACAGTCAAGTGTTGGAGGATGGGTGCGAGCTGCCCTAGGGTAAGTACAGACCTGGTAAATTCATCATTGAATAAAACAAACAGGCATTTTAGTTATAGGTATACATTATAAATGAGAGAAAAGGTGCAATTTTCAGAAACATTAAATAATTAACAGCAACTTCAAAGCATAGCAAATCCCAATGAACTGCCATGGCTGGCATTTTTACAAAATTCTACAACTTTTTCAGCGCTTAAAATAACACATATAAAAATGGCCATCATTATAGAAATTGTCATTCACTAGCTAAATTGTCATAAGAAAGTAATAGGTTTCTAAGTAGGCACATACAAAATTTCAACAAAATCACACACATACTTGTATTTTTCAAAATGGGTACCTACGTGCCAAAGTGTCATAAGACAGTGTGCCATGCTTATGAGTATTGAACAAAATCACTCTACATGTATTACTTTTTGAGTTATAGTAAAAACGTAAAATAACACATGTGAAAATGGCTGCCTTCTAGCCAAAGTGTTATAAAACAGTGTGCCATGCTTATGAGTATTCACATATCAAATATGAACAAAATCGCTACACTTTACAGCAAAAATTTAAACAAAATTGCACACACAAGTAAATTTTTCAAAATGGCCACCTACTTGCCAAAGTGTCCTAAGACGTGTGCCATATTTAAAATGAGTATTCACATGTCAAATATGAACAAAATTGCTCCATTACTTTTTGAGTTATTGTAAAGTCATAAAAACACGTTAAAATGGCAGTCATTTTCAAAATGGTCGCCTTCTAGCCAAAGCGTCATAAAACAGTGTGCCACGCTTTTGAGTACATGCATTCACATATCATTTTGCAATAATATCTCGAAAAATATATTCATATTGTACATGAATGACATTTGTATATCTTGGATTGCTTCTAGTTTGGCTTATAAAGTGTGTGGCCTCTTATATTTGGATGCTTCTCTGCCATGTTATTTTCACTAAGATTAACATGGCTGAAATTCTTCAAATTACAAGACGGCACAGGCTTATTGCACAAAAAAATAAAAAATCTGAAATATAAATATGAACAAAATCGCTTCACTAATTTTCAAGTTACAGCAAAAATCATGAAATGGCGAGTAAAGGCCTCCATTTTTCAAGATGGCTGCCATGGGTTTCTTAAATATCTACATTTCTAGCTTTATTTATTATCCCACCGAACGAAGTTCGAGGGGGATTTAGAGAAGCCGTCCGTCCGTTCGTTCATCCGTCTGTGTGTCTGGGCGATAACTCCAATACCAGTTGACGGATTTGACTCAAATTTGATAGGCTTATGCCTTATGAGTGTAGGACCTCTGCTCGAGAAGGAATTTTCAATATGGCCACTCAATTCAAAATGGCCACCATTTTTCGTAAAAAATGTAATCGTTGATAACTCAAATACAAGTTGACGGATTTGGTTCAAATTTTATATGCTGATGCCTAGGGACAAAGGAGTTTCGCACAAAAAGAGATTTTCAAGATGGCCCCTTGCTTTCAAAATGGCGGCCATTTTTCGTTAAAATATATAATCTTTGATAACTCAAATACCAGTGAACGAATTCGGTTCAAATTTTATATGATGATGCTTTGGGACACAGTAGCTATGTTCAACAAAAATTTTTCAAGATGGCCACTTAATTTCAAAATGGTGGCAATTTTTCGTAAAAAACATAATCTTTGATAACTCAAATACCAGTGAACAGATTTGGTTGAAATTTTATATGATTATGCCTAGGGACACAGTAGCTCTGTTCAAGAAATAATTTTTAAGATGGCGGCTGAATTTCAAGATGGCAGCCAATTTTCATAAAAAACATAATCTTTGATAACTCATATACCAGTGAACGGATTTGGTTCAAATATTATATGATGATGCCTAGTTCACAATGGTATAAACTAACTTTGTGCCAAATTTCATGCTTCTATCACAAAGTGCACAAACATTTCAACATTTACACTAGCTATAATCACAGGCTGGTATCGAAAGATTTGTCCGCTGTGACGGAGCATGCTATTTTTCATAAAAACACTAAGAATGCTTCACGATTTATTTTTTAACTCATATGTTTCGTTATATCAAAGATAATTACTTACTCCATGCAATGGATATATCATTTGGGTGTAACCTTCACTTCTGTTTGAAGTCCAATAATGCTAGGAGTAAAATCTATTGAAAACAGTGCCAGAGTATCAAACTCTAAAATGTACCATTTCTTTTTAATGGCTTTTTAATGGCATGATATAGTGACACAATAATATTAACATATGTTTTAAGCATAACTCTGAATGTATTAATGAGATATTAATGCATTGGGTCTTTTTAATTTTTTAATAAAAAATAATATTAATATTTTTTGTCCGCTGTGACGGAGCATTTTCACAGTTCACATTTGCAACTGCTCCGTCACAGCGGACAAAAAAATTAAACATTATTTTTTATAAAAGAATTAAAAAGACCAAATACATCAACATCTCGTTTATACCTTCATAGTTATGCTGAAACCATGTGTAAATATTATCGTGTCACTATATCGTGCCATTAAAAAGTTAAACAAGAAATGGTACATTTTGAAGTATGATACTCCGGCGCCATTTTCAATAGCTTTTCTTCCCAGCGCAATTGGACTTCAAACAGAAGTGAAAGTTACCCGCAAATGATATATCCATTGCATGGAGTAAGTAATTTTGTATGGTATAACGAAACATATGAGTTAAAAAATAAATCGTGAAGTATTCTTAGTGTTTTTATGAAAAATAGCATGCTCCGTCACAGCGGACAAATATTTCGATACCAGCCTGTGATAAAAAGCATAATATGTTTTGTTCTGTGGGATTTGCTACTCCGTGGAGTTGCTGTTTTTCTAGTTTGCTAGGCTATATAACTTTTTTACATTTAATACATATTGCTATTACAGATTTATATATTGTACCTAAATTAATGTAAAATTTAAACGAGTGGCCATTTTGAAAATTGGCTTTCCAGCAGAACTTCTACCCCCATAGCACATATATGTACAAAATATGAACAAAATCAGGCCAACGGTATTTGAGTTAATGCCCAGATGGACGGATGGAGGTGTTCCCTATAATCCTCCAAACTTTGTTGGATGGGATAATAAGCTTGGAATAGTCAGTGTAAGTTTTCTCAGCATTGTGACTCATTACAGACATGCATAGAAGCTAAGAATGATGTTCACAATGAAAAGTAATTTTGCTGCATTTTCTAGGCTGTTGCAACGAGTGTCACGCTACAGAGGCATCAACAGGGACAAGGGTGATATCAATGCAGCTTCATGGTTCACTAGACCAGTCAACCCAGAGGAAGCTCCTGGTTACTATAAAATAATCAAGAATCCCATGGACTTTGGCACAATTAAGAGAAAACTAGAGGTAAATGTCTTGTAAGATGAGACTCAGAGTTTAGGCTTAGTCATCTGCATATGAAAAAGCATTTCCAATTAAAATAAAGAATATTAAACAATTTGAAAACAATGGGAAATGATGAATTTCCAGTGTAAAAATAGAAATAAACATTATAAAAAATTTTGAAAGTCCTAATCCTGTTGATAATGAAGAAGTTATAAAATTATGATTCCACTTAACGATTTCACTGCAGGCCCTGATGATTTTAAACCAAAAATTATTAATTTCTTCCTGAACTGGTGTCTCAAGATTTAATTTCATAAGGTTGATAAGAACTGAAAAACCAAACTGAAAATAGAACCAAAAGTCCAATGTTGTGAATCAAACCGAACCGAGAAATTGTGAAACTGTCTGAGCCCTAGTTATCAGAGTATTTTAAGAATACAATATGCCTATTTCACCATATTTCAGGGTTTTACCATTACAAGTGTTCTCAGGATTTAGCATTATTTCCGCTTGCAGGTTGGCCAGTACCAGAATTTTGAGGCATTTCACGAAGACATGTTACTAGTGCGAGACAACTGCTACAGATATAACCCCCCAGGTCATGACGCCAGGAAGGATGGGGAGGAGGTGTTCAGTTTCTATGAGATAGAATACATTAAGATGATGGAGAAGTGGAGCAATAGACATCACCAGATCTCTCCTGTTGGGAGCCCTAATGTTAAAAAGTTGAAATATGATAAGTCTCCAACGCAAGATTGGGCAGCATTGCCTCAGCAACAGTGAGGATATTTTACATGTGTTCATTTGCAAGAGTGTTTGTGTAAACTGTGCATCAATGCTAGTGGTACACTGGCATGGACTATATTTGGATATGAGAGTGTAAACTGAAACAATTATCATGTACAGTGTGAAACACCCGAAGAATATACAAATAAATTGTTTAAATTATTATGTACATTTATGTCTTTATGTATGGATTAGTTAATACAGGTATAAACAGACTTGTGTGTTTATTTCCAATTTTTGCCAATTAGACATTGATTCACAATTCAACTGGGTTCATTTTGGATTCCAACAAATCTTCAAAGTCATTGAAATCAATACAAAATGCCCACCCAAAAATGAGTTGTTTCATGGAATATTAAAAATAAGAATCGTTTTGGTTTCTAGAAAATAAGCATGAACATTTTTACTTATTTCTACCTCTGCGAAGGTTGCATGGTGCACATAGGAAGGATGATGAGCAATTAAAAATGTTCAAAGGATGATAAAACTAGAAAATGGCAAATCCATTCACTAGTATTTGAGTTATCTTCCAGGCAGACGGACTTCGTTCGTTGGGATAATAAAACTCTTAAATTGAAATATTTTAACAGAGTATAAAAAATTTAATCCTACATAATGCAAATGCATTACAACCTTTTCAAGCAACACAGTCTGTTATTTCACATCATTGTAAAGGTAGTGTCAGCTGCCAGCTAGAACTTTGCCATACATTGGAGATGCAATTGAAAAACAAAAAGGAAATCACAAGTGCAGTAGAATAAGCTGATAATATGACTGCTTCAGTCTGGTCTTTTATCAAAATATTGGCGATAAAATTAAAACGACTTGTGAAGAACAGGTCCATTTAACAGACTATTGGTCAACTTAAACCTTTTCCAAAAAACTCATTCTTCCATTTACTTTTAAAACCGATTGCAAGTTGTAGATAAACCTTTTTTCTTGAAATGTGCAATTTCAAAAAATGGCATTAGTTTCAGTTTCTTTGAAAAATTGGCAGTAAGAACCCCTATCACAAGACTGTCTGAATATGGGTACACACTATGTTTACCATCAAAATAATATCAAAACGTATCATAATATAGAATTTATTATATGGAACATGTAGCATACAGGCATTTGGAGTAGAACATTAACAAAATCCAGCTATGTATGAGGTTTACTCATGCAAATCTGGAAAACATTGTCATTTTTGTTCACTTTGTCATCAATTTTTAGCATGGTGCTCATTCTCTTTCACTGAAAATTTAACCATCAGCCCACACTCCCACAAAAAAGATATTGAAACTGTATAATGCAGAGACTGTGAAGTAGCTTCCCTGCAAATATCATTGTTGTGGGAGTGTGGGCTCACCACTAAAACTTAACTTTTGTGATGAAAATAGGGCTGACTGGTTTATGTTTTCAATATGGCTGGTAACCTTGGCATACATGTACACTACATAACTGCATGTACAGATTAGGCCATTCAAATTAATTATATGTTGGCTTTCTGATGAAGGGCCTTTTATTAAAAACTACAAAAGCTTTTTTTATTTAAAAGGGTTTTATATACTATTTAATAGTGAAAATGCAATAACACACTGTGGGAAGGCAAGTAACACACCTCTTGATTCAGATGACTTTGTTAATGAAGACAATACTGAAGCTTATATACACATAGTTTTTAATCAATCTTGGAACTCATTTCACTACAATATAATCCAAGATCACAATTCCCTTTGTCATTTATATCCATTACAAGTACAGAGTACATGGGAACATTTTGTTTATTCTGAAAACATAGAATTTTGTGACATTAATTATAAAAACATCTTTGAATGGCCTTAGTATTTTTCTAAATAGGGTATAAGTAGAGAATTTTAAGCAATCCTTTGAGTGTCATGCCATTTATACATGATGCTGCCTTATATTTTATGATATATATTGAAAGAGGATTTCTCTGAATTATTTGTGTTTCAAATATGGGAACTGCAAATTGGCAAATAACTTCAAAATTAAGTGTCCATACAGACATTTAATTTCAAATTCCAAAGCAAATGCCAATGGGCATTTATTAAAAGTGACCCTATAACTATTTAGAATATGGCAAACATGTTTAGAAAACTGGTGAGAAGCAATTGAAATAAGAAAATCCATTCTCATGGAAGTGCCCTTGTGTGCATTTAATTGCAGTCATTTTATCCCAATTGCCCATGGGCATTAAAACAATAATCACACCCCAACTCTTAAAACATGCTTAGGATACTGTTGGAGTCTCAAAAGGCAACAAGGACATTAATTTTTGAAACAGGAAAATTCAGTCCCCCTAAAAATGCCCATATGGGGATTTATTCTCAAGATTTTCCATGATTCCGTAATTGCCCGTGATAATTTATAAAGAATATTTCTATTTCCATTCACATGTCGCAATCAAAATTAAGCCAATTGCTTTCATTTCTTGTATTAGAAAATGGCAAAATTTGGGCAAAAATAGCATCTCTCAAAGTTGACCTTTAAACTACTCTAATGTCAAGGTCAAATGTCAAAATTCTCAGAAATCACATTTTAAGTAATAAGTCATACTTCCTCATCAATTCCATGTCAATATATACTTGTTTTGTAGGGGGGCTAAAAGAGGGGTTTACCGCCACCTGTCCTTTAACATATCTTACGAACTCCAGTTAGTCTAAATGGGCAAAGTTTGTTTACTTGCAGTTTATGGATAAGGGTTGAGAGAAAATACAACCATTTCTTTTGAAATGAGTTCTCAGTTATGATAGAATCTTCATGAACATTGATAGCATTAATATCTTGGTTTGTCATCATAACACTGTTTGTTTCCAATAATTCTGTAATCAATTTGAAGAAAACACGCCTGTGTATATTATTTACAACTTTATATTTGCATTCAGTATCCATTCCAACATACTCTAGTAAACAATTCAACATTTCACTGTTAGTCAGGAATTATATCAGTCAGACATGGCATATAAGTTAATGTCACATACTCACTGGGGGGTATCGTGATGCAACAACACCGTGTTGTTGCATCAAGATGGCCACACTTCCGGTAATAGATTTTCGTACGATATTTTGTTTCCCCAATTTAAACCCATTTCTAGGACGAGTTTCTCAATAACCATGCACGTGCAGTTAGCGCACGATCTATATTTAAAGAAACTGTCATTAGTATACATGTAGCATCATCAAGGAGCAATATGTTCACGGTTTTAGTTCCTCACTATTGATGCAACAACACCAAACCGAAGATGCAACAACACTCCTCTAGATTTGAGCAATGATGCAGCAACACCAATTAATAGTATAATTTCAGAAGACCATAAATCTCGAGAGGAACAGATTTTTAAATGCTACTATTGCAACACCGGTCCATTACCCATTTGCGTTCTTCTCAAGGCATTCAAAATACACGTTCTGCGGGCGAAGATTCTTTATATGTATTTTAAAAAATTTATACTTTTAAATATAATAATGTACTGGAAGTTGTTCTATAACATAGTTCAATCGCCTTTAACATAGCAAGCTATAGTAACCCAATCTATTTTCATAAACCACCGTTCCATAGCTTGATGACCCTGACTCCAGTTAGTATCATTCAAAATGGTGGACAAACATCTTTCGTTCTCGGTCAACATGACGAGCTATTGGAAATTATCTGTCATCCATCTGTGGAACAGTGATAAACTAGTAGATGTATGTTACCACTGTTTATCAAAATATAACTAAAACAGTTTAACTGTGACATTCGTGAGCTTATCGGAGAACATTTCACAAAGCATGTTGATGGGATGATTGCTTCATCTATGATATGATATGATATGATATGATATGATATGATATGGTATGATATGATTCTTTGTTGCCTCCAAATTGGAGAGCCAGCGTGTAAAAACGTCTAATTGACTTTGTTAGTGAAGTTTAGTTACACGTTTTATGAAAATCTTGCACGGCGCACATGTAGAAGTATTGCTCTCTTTGGATTTGTTCTCTCCAACTGAGTAAAAAAAGGTAAACAAAAGTGATAGGATTTAAGTCCCAAAAAGGTAAAATCCCAGATTCCCCCGGGCCCTCTGGGAATATCATATTTTATCCTACACTTAGTGTGCTTAATGTATAATTACATTAAAAAATAAATTTCATATCTAATTGGCAAAATGAATAACCGGAGGATATCGCCACGATATATTCCGGAAAACCAATATGCGCTTGTTGATTTCCCGCCAAATTGACTCTATTTGGCATGAAATTCATTTTCAATGTTATTATACATTTAGCACACTCCTTGTAATTGTAGGATAATGATAACATACTATTTTTTTAGAATATCATTTTAATCTACTCGGTGATATTGATATATGCACTCGTTTGCTTTGCTTTCTCGTGCAGATATCAATATCACCTCCACTGGCGGATCTGGGGGGGGGGGGCTTTTGGCCAGCCCAGAAAAAAATTGGGCCTTGAGGCCCCAGAAACTGGGCCTTTTTGGTCATTACTGGGCCTTTTAAGGCCTTATTTTTTAATTTCAGGCCAAAATTTTGAAGAAAATGGGCCTCAAAATTTCAACACTCATCTTATACAACTATTGAGAACGATGTACAACTCCTGGATAGCGAACTCAACTCCTGGTCATCGTATACAACTCTTCAACTTGATAGACGTCATACTTTGGGTGGGATAACAAAGGATATACAACACAAAATGACTGATATCTGTTGTCTTTCCATAATTATATTAGTTCTTTGTAAACAATTTCCATACGGTAAATCAAGGGCATTTAATTAAGAAAATGTATAATCTTTATTTTTCAGATACAATATCAATGAGGTTGGCTCCCGGGGATTCAATACTTAGCCTATGTTTTTAGTTTGCCCTGTATATCCGTTTATCTTTGATAAAGTCAAATACATTACGAAACCAAACAAAATACGTTTCATTCATGGACCACTGACCTGAAACGAGTTTTATTCATGTCCCGACCAACACCTAAAAACAGTTTCTCCTGTTATTCAATGATACATTATATTGGCGTTTTTGCATCAACACATTGGTGTTGTTGCATCATCGATAATAAACAGCGTGGTGTTGTTGCATCAATAGTGAGGAATTAAAACCGCGAATATATCGCTTCTTGATGATGCTACATGTATACTAATGACTGTTTTTTTAAATATAGATCATGCGCTAACTGCACGTGTATGATTATTGAGCAACTCGTCCTAAAAATGGGTTTAAATTGGGAAAACAAAATATCGTACGAAAATCTATTACCGGAAGTGTGGCCATCTTGATGCAACAACACGGTGTTGTTGCATCACGATACCCCCCAGTGATACTCTTTGCTTCAAGAAAAGGTCAATAATGAATATAAGGATTTCATTGGATTGTATCTGTTCAATGTACTTAGCAGACCTGGAGCTTAATGGTCTGATTCTGTCAATGTTTTATTGTTGACAAAGCACAGGCAGTTCATATACAACCCATGACATGTTTTACTCCATTTAACTCAGATCTGGTTGAAAGCCACATACGCAGAATATCACTTTAGCCTCACTTTAAAAAAAAATAATTGTCTCATCGTTTTCCTCCACTTGGTTTCTCTCGTTCTTTCTGGTATTCCATCTCAATTTTTGTCTCTATTTTTTCCCAGTCTATCTCAACCTGAAACACAATTTGTAATGTTAACTTTTCATCATAAACATAGACAGATAGATGAGGAAGTAAACCATGCAGATGTAAAATCCAAATTTCCTCCTATGAACTAATTAGCTGTGGAATGTGACACCATCTACAACTAAACCAATAACAAGAAAGGACTAAAGTTGATAGTGCAACCTTCAAACAGTCATAGCTTGTAGACATTTTTTGACCATTGGAACAAGTGCTACTTTTCGGCCCATCCTTCATGTCAAAAAAGTACATTTATGTACAATGATAAAAAGTTCTGACTCTGAAATAAGCAGGAAGCAATCAACACATAGTTTTCTTGAAATATTGATTGCTATATAAAAACAACTTGATATTTAAATGTTGAATTCAGTATATTCAGTAAATGCATTTTTTTTTATATAGGATTTGTGTATTAAAAAGGAAATTTTCATGAATAAAGGTACCGTATTTCAAAAGAAGGAAAATCAAAATATCAATATCAAACCACTTTTCTTTTAAGAAGTAAACCATTGCTCACACCAAAAAAATTAAACATTGCCTTTTTGTACTCTAACTGAACACTATTTTATTTTGAAGACAACAAAATTTAATCCAAAATGAAAAATGATTGTGTTTATTATTGATACACATTTTCAAAACAAAAATGATAATATAATCAATTCATAAATACAACAGAAAAATGTTTATTTTCACCGATACTTGAACTTTGAAAGTACAGTAAAACCTGTCCGATGGAATACCTCTCTGTAGGGAAAACCTATGAACAAGGAATGCTTTTCAAAAGAACCAAATATTTTTCCATTGACTTACATGTTAACGGACCCTCTCTGTAGGGAAAACCTGTGAACAGGGAACAAGGAACACTATTTTGGGGCAAATTATGAAAATTCACCTGTGAATAAGGAATATGGAATATTGGTGACACTGTATATTCCATTATTTTTCAGAGGTGTGAAAGTCTTAAGCCAATATCTAATTCTAAAAAGCTTGGATTGATATGATTGAGATTAAGATAAGCCAATTGTTTACAAGATATAAGCATCCCACCCACTGTTAATTACCCTGATATATTTTAAAACTAATACTAATCTGTTTGTTAATAATTATCATGACGCTAATTCTTCCTTTCAACAAACATAATTGCATCAAATCAGTTGTGATAATCTAGTGATTGACACAATTGTTATATGGAGATAACAGATAAGTACATGTGTCATGTTGAGCCAAATCTATCAACAATTACAACAACTAGACATCATCATGCGCCAGCAGCAGCGGCTAAAATCAACATCGGGAGAATGCTCCTTACCCTCACCTAAAGGAGGGAGGTGGAAGACCTTCATACATCTTCCAAGATGTCACAACAAGGTCTAGCAACCAAGTATTGAGTCGGCATTGGTAAAATCAATAAATGCCCAAATATATACAAAAAATGCTTATTCGGCAATTCTGAGTTTGCTGAAAGTGTGACCCCTCTCTATAGGGAAAACCTCTGAACAAGGAAACTTTCCTCCAGTCCGAAGAGCATTCCCTGTTCGCAGGTTTTACTGTATAATGCAATTGTGTCAAGTACTCTTACTAATTATCTGTTTTTACGGATATGTTATGATTGCATTTTATTCATTCATAGCATGTTTTAATAACATTTTTAGGAAACTTATCTTTGAAATGTTATCTAACTAAAAACAGGAACAACAAAAACATCTAGAAAATTGTATAAATAGGGGTATGGGAAATTACATTTTTAGAGCCTTTAGATAATCTTTCATAATATATGAGTTCACTGCATAAAGAGGAATGATGAGATTCATTATAGCTTTGGCTGTGTTGACTTCCATGGCAACATGTTTGCCCATAGAGGAAAGTGGAGGAAAACCAGCTGAGCTCCCAGCTAGTGGAGCAATTAACACTACAGATGAAAATGAGGGTGAGTAGAAGAAGACTGAATTGTGTCAATGACACGTTGCGCTAATATTAGCTAAAAAAATAAAAGATTTATGCCATCTCAGAGGTATCTTAATTTGGAGGATGATTTTAAAAATACTCATTTCTGTATTCTAGAAAACCAAAATGTTGAACTTGATAAAGAAGTTGTCCTGCCCTATGTGTCCAAGACCCTGAACACAGCAATGACCTTGGCTGAGAGAGCAGCAAGGGTGAACTCTAATACCAAGTCTCAGGTAGGCCTGTTTAACTATTTAAAGGTGCAACAAAGATTAGATAAAATGGTTATCTGGCAACATTTTTAAGAAGAAATTTTAGTTCTAATGGATTTGCATGTCTCTCTGTATTTAATTTGGTGAATTCAGCATTTTTTGAAATTTTGGCTGCTATTTAATTTGGTGAACTGAGCCAAAATCTATCGTACTACTCCACAGCTCACTTCCATATCCATTTTACCTCTCCTGGTATCAGATTGTTTTATCTAAACCAGCGGAGATCTTAGGAAATAGTTTAAAATTGACATTTTATCCATGGTCCAGACAAGATTTTCACCAAAATTTTATTGTGCAAGGTAACACATGAATTTCATTTAAAAAATGGCAGGGACTTAATTTGGCAGTTTTTATCCATTGGCCAAATCCGCCAAATCAAAATATATGATTTCAGAACAGACATATTTGCAAATATTACAAAGGGGCGTGACATTTTCAAGATGTTGTATATGATTTCAGAACAGACGTGTTTGCAACTATTACAAAGGGGCGTGACATTTTCAAGATGTTGTATATGATTTCAGAACAGACGTATTTGCAAATATTACAAAGGGGCGTGACATTTTCAAGATGTTGTATATGATTTCAGAACAGACGTGTTTGCAACTATTACAAAGGGGGGTGACATTTTCAAGATGTTGTATATGATTTCAGAACAGACGTATTTGCAAATATTACAAAGGGGCGTGACATTTTCAAGATGTTGTATATGATTTCAGAACAGACGTGTTTGCAACTATTACAAAGGGGCGTGACATTTTCAAGATGTTGTATATGATTTCAGAACAGACGTATTTGCAAATATTACAAAGGGGCGTGACATTTTCAAGATGTTGTATATGATTTCAGAACAGACGTGTTTGCAACTATTACAAAGGGGCGTGACATTTTCAAGATGTTGTATATGATTTCAGAACAGACGTGTTTGCAACTATTACAAAGGGGCGTGACATTTTCAAGATGTTGTATATGATTTCAGAACATACGTGTTTGCAACTATTACAAAGGGGCGTGACATTTTCAAGATGTTGTATATGATTTCAGAACAGACGTGTTTGCAACTATTACAAAGGGGCGTGACATTTTCAAGATGTTGTATATGATTTCAGAACAGACGTGTTTACAACTATTACAAAGGGGCGTGACATTTTCAAGATGTTGTATATGATTTCAGAACAGACGTGTTTGCAACTATTACCAAGGGGCGTGACATTTTCAAGATGTTGTATATGATTTCAGAACAGACGTGTTTGCAACTATTACAAAGGGGCGTGACATTTTCAAGATGTTGTATATGATTTCAGAACAGACGTGTTTGCTATATTACAAAGGGGCGTGACATTTTCAAGATGTTGTATATGATTTCAGAACAGACGTGTTTGCAACTATTACCAAGGGGCGTGACATTTTCAAGATGTTGTATATGATTTCGGATCAGACATGTTTGCAACTATTACCAAGGAGCATGAAATTTTCAAGATGTTGTTATGATTTCAGATCCAACGTGTTTGCTATTACTACCAAGGGGCATGGCAATTAACAGAGGGACAATCCCTTCACTTTCTTGACCGCCACCGTGTCAAATGTGACCCAGGGCAATATCTAGTGGACTGGAGACTTGGAGGTGAAAGGCAGGGAGGAGGGTCAGGGTCACGTCATATGAGAATGCTCTGGCACTGCTGTACAATATAGAAGACTCTTATAAGAACTATATGCATATGTGCAGACAATATTCTATGACTTTTATTACTCAAGAGGATATTAATATTTGCATTTAGATACTAGTATGTGATTTTTAGTGAGTTATTTTCAAGGATATCTTTGCTTGAAGCTGATCTGCACCTGAATATCTCAGAGATATTCAAGCAATCTGTTTCTAAGGCTATCATAAATGCCATTCAAGATGCTTTCTTTGTTAGCCCAATACTTGGGTCAATTATCATAGTTGTCTATAAATGATATGACAGATTTGGCTCACATTACACTCGGGACATTACATGTACTATATATACTACTAAACATGTTTTCATTGACTAAAATACAATTTACGTTTAAATTAGTCTCCTCATGTTGTGAGAAATAAGGTACTCCATTCCTCAGTGCCTTTCATAGTTGCTTTTTACAAGACATAGACTGGGAAATATCAAATTTTTGATTAGGTTATGTCCAAAACAGAGTCGAGATTTTTGTTGGTTAAATCCTCACTTTGGAATGAGTCACATAGAAATTGAATTTCTTTTAACATCAGATACACTTAAAATACATTACATAAAATCTTAACATAATATTCCTGTACATTGCATTTAATAATATACTGTATTCCTATTTGTTCAAAAGAATATATCAAAAGCTTTACATAAACTTAACTCACCCCTTCTGAGTACTGAAGAAATCGTTTGTTTTTCTCCTTACGGTCAAACTGTCCCAGATATCTCTTTCTGTATGCAAGCACTGTGTCAACATGCGTCTTGTGTTTCACTGCCAACTCCAGGGCTCTGTGAGAATATCTCATATTAGCTTATGTTAAGGAAACACACTTAGCTTTTACTTAGCTTGTATTTGCAAATGGCGGTCGCCTACCAGATTAATCACTATTTTTGAACAACTCATTTAAATATGAATGGAATAGTGTACTATTCATATCAAAATTAGTTACCCATAAAATAGTAGGTTTATCTGAAAGTTGCATTTGCGAATAAAAGCTTAGTTCTCTTATAGACAGGAAGTCAACTGTTTCAGATGGGATGTGGTTTTTAGCAAATTGAAAAGATGTCACAAGTAGCTAAGTGCATTGAATTTTGGCTTCACTGAATGTAAATCTCTTTCTTCTTCCAAATCATACAATTTTCTTTTCAAAATTATTTTGTTCTGACTTTGTTTGAATTAATTTGGGGCGAAGTGAAAATTAAAAATGATCACCAAAGTGAAGATTTAGGATATGTGAGGAAAATATTGGATATTTTTCCTGAGGATTAGTGATTTGAAAATTCTAAGTGACAATCTAAATATACATTTGAGTTTATGTATTAAAAAATTGGTGATGTTTGCACTCCTAAAAAGTGTTACCGTTTTTGAAGACTAGTATGACAAAATAAGCAATTTTTGTCAATAAGTATCCCACTTATTAGTAAAATTTTAGTTTACAGTTTAACATATTGGAAGTTAGACACATGACTTTAAGGAATAAAAGAAGGGATAGAATGTAAAATGTGGATATGAGATGGAATGATGAGGCATGAGGTATTATTGTACAATTGTGACTTTCTTGAGACTTACTCTCATTACATCTCTTTCCCTTCTAATTCCTTCAAATGTAAGATAACCAGAGGCATTTCAGAATAACTCATTTTCCTCATCCAGCTTTTTCTAGTGCTACTATGATTTAACTAATGCCTACCTGTCCCAGTTATATAGCTGGATATTCATCATTATGCCACGGAAGATAAGGCCCCCCTGAAGTAAGATCCCCTCGGCATCCTGTGTATTTCCGCAGAGTAGTGCCATTTCAGCATTTCTGGCTTCTTTACTAGGAATGTCTTTAATGTGTAGTATATACTGCACTTTGTCTGCCTAGAGACAACAATTCAATTGATTAACAACAAATAATGCAAGTGTACAAGGGTTGTCTCATTTTGTTAAACTGCAAGGAGATGAGTCCATCAAAAGTGTCAGTCTTATTCAACCTTCTTTCAGGATGAGAACTGAAAAATCATTTTTTGAAAGAATGAATGAATAATATTACTAAACAATATGTCAGGTGATAAAAGAAAATAGTGGGTAGATATTGACCAAGAGGATTTTGGAGACAATAAATATGAACAACTAGCAGGACTTACTTGATTTATGGCAGCATATGCAATCTCAACTTACTTGATTTATGGCAGCATATGCAATCTCAACTTACTTGATTTATGGCAGCATATGCAATCTCAACTTACTTGATTTATGGCAGCATATGCAATCTCAACTTACTTGATTTATGGCAGCATATGCAATCTCAACTTACTTGATTTATGGCAGCATATGCAATCTCAACTTACTTGATTTATGGCAGCATATGCAATCTCAACTTACTTGATTTATGGCAGCATATGCAATCTCAACTTACTTGATTTATGGCAGCATATGCAATCTCAACTTACTTGATTTATGGCAGCATATGCAATCTCAACTTACTTGATTTATGGCAGCATATGCAATCTCAACTTACTTGATTTATGGCAGCATATGCAATCTTAACTTACTTGATTTATGGCAGCATATGCAATCTCAACTTACTTGATTTATGGCAGCATATGCAATCTCAGCTGTGGAGAGTTCTTTATTGTATGCAGCCATGGCAGCAAGACAAGACCAGAGGCACTCATCCTGTGAAACAATGTTTCATAATCATCTTATTTGAAGATTTACAATCAATCAATTATATATTAACTGCATAAACGGACTGTTTAAAGTTCAACATAAATGAACATAAATACTTGCACTATGTGTTACTTTACTTTAATATTTATGGCCCCAAACACTTCCCTTGATTAAAAACACATACAAAAATTATACTAGTAATTATTGCAATTTGGATTTGTAATTCAATATAGGAGTAAAATGACCTTTGGATTCAGTGCCTTAACAGGACAAACTGAGGCTCTAAGACAATAACCTCAATGAATACATTCACAAACAGCAAAGTCACTTTGTAAGCCTGCTGTATGAACTCATTTTTGTTTTAGCTAAGTTTTTCATCCTCTTAATATAAGTATAAAATAAAGTTAAAAAATAACAGCTCAAGTAAATTTTATCCAGGAAACCATGCAGTGCAAGACCTCTTTAAATAAACCGGATTATTTTGAGATATGAGCTAACTTTGAATAGAAGTGGATTTCTAAATAAATATAAATAGAGGATAAAATATAGCACATCATTTAAGAATTTCTATGACAAATGGAAAAAGATAAGTCACGCTTTACACAGAAACATGAAATACACTTCAAACCATACTTCAGCAAACTTACAAGTTTTGATTGTCCATAATTGTAAAATGTCACCTTTTGGCGACAAAATATATAAAACGAAATGTGAAATACAATATATGGAAGATGTCACTACAATGTAAGGTTTGAGAATGCAATACTTAAGAATTCTTTGCATCAATTGCTTAAAAAGATTCAGATGACTTTTAAAACATTTCTATTTTGAATCACTTTATAGAACACTGACCTTTACAAATCGACACAATCGGACAGCATCTTCCCATCGTCCTCCAGTGATGTAACCGTGAAGAATGGCTGGGTATGGCGACACCCCTGTGCTTACAATTGAACCTTCCGCACGTCTTATTGCTACATGGTTACCAAGAAAGTTGGACAGATATGGATTCTTTCCAAACTCACTGCAATATAAGAGAGCCTTTTTTAAGTGACAGCTAAATGACTGGTCATGAATCAAGCAGATTACTCACACATTGCATCAATATTTATTTTGTAATGTCACAAACTTCATAGTAAAGATTTAGCATCAATAATAATGGATTCAGTATTTGAACGATAAACAAGACACTTAATATATGTTCATTTGCATTGTCAAAAAAAAAATATCAAAAGTACAATGTCCATGACAATTTTCCACAAGCACAGATGATGATTTCCATCCTGAAAATAAATGTGGGAAGAGTATTGGCTACTGACCTTGCATCTTTTTCAAAGACAGTCTTAGTGATGAGATCTTTGTCCACGAGGGCAGCATTGGGGTAGTACCATACAATGAACTTGCCATCAGCCATTGCAGCTAGCATGTTTGTCTGGTCATTCCATGCCACAGAATGTATCATAGTGCCTGGAGAACAAATAGAGAATGGATTCAGAGGTTCTTTGCATTAGTATGCCACAGAATGTATCATAGTGCCTGGGGAACAAACAGAGAATAGATTGAGAGGCCCTTGCAGAATGTATTATAGAGCCTAGAGAACAAATAGAGAATGGATTGAGAGGCTCCTTGCATTAGTATGCCACAGAATGTATTATAGAGCCTAGAGAACAAATAGAGAATGGATTGAGAGGCTCCTTGCATTAGTATGCCACAGAATGTATTATAGAGCCTAGAGAACAAATAGAGAATGGATTGAGAGGCTCCTTGCATTAGTATGCCACAGAATGTATCATAGTGCCTGGGGAACAAACAGAGAATAGATTGAGAGGCCCTTGCAGAATGTATTATAGGGCCTAGAGAACAAATAGAGAGTGGATTGAGAGGCTCCTTGCATTAGTATGCCACAGAATGTATTATAGAGCCTAGAGAACAAATAGAGAATGGATTGAGAGGCCCTTGCATTAGTATGCCACAGAATGTATCATAGTGCCTGGGGAACAAACAGAGAATAGATTGAGAGGCCCTTGCAGAATGTATTATAGAGCCTAGAGAACAAATAGAGAGTGGATTGAGAGGCTCCTTGCATTAGTATGCCACAGAATGTATTATAGAGCCTAGAGAACAAATAGAGAATGGATTGAGAGGCCCTTGCATTAGTATGCCACAGAATGTATCATAGTGCTTAGAGAACAAATAGAGAATGGATTGAGAGGCCCTTGCAGAATGTATTATAGAGCCTAGGGAACAAATAGAGAGTGGATTGAGAGGCTCCTTGCATTAGTATGCCACAGAATGTATTATAGAGCCTAGAGAACAAATAGAGAATGGATTGAGAGGCCCTTGCAGAATGTATTATAGAGCCTAGAGAACAAATAGAGAGTGGATTGAGAGGCTCCTTGCATTAGTATGCCACAGAATGTATTATAGAGCCTAGAGAACAAATAGAGAATGGATTGAGAGGCCCTTGCAGAATGTATTATAGAGCCTAGAGAACAAATAGAGAATGGATTGAGAGGCCCTTGCAGAATGTATTATAGAGCCTAGAGAACAAATAGAGAGTGGATTGAGAGGCTCCTTGCATAAGTATGCCACAGAATGCATCATAATACCTAGAGAACAAATAGAGAATGGATTGAGAGGCCCTTGCAGAATGTATTATAGAGCCTAGAGAACAAATAGAGAATGGATTGAGAGGCCCTTGCAGAATGTATTATAGAGCCTAGAGAACAAATAGAGAGTGGATTGAGAGGCTCCTTGCATAAGTATGCCACAGAATGTATTATAGAGCCTAGAGAACAAATAGAGAATGGATTGAGAGGCTCCTTGCATTAGTATGCCACAGAATGTATCATAGTGCCTGGGGAACAAACAGAGAATAGATTGAGAGGCCCTTGCAGAATGTATTATAGGGCCTAGAGAACAAATAGAGAGTGGATTGAGAGGCTCCTTGCATTAGTATGCCACAGAATGTATTATAGAGCCTAGAGAACAAATAGAGAATGGATTGAGAGGCCCTTGCATTAGTATGCCACAGAATGTATCATAGTGCTTAGAGAACAAATAGAGAATGGATTGAGAAGCCCTTGCATTAGTATGCCACAGAATCTATCAGAGTGCCTAGAGAACAAATAGAGATTGGATTGAGAATCCCTTGCATTAGTTTGCCACAGAATGTATCATAGTACCTGAAGAACAAATAGAGAGTGGGTTGAGAGGCTCCTTGCATTGTCACATAATGTAACTACAATTATTTTAGTCACAATAATCATATAATAATACAATTTCTATAGCTATGAAAATTATTTTAGAAGTATTCCTTGTTTTACCTAATTTGACAATCTTTCTTTGTGTTCCAAACACCCGAACAGATACCAGATAGAGGTCTCTATTTCTGTCCACAATTGCTAAGCGTCTCTCATTAGCTGGGCCACATTGGTCAAGTTCCACCTCCATAACTTCTAGTTTGTGACTCAGTGGCTTTCCATCCCCCATAGACTTCCCAGTGGTGGCGTCAAACAGGTGGATAACTGGAAATTTTAAGTTGTAAATGTCGCCTAATCTAGGTAGCCCATAGTTTTTGTAATTGTTTTGGAATACTTCCTTAAATCGAGGACATCAAAGAAACAACAATTACAAAAACTATAGGCTAACTAGATGAGGCGACAGTAAACATCTGATAGATAAGTGAAGTTTAACTTTTTTGTTGAAATTCCTTGAGTAAATGTCATTAGCTGTCAAAAAGTGGTAGTTACCTTTTTCATCAGTCTTATCTCTTATGGCTATAGTGTCATTGCTGATGGTGACAGTCAGGGTATTCAAGATCTCTGTTCTCATTCCCTGGAACTTTGGAGTGCAAACAAGACGTCCTTCATAAGAATACACATATACCCCAGCACTATCCACCAAGAGGAAATGCCTGTAATAATTCACAAGTTAAAACTACAATGCTCTAAACAGGGTCAGTGGTTCTTTTCTTACGTGAACACTACTTATATTGAATCACTACTACATGATATCAGATTCTCCTTCCCTGCCTAGTTTTAGGTCAACCTAATCTCAAGCTTATCATATCAACTTGGTGGCTAAGAAATAAGTCACATGTACCAAAACAAGGAACTGCCCATCTAGCACACCTGAACATGCAGAACATAATAAATCAGTTCCATAAAACAACATGGACATTGGCACATAACATGCACATATGAAGAATGATATCCCACACTTGGCAACTATCAACAGCACCGATGTCTTTATTACATCTGATCAAGACAATGACTGTGTGGTGTAAGACCAGAGATTGCAATGAGCTGTTCAGGTATGGTACTAGAAGTAGTAGAAAGAACAATCATACATCCCTGGTGCCTTAGTGTACAGATTGAACAAACAATACCATAATGGCTGACTATGATATGGCAACAATCTCATATGGTACATTCAATCAACACCACTTTATAGCATCATATGGACAATCACACATTCTCACAACAGCTGTGCAGAGAGACATTGGAGGTGAATTATTGGGATGCAAGTGGTAATCTTCACTAGTGAAACAAAGTATGAGAAAATATTCTAATCTAATAGACCCATCATAGGATAAGTTGAACTATTGTTGGGGGATGATTTACAAACAATAAATAAACCAATATTATTTAGAAACATTGTGAACAAAGGGATATTTTCCTTACTTCTCAGCCTGAGTTATCAGAGTAACGCTTCCTTCCTTCAGATCAAATATCATAGGAGTATTCCAGTTCCGAGTACTGAAAAAATAGAATTTAAAAAGAAATTAAAAAAATTAAATTCACAAAACAAGACATTAACATGACAAAATGTTACAACCTTTCGAAGGTCATTGATGGTCAACCAAAGGTCAAATCTCAAATCAAATCTGAGAATTTGTAGATGATTTTTAAAGATTAATTGGTCAAATTGAAGCAAGTTGAAAAAGACCTTTTTACTTTTTTCAATTCTCAAAATCCAGACATAATTTGTCTTGATTGCAAAAGGCTCATATTTGACCTTGAAACGTTTTCAGACCTCAGTAAGTATTTTGTGATTAAGTTGACTTAAATTTGGATCCAAAAATCAATTTGAAAAATCAACTTTATTGACCTTTCGAAGGTCATCCAAAGTCAAATCTAAATTTGAACTTATGAGAACTTACAGATGATTTTGAAAAAATTGGTCAATATGAAGCAAGTTGAAAAATACACTTTTTGACCTTGAAAAAATCATTGAAGGAAAAATCTCAAATCTAAAGTCTACATGTTTGTAGAGTTTGTATCAAATTCCATTGATCACACAAGTTGTAGATCTATGTGATTTGCAAAATGTTTCATAGAGCACTTTGAACTGTGCACACACCTATAGACATAGCACTGCGATGACGTTGCAACTACAAGGTGGTCAAATGCAAGGGAAACTTTGATGATCCTGTCACGAAAATCTAACTTTTCCCTGGCATCATTGAGAACATTCCGAACCTGAAATATAAGTAACAATTTTGGTTTTTAATATTTGTAAACAGATTCAAATGACAAATACTGTTGGAATGGATTTTCTTGTGTTTAGAAAAGTATTCTCTGTATTGGTTTAAAAAACTCAGCTGGCCTCATTTTGCCCAAGATGTTACTATCTAGTATTTCAAGATGTTTAGCGCATTTCTAATGAATGTAAAGCTGGGATTTATATACTTAAATCACAAAAATACTATTTTTATTGATTTACAGGATCAATTCAAAAATATTTAAATTTATTTATATTTAACAGAATGAAAGAGTGAAATTGAAGTGTTTAGAGTGGGAAGTTGTGTATTATCTAAGCACCTGTATCTGCTTGCTCTCATTCACTGTCACCTCAAAGTTCTTCCACTCCAGTCTCCTACAATCAGAAATATGTCAGAGATCATGAATCAAGCCACTATGTATTGGATTAACATGCACTTTTTAAAATAGAAGTGATAAAACAAGCAAACCAATGAACAAGATATGAATTAAATTGAACGACATAAGCAATCCAATAAATTAGCTATAACTTAAGGTATCATAAACTTATTATAATCTTAACTATGAGGTGCATATCATACCTTTCAATGATGTGTGCAAATATAACTTGTCCATTGCCACAGGCACCTGCTACCTGTGTACCATCACTGGACCAGGCAAAGTTGAAGATGCTACCACAGTTTGGTTTTTCAAGTGCATGAGACCAACCTGTACAGTAGAGAACACAAAATATTCACTTAAACATAGTCGGTAAGTTCAATTAGATAAATACAGACAATATTAGTATGTGATTCTGTCTGTAAAATCACAGAATGCTACAAGTGTTTCCTCTAAAATCATGAAAGGTTTGGCAAGGCAACTTAGGTAATTTTTTTTACCTGATTTATCACAGAGCCTGAGTGTGTTGTAAGAGCCAACAGCAAAGAGTTCACCATCAGGGGTCCACGATACAGATGTAATAGGGTAGTCATGTGCACTACTACTGTACATTAGCCTACCATAACTGTCCCAAACCTAACAATAGAACATAATACAGATGTAATAGGGTAGTCATGTGCACTACTGCTGTACATTAGCCTACCATAACTGTCCCAAACCTAACAATATAACATAATACAGATGTAATAGGGTAGTCATGTGCACTACTGCTGTACATTAGCCTACCATAACTGTCCCAAACCTAACAACAGAACATAATACAAATGTAATAGGTAGTCATGTGCACTACTGCTGTACATTAGCCTACCATAACTGTCCCAAACCTAACAATAGAACATAATACAGATGTAATAGGGTAGTCATGTGCACTACTGCTGTACATTAGCCTACCATAACTGTCCCAAACCTAACAATAGAACATAATACAGATGTAATAGGGTAGTCATGTGCACTACTGCTGTACATTAGCCTACCATAACTGTCCCAAACCTAACAATAGAACATAATACAGATGTAATAGGGTAGTCATGTGCACTACTGCTGTATATTAGCCTACCATAACTGTCCCAAACCTAACAATAGAACATAATACAGATGTAATAGGTAGTCATGTGCACTACTGTTGTACATTAGCCTACCATAACTGTCCCAAACCTAACAATAGAACATAATACAGATGTAATAGGGTAGTCATGTGCACTACTGCTGTACATTAGCCTACCATAACTGTCCCAAACCTAACAATAGAACATAATACAGATGTAATAGGGTAGTCATGTGCACTACTGCTGTACATTAGCCTACCATAGCAGTCCCAAACCTAACAATAGAACATAATACGGAGGTTATAGGGTAGTCATGTGCACTACTGCTGTACATTAGCCTACCATAGCTGTCCCAAACCTAACAATAGAACATAATAGGCATTTTCACGAATAAGTGACACTTTTCGGTATTTTTTTGTAACAGCATCCTTATTTATTCGATTTAAGGTATAAAAGAAAAACAATGCTTTCTAGAAGTTGGTACCATAATGGTCTTATATGCACATCATGAAAAAATACAATATGTTGTTGCTTATTTTAAAAATCAACAAGTAATGACCCAAAATATGCTGTTTTTTGGTGTAACAAGCATTTCACTTAAATTGTGACCATGTTTACATGATCACAGAAGGGCTTATATCATAGATAGATCGACAATTCTAATACCAAGTGGTAGCTAAATCATTTATTTTTAATATGTTTTTTAAATTGTTTCAAACACTGTCATATAGCCCAAGTTGTAACCGTTTTTATATCATGACTACTCTGTAACACTTTTCCATTTTTTGGAGAGGTATTTTATTTTTTTTAGCACAGAAAATCTGTAGCTGAGTATTTTCCTTCATATATAATGATTTTGAATAGCTAACATATTCATATACAAGGCATTAACATGACAAAATGTCACCACCTAAAACAATTTGGTCAATTTAAAGCAAGTTGGAAAATACCTTTTGACCTTGAGAAGGTCATTGAAGGTCAAAGGTCAAATCTAAAGTCAGATTTGAACTTCTGAGAACTTGTAAAGTCAAATTTGAACTTTTAAAAAGATGTAGATGATTTTGAAAAAAAATTTGGTCAATTTGAAGCAAGTTGAAAACAGACCTTTTTGACTTTTTTGACCTTGAGAAGGTCATTAAAGGTCAAATGTCAAATCTAAAGTCAGATTTGAATTTCTGAGAACATGTAGATGATTTTGAAAAAAAAAATTAGTCAATTTGAAGCAAGTTGAAAAAGACCTTTTTGACCTTTTTTGACCTTGAGAAGGTCATTGAAGGTCAAATGTCAAATCTAAAGTCATATTTGAATTTCTGAGAACATGTAGATGATTTTGAAAAAAAAATTTAGTCAATTTGAAGCAAGATGAAAAAATACCTTTTTGACATTGAGAAGGTCATTGAAGGTCAAATGTCAAATCTAAAGTCAGATTTGAATTTCTGAGAACATATAGATGATTTTGAAAAAAAAACTTAGTCAATTTGAAGCAAGTTGAAAAAAGACCTTTTTGACCTTTTTTGACTTTGAGAAGGTCATTGAAGGTCAAATTTCAAATCTAAAGTCAGATTTGAATTTTTGAGAACATGTAGATGATTTTGAAAAAAAAATTAGTCAATTTGAAGCAAGTTGAAAAAAGACCTTTTTGACCTTTTTTGACTTTGAGAAGGTCATTGAAGGTCAAATGTCAAAAAATTAGTCAATTTGAAGCAAGTTGAAAACAGACCTTTTTGACCTTTTTTGACCTTGAGAAGGTCAAATGTCAAATCTTAAGTCAGATTTGAATTTCTGAGAACACGTAGATGATTTAGAAAAAAAAATCTAGTCAATTTGAAGCAAGTTGAAAACAGACCTTTTTGACCTTTTTTGACCTTGAGAAGGTCATTGAAGGTCAAATGTCAAATCTAAAGTCAGATTTGAAGGTCAAATGTCAAATCTAAAGTCAGATTTGAATTTCTGAGAACATGTAGATGATTTTGAAAAAAAATTTAGTCAATGTGAAGCAAGTTGAAAAAAGACCTTTTTGACCTTGAGAAGGTCATTGAAGGTCAAATGTCAAATCTAAAGTCAGATTTGAACTTCTGAGAACATGTAGATGATTTAGAAAAAAATTGAAGTCAGTCTAAACAGTATTTGTTAAGTTATAGGAAGTTGTAAGAAATTGTTACAGACGCCGGACGCCAACCTCCAACCACCAACCGCCAACCACCAACCGCCAACCACCAACCACCAACCGCCGTCGCAAAAAAACGGAGACCATAACAATATGTCACCACTTTTGGTGGTGACATAATAACTTATAAAAAGCTTTTCACTTGGAATTATTTAATTAACAAATAGCGAATAAAAGTTCTGAATCATTTTTTAGGAGTCACAAACCATGAGGTGTCCGTAATGGCAAAGTTTCTACAATTTACACAGTACTTATATTTTAACTATTCTTATTTTTCAATGAAATGAACACAACTTATCAATCAAATAATAATTTAACAATGATTGACCTTTTACTTTCTGATCAAGAAGCAGATATGGTGTCTGAAATGTAGTGAGGTGTCCGTAATGCTACATGATTTATCAATTCAAATTGTGAAATTAGCTTACTTTATCCCAAAAATCACTGTTGAATATTTCCCAAGTGTCTCTCTACATATGTTTATTAAATTTAAACTAGTATTGCCACTGATAATATTTGAATTTTTTTACCATAAGCTACGGGGGTCCATTTTACAAACATCAGTACTGATTAAAAATGAGGCAGAAATTAATTAAAATTGATTTTAAATTCCAAGTCTTTACTAGGCATATGGAGTCAAAACTAGATTTAGTTTTTTGAAATAAATGGAAACCAATAAAAAGAATAAATAGTTTTTAAAAAACATTACGGACACCTCAAGCTTATTGATTTTATGTTTAAAGCAAAAAGAACTTATTTTCAAAGCAGTAAATAACCTTTATAAGTAAAAAAAATGGAGAAAACAAAGTATGCAGAGGAGGAAAAAGATATTAGGTTAAAAATACAAACCAGCAAAAGAAAATAAAGAGGAAACATGTAGTTGGAAGAAAAAATTTAAAATGTTGCACTTAAAAGGCAATATATCTAATAGTGATATAGAGAATCCAGTCCAAAGCTTTCAACGCATTGTTAACACATTCTGAAATGACTCATGAAGTACCAAAAAGCATTGCATCAAAAAACATGATATTTGAATTCATATAAATGTAGAGTGGAGATGATGAGTTTTAATCTTTTGTGACAACTAGACCAAAGAACAGCAAGTACCCAAAAACAAAGCAGCAAGAGTGCTTCAAGTTCATTTTGGATGAAAAGCATAATTCATTTTCAATTTTATATATTTATTTTAAATTGTTTGTGTCATTTGATATCCTACACCTTAAAGTTTGTCGTGTAGTCAATTTTTTACCTTGCCTTGTTCTTTCCTTTAGCTTGTGTTCATTGATTTGAATTGCCTGGTTTGGCGGGTATGTGTCTTGAAGCAAGACTAATTTGTTGGACAAAACTAAAATAGTAATATGGTTCAAATAGAATGATATTACCATATAACATTCTTGTCAAAACATGCCAAATTGCAACACAAACAAGGGTATAGTAATCAGTGGTGAACAGAGATATCCATAATGTTTGAGATAAAATGACTATAATTAATTAAATAATTAAATAGGACATCCAAGTGATTTCACTTCTTAAATTGTTCAGCCAAGATCAGATTGTTTTCCTCTTGTTATCTTGCTCAATGTAAAGTACAGTAAAACCTGCGAACAGGGAATGCTCTTCGGACTGGAGGAAAGTTTCCTTGTTCAGAGGTTTTCCCTATAGAGAGGGGTCACACTTTCAGCAAACTCAGAATTGCCGAATAAGCATTTTTTGTATATATTTGGGCATTTATTGATTTTACCAATGCCGACTCAATACTTGGTTGCTAGACCTTGTTGTGACATCTTGGAAGATGTATGAAGGTCTTCCACCTCCCTCCTTTAGGTGAGGGTAAGGAGCATTCTCCCGATGTTGATTTTAGCCGCTGCTGCTGGCGCATGATGATGTCTAGTTGTTGTAATTGTTGATAGATTTGGCTCAACATGACACATGTACTTATCTGTTATCTCCATATAACAATTGTGTCAATCACTAGATTATCACAACTGATTTGATGCAATTATGTTTGTTGAAAGGAAGAATTAGCGTCATGATAATTATTAACAAACAGATTAGTATTAGTTTTAAAATATATCAGGGTAATTAACAGTGGGTGGGATGCTTATATCTTGTAAACAATTGGCTTATCTTAATCTCAATCATATCAATCCAAGCTTTTTAGAATTAGATATTGGCTTAAGACTTTCACACCTCTGAAAAATAATGGAATATACAGTGTCACCAATATTCCATATTCCTTATTCACAGGTGAATTTTCATAATTTGCCCCAAAATAGTGTTCCTTGTTCCCTGTTCACAGGTTTTCCCTACAGAGAGGGTCCGTTAACATGTAAGTCAATGGAAAAATATTTGGTTCTTTTGAAAAGCATTCCTTGTTCATAGGTTTTCCCTACAGAGAGGTATTCCATCGGACAGGTTTTACTGTATATGCTGTTAAATCATACATTTCTTTGTGAAATTCAATGTATGTCTACATGTTTATATTGTATACCTAGGCAAAGGGGCTAAATAAAGTTCATTCACCATACATATTCAATTATTTTGATAAACAATTGTTACGAAAAGGTTTTGTATATATATATCTTCAAACAAAACTTACTTTTGCGACCTAAAACTGAAAAGAATTTAAATGAGCAAATTTGAGGTGTCCGTAATGCTATCTCTTTCATCATTTAAACATAAATTGACAGTGTTTGAAACAAACACAGATAATTCAGTGGATAGCAATTGAAAGACCATGGAATAATCCACAAAATTGGATACTTTTGTTGGGGCTGCAATGTGAATTTATTTAATGATGTGACTTTATTTTGTTAAATCTAATTCATTAAGTGAGGAGGTAGATATGTTCAAAACAAATATTAATTTTTCTTCATATTTTGCAGCCCGTTGTACAAAATGTGTTATCAATGATATAAGACTAAAAAAATATGTCAGAAACAAAAATATTCCTGTTTTGAATGTTGGTTTGTGAGCATATTTAGAGTGAATTGTCCGTAATGCCAATTTCAGTACCTATAAAGATGACAGTATTTTGTAAATTTGCAGATGCGGATACTTAGGAATTTTTACATCATCAAAAGCCTGACATATGAAAGTGTAAAAATCTTCATAAACAATAAGGAAAACTTGAAAAAAAATTTTGACATTTTGAGATGGAAAAGTGTCACTTATTCGTGAAAATGCCTAATACAAATGTAATAGGGTAGTCATGTGCACTACTACTGTATATTAGCCTACCATAACTGTCCCAAACCTAACAATAGAACATAATACAGATGTAATAGGGTAGTCATGTGCACTACTGCTGTACATTAGCCTACCATAACTGTCCCAAACCTAACAATATAACATAATACAGATGTAATAGGGTAGTCATGTGCACTACTGCTGTATATTAGCCTACCATAACTGTCCAAAACCTAACAATAGAACATAATACAGATGTAATAGGGTAGTCATGTGCACTACTGCTGTACATTAGCCAACCATAACTGTCCCAAACCTAACAATAGAACATAATACAGATGTAATAGGGTAGTCATGTGCACTAATACTGTATATTAGCCTACCATAACTGTCCCAAACCTAACAATAGAACATAATACAGATGTAATAAGGTAGTCATGTGCACTACTGCTGTACATTAGCCTACCATAACTGTCCCAAACCTAACAATAGAACATAATACAGATGTAATAGGGTAGTCATGTGCACTACTGCTGTACATTAGCCTACCATAACTGTCCCAAACCTAACAATAGAACATAATACAGATGTAATAGGGTAGTCATGTGCACTACTACTGTACATTAGCCTACCATAACTGTCCCAAACCTAACAATAGAACATAATACAGATGTAATAGGGTAGTCATGTGCACTACTACTGTACATTAGCCTTCCATAACTGTCCCAAACCTAACAATAAAACATAACTTGAAAAAGCTGTGCATACAGTTTGAGTGCATGTTAATACATTTACATGACTATCTTAAAGTCCCATTAACATAATACACCAGGACAAAACTATGATACCATAAGCTGCATGTCAATACATTTACATGACTATCTTAAAGTCCCATTAACATAATACACCAGGACAAAACTATGATACCATAAGCTGCATGTCAATACATTTGCATGACTATCTTAAAGTCCCATTAACATAATACACCAGGACAAAACTATGATACCATAAGCTGCATGTCAATACATTTACATGACTATCTTAAAGTCCCATTAACATAATACACCAGGACAAAACTATGATACCATAAGATGCATGTCAATACATTTACATGAACATGACTATCTTAAAGTCCCATTAACATAATACACCAGGACAATACTATGATACCATAAGCTGCATGTCAATACATTTACATGAACATGACTATCTTAAAGTCCCATTAACATAATACACCAGGACAATACTATGATACCATAAGCTGCATGTCAATACATTTACATGAACATGACTATCTTAAAGTCCCATTAACATAATCAACATGACTAAACTATGATACCATAAGCTGCATGTTTATACATTTACATGACTATCTTAAAGTCCCATTAACATAATACACCAGGACAAAACTATGATACCATAAGCTTACCTTATATTTGCAATCCTCCGCCCCAGACAATATCAGATTGTTCACTGGGTTCCAATCCACCTTCAATATTACTCCTTCATGACCTTTCCACTGAAAACAATTGATTAAAATCAATCAAAATAAGTTGAAACATCAACTGTGTGGAAGTTTTAACAAATAACTGGGTATTATTGAGCAAAAATCAAATTTATTACACTTAAATAATAAATATAAAGGCTTGAAAAAATATAATGTTCCCAAAAATTGTAAAATGCTTACTGTGAGGGGTTTGGCATTTGCTTGCAAGGACTTGATTACCAACTGCTTTCCATTGGTGTATAATAAATGGTCAGAATCTGGGTTCCAAGTTATGGCATATACAGGAGAACCTGAAAGTAAAATGTGTATCATACACCTAATCCTCACACTAATTATTGGGTTTGGATTTCAATGTTTTATTGTTTCAAAGTCCACATGAAAATATTCTAAAAAATTAGACTCTTGAAAATGAATTCTGGTCTTCAAACATTTGTTTTCCCACTATTTACCAGTAAACAGCAAAGGTTTACACTTTTAGATCATAGAGTACTGTTCTGACTCAGGTTAGACCTCAGCCTACCACTATTTATAATATTTGGCCATACTTTAACTTACTGTTCTGACTTAAAGTAGACCTCACCCTACCACTATTTGTAGTATTTGGCCATACTTCAACTTACTGTTCTGACTTAAAGTAGACCTCAGCCTACCACTATTTGTAGTATTTGGCCATACTTTAACTTACTGTTCTGACTTAAAGTAGACCTCAGCCTACCACTATTTGTAATATTTGGCCTTACTTTAACTTACTGTTCTGACTTAGAGTAGACCTCAGCATTCCACTATTTGTAGTATTTGGCCATACTTTAACTTACTGTTCTGACTTAGAGTAGACCTCAGCATTCCACTATTTGTAGTATTTGGCCATACTTTAACTTACTGTTCTGACTTAGAGTAGACCTCAGCCTACCACTATTTGTAGTATTTGGCCATACTTTAACTTACTGTTCTGACTTAGAGTAGACCTCAGCCTACCACTATTTGTAGTATTTGGCCATACTTTAACTTACTGTTCTGACTTAGAGTAGACCTCAGCATTCCACTATTTGTAGTATTTGGCCATACTTTAACTTACTGTTCTGACTTAGAGTAGACCTCAGCCTACCACTATTTGTAGTATTTGGCCATACTTTAACTTACTGTTCTGACTTAGAGTAGACCTCAGCCTACCACTATTTGTAGTATTTGGCCATACTTTAACTTACTGTTCTGACTTAGAGTAGACCTCAGCCTACCACTATTTGTAGTATTTGGCCATACTTTAACTTACTGTTCTGACTTAGAGTAGACCTCAGCCTACCACTATTTGTAGTATTTGGCCATACTTTAACTTACTGTTCTGACTTAGAGTAGACCTCAGCATTCCACTATTTGTAGTATTTGGCCATACTTTAACTTACTGTTCTGACTTAGAGTAGACCTCAGCCTACCACTATTTGTAGTATTTGGCCATACTTTAACTTACTGTTCTGACTTAGAGTAGACCTCAGCCTACCACTATTTGTAGTATTTGGCCATACTTTAACTTACTGTTCTGACTTAGAGTAGACCTCAGCCTACCACTATTTGTAGTATTTGGCCATACTTTAACTTACTGTTCTGACTTAGAGTAGACCTCAGCATTCCACTATTTGTAGTATTTGGCCATACTTTAACTTACTGTTCTGACTTAGAGTAGACCTCAGCCTACCACTATTTGTAGTATTTGGCCATACTTTAACTTACTGTTCTGACTTAGAGTAGACCTCAGCCTACCACTATTTGTAGTATTTGGCCATACTTTAACTTACTGTTCTGACTTAGAGTAGACCTCAGCCTACCACTATTTGTAGTATTTGGCCATACTTTAACTTACTGTTCTGACTTAGAGTAGACCTCAGCCTACCACTATTTGTAGTATTTGGCCATACTTTAACTTACTGTTCTGACTTAGAGTAGACCTCAGCCTACCACTATTTGTAGTATTTGGCCATACTTTAACTTACTGTTCTGACTTAGAGTAGACCTCAGCCTACCACTATTTGTAGTATTTGGCCATACTTTAACTTACTGTTCTGACTTAGAGTAGACCTCAGCCTACCACTATTTGTAGTATTTGGCCATACTTTAACTTACTGTTCTGACTCAGAGTAGACCTCAGCATTCCACTCCTGGACCACACTTTAACTTGCCCATCTTCACCAGCAGTAGCGAGTGCTGTGCCATCATAGCTCCACCTAGTGGACAAAACTGCTCCACGATGAGCTTCAACATGTTTTTCTATACGTCCACTGCGTGAGATTAGTAAATACTTCCCTGGAAAATTGAGACAATTTGCAAAATGTATTTCATTCATTTTAGTTCTACCTAAAGCATCACCAGTTTGAATATTATACAAATAGTGACTGCCATTGAGGGAAATAGTGCAAAATATTTTCCTCAAGGGAATATCCTGTCCACTGACATGTTCCCGAGGCCGCAGGCCGAGGGAACAAGTCAGTGGACAGGATATTCCCGAGAGGAAAATCTTTACACTATTTCCCGAAAATGTGGCAGTCACTATTTGTTTTATTATATACCTGATAAGTACTCTGTAAACAAAAACAAAATGAGAAGTCTTTTCATTTCAATATCAAATGTTCACAGGTTCTTATTGGCATTTAAAGGCATTTTACCTTTCAACTCCTATAATCTCAGATTTGGGGGAAGATAAAATGTACTATTGACTGGTCACATGACCTAACTGGTGATTAGTACAATTCATCTTCCCTGAAAGCAGGGATTTAGGACTTTCCAGGGAATTAGTTCATCTATTCCATGTCATGTGACCATGAATAAGCCAATGAGCATCTAGAATACATTTGAGGTATATAATAATGGAAATTATTTCCCCGAGGGAATATCCTCTAAAATATACTATGGTACATTTTAGAGGATATTCCCAAGGGGAAATCATTTACACTATTGCTCGAAATTAGGCAGTCACTATTTGTTTTATTATATACCCAATAGATTTGAATTTGGATTTCTGAGACTCTCACTTGGAAAATTCAATCGCGTTTAACACGGGAAATAAATTATAATAACATTTGAAATTACACAGACATATTGATCTCAGGGAACTTTATCCATTTTGCCAATATTGTATCGTTCACTCACGGTTGTAATGGTGAACAGAGTTGAGTTATGTCTCTGTGTTTTCTCCATTTTTCTGTTTTTTGTGTGCGCAGTGATGATGCGCAGACGTTTCCTGGGGTGAAAGAAGTTGCAATTGTGACATCAGTGGACAATAGTTCAAATGTATATTCCCGCTTCTCACATTTGAGGGAATATAACTTTAGGCGGGAAATAGTAATTCTATTTTATGACACGTGACTATGTATTGACCAATCAGGATGAGTGTAACATATTGGGTATATAATAATAAATAATAATAGATAGAACTCACTGAGAAAATTAAAATGATACTACATGTACAAACATACAAATATGAAAATGTTGATGCGTGCCACATTATTACTCTGTATATCTTTGCATTAGTAAAACATGATGCAAAAAACTTAAATAAACAAGCTAAGATTTCTTACCATCAGTGCAAGCCAATATGAATACTTCTGAACCTTTGTTCTTTCCTCCACCTGGAGACTTGGGGAACCAATGCATGTCAACGGGAAAGACATCCTCGCTAAGTTTACATACTTGCTTTGTATCACTGGCACCTATGGATTGAATATAATTAGCTATGAAGAAAAAAAGTGACAGCAAAACTGAGTTAGACTGGGAGACTGAGTGAGACTAGGAGACTGAGTTAGACTGAGTAGGTACATGTAGTCCTAATGAACTCATTTTTTCAAATCACTCCTCATTTTATACATTTCATGATAGAATTTGGAGGCTATTTTCACACAGTACTTACTTCGACTGTTTTGTCCTACCAGATGTTTGAAAATCAAGGATTGCTAGTCTCATACCGCACCATTTTTTCTTCAGACTTGTTCCATTCAAAGCAAAACAAAATTGCCTTTCTGTCAGTACATTGCTTTATTGTAAAGAGTCCCTTGCCTTAGCAGCGTTTTGGCCCCCAGCTGTTAGAAACCCTTCTCAAAGCTGGGTACCAAAATGCCGCTTGAAGTAGGGACTCTGTATAACAGAATAATGTTCCAACAGAAAGACATTTTTGTTATGCTTTGAATGGAACAAGTTTTAAGAAAAATGGTGTGGTATGAGACTCGCAATCCTTGATTTTCAAACATGTTGTAAGTCAAAAATTCAAATTAATGGTCAAAGTTAGTACCGCATGATTTTGGAAATCTCATCTTAAATATAGAATTTCAACTTAAAAAGCAGTATTATTTGAATTAACTTGGTAAATAGTCATAAGGTCAACTTTCAAAAATAGCAATTTTTAGAAAATGACCCGTAAATTGATTTGAGCAGTTATACTGAAAGCTCCTTGACAAGCAGAGGCCTTGTCCTCATGTTGAATCCTTACCCAATAGATTCCATCTAATGATGGCATGATCATCACTGCCAGAGAACAGCTCATCTGGTGTAATCCAACCAACACATGACACAAGTTCTGTATGCTTTGGTTCCTTCTGTAGAGTTGTCTTGAACCTCATTGTCACTTCTCTATTAGTTAGTATATATCTTGGGATATAAGTGTCTCCTCTGGTTCAGTTTGATTATAATGCTACTTACTAAAGTTTCTTTTTTGATTTTGAACTAAGTACAAAATGTGAATTCAGAGTTAAGTAGCTATGATTCTATTCTACACTCTTCGTTTCATTAGTGTCACTTTGTCATTTATTTAGAAATATGTGTGCTCATCCATCGTATTAGAACTAGCATGAACTGAAAACAAAAAAGGAATATATCAAATGAGCATTGCAGTTTGAAATTCTGATAACAGACAAAACAAATGAAAGCACCAAGCAACGGGTGATAGGTTGATTAAGCAGAACAACATCATGTACACTGGCGGATGTGGAGTGAGAGTCCACCCCCCCCCCTTGGATGGGCCCAGAAAAAAAAATGGGCCCAAAAAGTTTTTGAGCCCAAAAAAAACCTTAAGGCCCCAAAAAGTGGGCCTTTTTTATCATAAATGGGCCTTCTAAGGCCTTATCTTTAATATTAGGCCAAATTTTCAAGAAAATGGGCTTCAAAATTTGGGCCCACATTTTGGTTTTAGGGGCCCGAAATTTTTTTACACGCAATCGCGAAGGTTTTTTGCTCAGACAAGAAGTTTGGGCCCCCCCTTGTTGGTTCCCAGATCGGCACCTGATGTTATTTGCCGTTATTTGCCGTTTTAAACTGTCAATTAACATGCGATGTACAATACAATGTTAGTTGCTTGACGTATTGTCACTACAACATTATTGGACAAATTTGGCCATTGACAGTAAAACCTATGTACATTGATCATCTATAGAGCTAAAACAAAAACCGCCATATTTGATTTGAAAGTAAAAGCATTCACTTGATGAACAATTACAAGTCTTGATCGACAAAGAAGTTCTCCAGCGCTCAAATACAGATGGATCAGGATGCCACTGATGCAGGACACAGTAAGACCAAGAATATGCCACTGATCACATTAAAGGTGTAACAAGTAGTGCAGAGGGGCCATTCAACGATCATGGACCAGTGTCAAAATATATTTAAGTTTGGATATTTCATCAAGACTAACATCTATTTTTATTTTCTACAAAGAAACCCCCTAGATAATCATTATTTCAGCTTATATTCCTCTTGAAACATGGTGGATCTTAAAAATATAAAAGTGCACGTCCCCTTTTTGAAGCTTTGAACTGAATTTACACTTTTTAATGCCGAAATTGATATTTTATCCATACATTTTAAGAAAATAGGCATGTCGAAGAAGATGTTAATTAAGCCAACTGTTGCCTTGATAGCTCAGAAAAAGTTAAAATTTTCCTATTTTCTCTCTACAAGCCTTATTGCCCCTTTAATTTGTGTTTTAAAGGTCACAATTATTCAGCTGTCCAGTGCTCAGTTAGCCTAGCCAACAGTAAAATTTTAAATGTTTGGAACTAACCTTACTTTGAATTTAAAAAATAAGCAATCAAAGGACCATATTGAAACAGAATATGTAGAAATAGAAACATTTATACATGTCCTAGCTTTGGGTTTACGAAAAACACCGACCGCCGACCACCGACCAGTCACTCTCCACAGTTGGGAACATGTGGTCGGTGGTCGGCTGACGGTCTTTTACATAAAGATGAAAAAATGCAAAATTAGAAGTAAAACTAAAACTGGGAATCCAATGACTATAGTACCTTTACTAGGTCGTGATTTAAAAACGTATAATTAATAATTCCAAATCACGATGAAAACGTTACATCGTCGTGGTGTGTAATGTCATATTTTTAAGTGATGTTTCAGTTGTTAGAAGACCAATTTCATCCTGGTTAGTCACTTTGGAAAAAAACGCACGTAACATTGCATTAAGTTCATTCATATGAAACGCAATAACAAAAACACACAAACATCGTCGATGTTGACGTCGTAACGTTATGTTTGATTTCTCAGTTGTTAAACGTCAACTGGTAAAAACTACATTTGATATGACAAAAAAGCTTTCTAATGGTGTACTGAAATGGTAAGTCACTTTTAATCCCGATAAGAGAACGCATTTAACATTATATCGTGTTCAGTATTCAGTAGGCTCTGACGATAACAAATCATTTTTGTTTCGAAATTGTTAAAATGTTATAGTTAAAAAAATAAAGTTCCATTGTTCTGATACGATTTGAAATCTAATCTTTTCAACGATTAAATTCTTATTGTGTCATCTTTTTAATAAGACATGAAACAATACGTACTTGAACAACAGTAATCGCGTATTGCCCCTTATTAATTGCCGTACATGTTACGTTGTTTTAATTAAATTTCATAAAAAGAAATGATAGGTTAGGACCTAAGGCAGGACAATTAATCGAGAGGAGACGGTCATGCCCAATTTGTTTGCTTGCCATTCGTTGCAAGGTACAAAATCGGTAAAACGTTGCCTAGTCCAACGATTGACATTCAAAATCAAATTATTAATATTTTAAGGCTACAAATATGTTCGGTCTTTTACATGATATGGTCGGTCTTTTACACATTTTCTTCAAACCCTGTTTTGAGGCTACCAGTGGAAAACACCGACCGGTCAGTGGTCGGTAGGGTCGGTCTTTTTCGTAAACCCCCTAGCTTTTGTTTATTTTAGTTTGTTTTGTAGTTTACCTATCATCTCTGTGGCCTCTTATATTTTGATACTTCTCTGCCGTGTTATTTTTTGTCGATCAAGACAAACACTGAAATATATCGTCTAGTAGTCAAATATCATAGAGGAATCACTTTCACAATATAAAAAGGAGTTGCCAAACTTATAATTATCATTATTTACTGTACTTCTTATCATACATATGCTGTAAATTGTAATAAATTAACGAAATTGTTACCTTTTACATTTTTCAGTTTTTGGAATGTTTGGTCTATCCAAAGTTTGAACTAATTGTAAAACGAAACAATAATAATTTGTTTGTAATTTGATTGTATTTGATCAAATAGATATATAACTGTACAAAATGTTAATGAAAAATATAATAATGATAATATTAAAATAGAAAAACTTAATTCTAATTGGTTCATTTGTGAAATTAATGATAACATATTAATGATTTCGCTTTTATAAAGTATGCTCTTAGAAATACTGATGCATCCTGGGACGGTTTCGAAGGCAGCCATATTTGTTTGTAGTGGATACCGAAGCAGTTTTCTTTACTTTTTCTTCAAATTACAGAGCTTTATCGATCATTCCAACTCTTCTTAGTGAGTATAATTATAACTCTTCACATCACCTCAAGTAAGACATGCGATGTCATCTTGAGAAGTGCATAAAATTCGTGTTTCTCATCTCAAGTAAACGTTCAATATTGTAACTTGTAGGCTAAGCTTAGGCTAGGCCTAGATCTATATCAATATCATTCACTGTGCCTGTACTTCAGGCTAGGCTACCTGAGTATCTCTAGTCTAGGCTTAGTCCAACAACATTAGACCGGATCTGGGGCCTCATTTCATATCTGACATGTCTTATGGCCCTGGCATCAATAGTCTTATTACATGCGGATCCAGGACTAAAGGGGGCGGGGTTATCCCGTGCCAGGACTACAGTCCTGCGAACGTCTTATTCTTTTGCCTGAACGATTATAACATGGGAGAATTTTCTACGCTTCTTACACTTAAGATACCTATTTCAATAGATCCCTTGGTATTTTAGCATTCTTTTCATGTAGTTGAGTCCACAATTGTCTGGGTTTATCGGCAGAACAAAGAAATTTTCGTTTTTGATCGCAATATTTGCTTGTAATATTGAACTTATTTCAACCGTCAAATTCCTCCATTTATTGGTGCTTCCGGGCCACTTCTGGGTCAGTCAAATGGGGAATCCCCTTTTGAATCCAACCGCCATCTTGGAAAGTGATGGAATATCTCTCGATGAAAAAGAAAAATGTTCCCGTTCTGCCGATATACCCAGACAATTGTGGATTCAACTACACGAAAAGAATGCTAAAATACCCAGGAATCTATTGAAGTAGGTATCTTAAGTGTAAGGGGCGTAGATAATTCTCCCAAGTTGTAATCGTATAGGCAAAAGATTGCGCTCAATGCAGGACTATAGTCCTTGCACAGGATAAGGGCGTGGGCGCTAGTAAAAAATCATCCAAAAAATGCTCAAGAATGAATGATGAGCGTACGCTATGGGGGGTGTACCTGAAAATTTTTCCAACAATTAAAATATGAATGACTTCATGAAAAATACTTCTTTTAGTTTGAGACAAGTTTTATTTTGTGGATAAATTTTATGAGAAATTCTAGAACTATAACATGTATTTTATAGGATTTTTGAAAAATATTATTTTTTGGAAACATTTTAGAAGGGGGTGCATTTTAGAAGGGGGCGCCCCCTACTCCCCCCTCCATCTATTTTGTACGATCACCGGGCATGAAGCTAAGTGCAGATCCACTGAGCGAGTGACTGATTTTAGACTAACTGCCTATCATCAAATAAGGAAGAAAAATAATTTACAAAGTAATACTTTAGAGATGATGCATGTCCTTTTCAGTTTTTCATTGTTCCATTTTTATTTGCTCTGTAACCCTTCACAAGACAAATTCCTCTTACGAGACCCTGACCCTCTCATAATATTTGCCAGCAAATTGTTAAAATGATGTCATAAAGAATCATTCACTTTCGGGAAATTGAAAAATAGTCATCAACAATTGAATACACGATTCATTAATAATGAATAGCTTCAAGTAATGGCCTCCTGCATGCTAGTAGTCTTCATTCAGTAGATTGTTCAGTAGTTTGCCAAGCAGACTAGTCAATCTGTCATTCACTTTGGTGATTCACACATTTTGAATATTTTTTTGTTTCTTTTCAGCAATGTGAGAGTTACATAAACATCACACATGATGAAGGAATTCAGTTAAAGGACTTGTTTTGATTATTCAAGGCCGTCAGCATGGCATCTCCCATTTCAGTTGGGGTGAAAAGTGCTGCAAGTGGAAGCCGAACATCAATAAAAGTCACACTTCCCAAACAGCGTATTGACTCACCATCTAGACCTACATCCTCAGACAGACTATACCTTACTTCACCCCCGATGTCAAAATATTCAGATTTTGATAATTCACCGAATCTTGGTTCTAAACATAACACTCCTGTGACAGGAGCATTCTCACATTCAAGTGGAATACAGGCCCCCACCACTACCCCCAGAGAAACACCCATAGTCTTGTCACACCAAGAGTAAGTAAAACATCACTGTATTAAAAACAATAACTTCTGGGATCTTCCAAATATATTGTACCCTTGTTTTGAACTGTTAGTGATAAGAGGAGCAAATATGAGCTCAAATTCCTTCTTGAATTCATATATGTATGTTGTTTTCTGCAAACATTTTTCATATGAATATTGCTTAGTTATGAAATTAAGTCAGAACTAATACTGTAGATTGGGTTAATTTGGCGCTACATAATTTTGCGATTTTGCCATTTTTGCATATTGGCGGCTATTTTAAATAATTTAATTTGGCAGACACTAGGGCTTTGACTTTGCTCTGACGCCATAACTTCCATATCAGGCTATCCAACTGTTCCACAATTTGCGTATTTGTCACGCATTGCTGAAGAAATTGAAGCCACGCCCATTTTTTTGCATGACAGAATATTTCACGCAAATACACATTTTGGCTCACACAGTGAGCCTATGGGATCGACCAGGCGTCCGTCCGTTGGTCCGTCCATCCGTCAACATTGACCGCACAAATTAAAACTGCTATTCGGATTGAGTCATATCCACAGTCATTTTATGCATATCCATAATGCCTATTTGACCTATTATCGCCATTTCTCAAGTTCGCCCGGTTTCCGAGAAATTGCTGATTTTGACGTCAAAAAGTCAAATTTTCTGTAAATACTAGACACTTTGTTGAAGTAGAACTTTCAAATAACTTGTAGTAGTTGCTGTATATGCAACTTATGTCCTCTTAAGATTTCAAAGCTCTTGGAATTACAGTTTTTGGTCTTTTCTCTATAAAATTTGACAAAAAGTAGGACTTGGTCATTTTCAGGAAACTTTCTCATCTATTAAGTCAATGGCAAGTTTTGTGATTGACAAATTTCTCAAAGTTTGCCTTATACTTGATCATTTCTTGCAATGAATTACATGTATATCATAATTAGATTTAAGCATTCCCTACATTTTCAAGGTCAAAGGTCATCAAACTAGGTCACACAACTGTGCTATCTAAGTTTGTCAAAGTTCGAGACTACAAATCAAAAACAATATTTTTGTTTGAAAGTCAGGATATACATTCCTCTGAAGGTTCCAAACTGTGTGAGCACAGGACCGTGGGTCCTATTTTTTCTGGTTATTGTCAAGCAAAAATATTTCAGGAGAAAGAAACTTCAAAAAACGAATTATTCAGAAATTTCACGTGAAGTGTGTATATGTCACGCATTTGCTTCTAGTTTTCTTGTTTCATTTGAACCAAGGTGCTCAAAATTTGGACCAAGGTGTTCAGATTTGGACCAAGGTGTTCACAATTTGAAGGAAGGTGTTCAACATTTGTAAGTTACTCATTTTAGGTGTTCCCAGGTTGACAGGCCTGCCATATTCACTGGAATAAATACAAATACATGTAGTTACACCTAATTTATTATTGAAAGAATTCCCCATTGGAAATGCTCAATCATATTGATGTTTGTTCAGCTTATCATTTTCAGATTTTGCAAAAACTAAACCGGAAATGACTTAAATACACCAGACAAAATTCCCTGAAAAATTCTCAGGGATCCTTTTTGGTGAAGATATAAATTGTTTGTTCTTTTCTATTTCGCCAAATTACCCAAATTAAAGCGGGTGCCAAATTAACCCAATCTACAGTATTTTATTATTCATATTATTATGTCACCACCAAAAGTGTTATAGTCTCCAATTTTTTTGGGAATGGAGTTCGGTGGTTGGCAGTTGGCATCTGTTCCAAATGGCAGGTGGTGACATTTTGCATGTCAATGCCTTGTTTACTTTTTGTGAAAGCATTAATTTTTATAAAATCATCTATTTTCTTTGTGACATGATCAATAACTGAATTTTAAGCAATCAGCGAATTGTGTCAAAAGCAATAAATTATAAATTTCAATTTAACAATTCCAGAGTGAGTGCTATAGTTGCTGTACGTATAATAGAGAGGGCATGGTTGGCCTACAGGGACAGGCAGATGTTTTCTCTCCTTAAACATGCAGTTTGTGCAGCGGTAAGTATATTTGCATTTTCATTGGCAGAAGTCACAATCTCCACATGTTTAGTCATCTCTTGTTCTGCAGAATGATTTTGAACTACATCAATTACAAGGTTTGCACCTCCCGCACATTGATTGATAAGTGTAACTAAGTGTATAAATTACAAATCAATAAAAGGTATATTCTGAAAATCAACTTCTCACTATTACTAACTCTGTTTTTTAAATATTGCTCAATATTTCAGGAACATTCACTGACCTATGAAATACTGAGAAAAGTCTCGCCAAAAGAAGCAGAATTCTTAAAAGACCCAAGTATGAATGTCAGAGTAAGATTTAGGTAAGTGATGAAAGTGATGTCTTAGCTATTTGGTACATGTACAGCATGGGCATTGTGAAGCAATAGCTCCTGAGTAAACTATTAAAATAGGGATTCTTAACAAACATTTAATATGCAAAGGCCTAATATCAAAACTCAACTCCATATTGGCATCACAAATGAGTAAATTATGGAAATACTTCAAGTTTTCACCAAATACAGACCATTCTTATTAAATTATGTTGTGCATGTATTCCTAATTGTGGTTATCATAATCTGTTCTAATGTCTAATGTTCTCACCAAGTAAAGACTTGATTGAGGGGAGATGTGTCGAACTTCAGTGTATATGTATGTGGTTACACTGTACTTCATTATGGGACTGTATCGACATTGGCTTTTATTTCCGATTCACAAAGTCCGCCATGTTTGATTTTAGAAAATTTTAAAAATAAATTAAGAGGAGGAAAAGCCCAATAGCTTTAGAGATGACAGACATAACTACATGTACATCTCTTGCTTGACCTTCATTTGTCAGAATTTTCACTGGTAGTTTATGAATACAACACATCATTGTGATGTTTTAATTGATGATAGCATATTTCTTATATGTTTCTTTATCTTGATGTCAAATAACAAGCCATGATATTACTCAACATGCCAGAAATTAAGATAATATTATTTGAAGCGTGTTTAGAAAATTTTGAAACCGCCATTGTCTGTCTGTCAATTTGACCAATCAGTGACGATGTCATCTCAGTACAGATTTACACAATAGACATATATCTTCTTTGAATCCTGGGGCTATTCCCCCTCTGCAATAAATTGATATTTCCAAAGGGTGAGATCTTAATCAAAGATGGCCAACCCCAGAAATATGAATTATCGGTTATAATTGGTGGTTGAAACCCCATGGTCAAAGCAGCCCCATGACCAAGTAACCACATACGTCGAAGTTCAACACATCTCCCCTACATGTATGTAGTTAACATAATTTTTGTATAACTGACTTAATAGTATAATCATAACCCATCATCTAATATTCTAATAACTTGATATGGTAATCATTATCAGTTGTACCACAGATTTGAACTCCATGTAACATAAAAAAATAAATGTTCACTTCTTATTCACGTTTTTTGTTTCAGGTTTGGAGGTACAGAATTCCCTCCAATGATATACTTTAAGATCTACACACACTCATCAGCTAATGGCATGGGAGTAAAATACTTCAGTGGCAAACGTGTAATAAAACCAGCCTCAGAGGCAGCACAAGATGCATGCAACATCATGGGCAATAGAGAGTTCTATAATCAGATGATACAAGATGCTTTATATCAAGAACAGAAGAAAATCAGTGATGAAACTGATGTGACAACTTTGAAAGACTATATGCAGTATTTAGCCAATCTTGATGAAACTCCAGCCAAGGAAGGAGGAAAGGAAAATCTTTGGAGGAAATTAACACAAGATGGTTGGTATTATTGTCCTAATTGTATGGATTGTAGCCAGAGTGAGGGTGTTAACTCATTGTATGGGTTGTAGCCAGAGTGAAGGTGTAAACTTATTGTATGGGTTGTAGCCAGAGTGAGGGTGTTAACTCATTGTATGGGTTGTAGCCAGAGTGAAGGTGTTAGCTCATTGTATGGGTTGTACCCAGACCGAAGGTGTTAACTAACTGTATGGTTGTAGCCAGAGTGAGGATGTTAACTCATTGTATGGGTTGTAACCCAGGCTGAAGGTGTTAACTCACTGTATGGTTGTAGCTAGAGTGAGGGTGTTTACATGCATGCATGTCTATAAAGGAACAATCCACTATTTAATTCTCAATGCTCTACAGAGTCTTTTTTTTTCAGGATGTTATACATCTTTTTAATTCTCATCTGGATGCAACACATATACAGAATTCTACAATGCTGGGTGAGATGACAAATTCAGCGGAATTCATTTGGCTTTCTTGTCTCTCCATGTTCCTGTTTTCTCTTCCACGTTTGTATAGACTTCAAATATGATTTGACTTTTTATGTTTATCTTATTTGTTTTCTTGTTTCCAGTAATTCCAAGGTATACAATATTCCATGATGTGATAGACTATCTATACAATCAGAAACTTTCTCCCTCCTTGGCTGAAGAGCTTCCAACATTACTCTCTCGTCCAATCACACAAGAGATACAACTACGACAAATTAAACTCATCTCAAGAATAAGGTAAGAGGAAGAGACTGGTAGATAGATTCAGCATAGACGGAGATTGTATCTTAATATTTTGAAAATTGAACCCTTCAAAGACTGTATCATGCCCCATGTTACATGGATACGAGATACAAGGATTTTTATACAAAGTCATATCATCCTCTCAATAAACTTGTATAACATCTATGTACATGTGCGATTTCTCTTGTTTTATGCAGAATGCCGAATCTGCACTCCATGTACAAACCCCCTACTATGCATTTTCTAACTAAGGCACAATGTTACAATGCCACAAAAAACTTTGTTGGAATCTAGCCGTCATTGAATTTTCAACCCTGCTGTGTAACAGCTACCATTGTTATTATAAATATGAATGGGGAGTGTAATATATGTTTGTCTCAGAAAACACAAGGAAAATACGCAAACACACTCAGATGTGTATACCCAATAAACTTTGTAAGTCCACTATTATATTGAAGGCATATGTTCTCTTGAAGGACACCTCCTTTAGCACCATGTTCCACCCCTAAAGGCAAGTTCAGCAGTCCCCAGTCATCCACTGCTAGGAGGTCAAAACAAGCACGTATCAGAGCACTGAAGATGAAGAGAATGTATGGCCTTGAAGCAACAGAACAGGTATGCATGGGTCTTTAATATTAGCTGTACAGGGTGCTAAATGGCATTTCCCCCTCCAACACAGTATACACTAGCCTAGCTTACTAGGGGTCCGTGATCAGAATGAGCTGTTCTGTCATTGGCTTTTAATTAGTTAAGAAACGTATGACCATATATCATGGTTCCCTTGATTGACTCACAGTATTGATATAAACAAAAACAAAAATGGCTGACTGTTAAGACATGACATGACAAATATATTTTCTGGTTTCTTTTCCTTGTTTATATAAAAAAAAGTTAGCGTTAATATCAGATAAATACTGAAAGAGTGAATGGTTTTGATTTTTTGATTTTCTTGTGAAATTTTTCATGAACTAAAAAGCATATTTTTTTGCTGGTATTGTGAGGTTAATATCGTTGCTCATATCCATATTCAAAACAGTGTATCGCAGGATCTCTATAGGCCGGTAACTATACATTACTAACATTACTCGTGTATACATATCATAAGCACTGAATGATGTACATGTATTTGAAATGTAATGGTATAATAGTCACAATTGGAACCCTGCATCTGTTTATATTTATGAACCCAAGACCATGCTTTAAAAATCTCATGGCAAACCATGGAAAATATTCTTCTTTTTAATGATACAGCATACTGTAGCATTTAATTTTTAAAAATTGTTACGTATTAAATATAACTTGCATTTTTGAGACTGTACATTACTTTATTGTTTAGAAATCTCCTATATTTCTATTTCTATTCCAATGGCTGTATCGACAGTAATATCAATACTAAAAACATATTATTTCATGAATTGATGATTTGCGATCACCGGATGGATTCTATCTTGTAGTGACGTCACAATTAGGCCACACTGCTGTAACTTTTTGATTTTGAGAGATTATCTTCTGTATTTCGTACTTTATTGAACTTTTTTTCACGATAGTGTTCGATTTGACTAGATCAACATTCATGCTAACCACATACCAAGTCTAAGATCTTACTGACATGATTTAGATAGCGGTTAAGCGCCCCCCGATTTTGAAAAAACGGGGGGCGCTTATAGGCATCGATGTTCAGTATGAGTTTCACCGAAACTTCACACGTATAAAGATACACTCATGATCTAGTCAAATCGGCATACCTGGTAAATATCCGACCCATGGTTTTCATAAGAGAAATGATAATATTTTTTGCGCAAAACTGCCACGTGTCCGCTATTTTCTCTCTCCATCATATCTTATATCATTTTTATATGACGTCACACCAATAAGACAAAATACATGACAACAGTATCCATGAACAAAATACCTGAATTCTGATCGCAAAAGGTCAATTCAGTCAGTAATGGAACATCATGGTTGTTGTCACCATGACATATGGTGACATATTGTTACAGTCTCCAACTTTTTTGTGGATGGTAGTTGGTATTCGGTGGTTAGCGTCTGTATCAAATGGCAAGGCATATGTAACAAATGGCAGGTGGTAACATTTTGTATGTTAATGCTTTGTTTTATAGTGTAATGGTTCTCATAGCTGCATGCATATATGTCCACCTTAAGACAATGAGAAAATATGTTGTCTCCCTGAAGCCAATGGTAGGCTTCTTTTGGGATTACTTGTATTAATATAAATAAAATATTTCTAATGTATACTCATGTCTTTGCAGAAGCCATCAGATATTAGTGAAAATCGTGAGACAAAACTGACATTTGACCTCCCTAATGAGGATGATGATTTGGACAAAATGGATGAACATTGGGAGATTGAAGCTGATAAACTTTATGAATGGACTCAAGACTTAAGTTTTGAAGACATTTCAACCTCACCAAGGTTAAACTCTATGGTGACTTGACAGAAGTTGACTTGTATGTCAAGTCATGTTCTACAAAAGAGGAGTTGATTTAAAGCTTCTGATTACCACGCCTATAGTAAATATTGCAATCATGATCATGGTTTTGTTTTGATACTTTGAAAAATATTGTCACATTAATCAGCACATCTTTTTATTTTATATTAAAGAGAACTCTGGTTTCTGAAAAAATAGATAGGCCTACTTCTCATCATTAACACGTGTGTACAATGTATGTACAGGATTGAAAAATAAATGTACAATGAAAGTGAAATCTGAGTGTACATGTGTTAAAAACCACCACTAAGTGCAGTGTCAAAATTATAAGTACAGAAACGTGAAGAGGTCTTCAGATCTTTGTGAAACAATGAAAACATCTGATTAATTTCAAATTACCCCTCTCTCTCTCATTTAGCCATGCCCGGGGCCTTCAGCAGCCATACTTAATTGGTGAGCCCATGTGAACATAATAGACCAAATGCTGTGACAGAACCACTTAGGCAAAAATATATAAGAACAGTCACATTGTGCATTATAAAGATATAGCCTAGACATACACTATGTTGAACATTGGGAGATTGTACAAAGAGGGAGTTATATGTGCATCTGTATTCTGATAATGATTTGAAATTTCAAACCCCTGAATTTACCACCATTGAAACTTGTATTCATCACCAGCAAAACTCAATTTCTAGACAATCTACAGTTGTATCATATCGTATGTACTGTATGTGCATATGTTTTGTTCAAACAACTGATAAAAATAGCTGGTAAATCAAGGATTTATGATTTCTACCCGATATTAACAAGTATTCATTTCCTTAATGATCCCAATGATACTATTGATGCTTTCTATGGTTAAAAAACTATCCTTAGTCCAAGAAAAGGGATTAAAAAATGAAAGTATGAATACATCAAGAATGTACTTACCTTGTCTGTTTACAAAACCAAAACTGGGTAAAATGGATTTTGAAGACTGCCTTATGATTTATGATGGATCAGCTTTGCCTCAGTGCCAATGTTCATTTAGCTTTTAAATCAGTAGTTTAAGTTTGAAGGTTCGTGGATGTCAAAGTTTTGAGATTTGCATCAAACTTATGACTTTGACATCTTTGAGGAAAAGCCTTAGTTGTCTCCTGGAGACTCTTGTGAATTATTCTGTTAAGTGGACTTTGGTAGCACCTTTAGATGAATGTTGACCATGTGACTCTCTTCTAGACTTTAGAACATCTTATATATGGGTAACAGTATCCAGAACTCTTTTTGATGTCAAGAGAATTAATAAGGAACCCTTTTACTCTATTCTTGTTCAACTGTACATGTACAGTATTATAACTACAAAAAGCAGCAAATCCTACCAAAATTCCACTTCTGAAAAACAGTGAGAATTTTGAATTCATTCAATGGCCATCTTGAAGTTTCCTCTTTAGTAGAGGTCCATTTGCCTATCAGGCAATCTGAACAAAATCTAACAATTGATATTTGAGTTATCAAAAATTATATCTGTGGCTATTTCAATTTGTTGTCTATTAATTGTAGATTCCTTCTTAAGCAGAGATCCTTTGCCCAATAAGACATTAGTCTATCAAATTTCTATCAATTTCATCAACTAGAATTTGAATTCTTGTATGGACATCCAAGTGGACAAACTGTTTTTGGATGACTTAAGTATGAATTGAACATACATACGTGGTACATGATTGTAGTACATGATTGTAGTATTGTGATATTGATTTCTGAATGGTAGGGAGGGTAATGTTAGTCATCACATCTTTCTGCGCTAGGTCACACTCATACTATTATAGTTTTGGCAATTGGGGATCTGTTTTCAGATCCCCAATGACTGGCTGTACTGTTTGATAAAAGGAGTTGATGAAACCTTTTTTTCCCTGGCATCAAATTCATTGGGCACCCTTACAATTGTCACAGGAAATCATATTTATGTTGTTTTTGTGATGAAGGCTTTGAAGGACTTCATAAAACAAAGAGGGAAACATTTTATGAATCATAATTAGAGTATTACATGTCTTACATTATCTGACATGTCTGAGGGTCAACCCCAACTAAACACAATTTCTTTCTCTATTTTATTATTAATAAAAATTCTATTTATCAAAAAAGTATGTACAACTCAAAACACCACTCTGAAAGACCGCTTGTTTTCATGGTTACAGAAATGACATCATAATACAAAAAATAAATTCTCGATATGTTACAAAATGTTTAAAAAATAGACTAGAAATCGAAGAGTTGAATGAGTCCAAAATATGTATAAAAAAGCAGTTTTCATCATTTTACCAATTTTTCAACAACCAAAGCACTAATATTCTTTTGCCAAGCTATAGCATTTGATGCCATACTCGGAGGCATTGTCTCAGACTCGTCTTCTACCAATAAGCCTTGTAACCTTTTCCTGTTTTTGTTTATGCTATACAGTACGGTTGCTCATACACCTTAAATATTCTGCCAGAAGAAAATGAGGAATGAAGAATTTATGAATCAACACTGAGATATTCACCTTGCCGTTGCCATGGTTATATGGAAATATTGAGAGAAAACAGAAAATATCTTCTCATAAAAAGCTACGCTATATGGTAACAGGTATCAGAGATTATCCCATGGTTACAGGTTACAAGGATATAGATCGAATATCAAGTGAAAATATATTTGATATTTGGATCAAGATATCATATTTTAACAAAAAATTCCCAAACCATCATATATCACTTTCAAACCATTGAATATCACTCCTTAAAAAGTGATATGCCATCAATACTTTCAAAAGTGATATTTGATGGTTTCGGTTTTTTGCAAAATTTAATTTTTTTCAAAATGTTTCTCAAATTTAAAAAAAAAAATTTGTTTTGAATCTAAAATTTTTTCTTTACAAATTCAAAGTTTTTTATTTCTACTTTTTTTCGCTGATGATGACTTGCCATGGGTTAAACGGATAATCTTATGGTTTTTCAAAAATATCATTTATATCCACTCATGGATATTAATATCTTCACTCAATTTCGCTGCGCTCACTCGTGAAGATATCGATATCCACTCATGGATATAAATGATATGTTTTCAAAATCATAGGATATTCCTATAATCTGTGGAAAAAACATTCATTTGATTAAACAAATAACTGGATATTCAAAAGGTATGAGCAACCCTAGTGGTTTGTTCATCATCATCAAAAATGAAAGACTTTCTTTGAAAGATCATTGTTGATATTTAAACACTGAGATCTTTATCAATGAGAATCAGTGCAATATTATGCTAGTTATAAATGCAGTTTCTAATTTTCTAAAATACTGGTAAAATGATGAATTTGCAATTTTGAAGCGCAGCAAGCGAAATAACAGTAAAGCACCTAAGATGGAGCAATAACATTGTCCTCGTAAAAGCAGATACATGTATTTTGTTCATCAAAAATGGAAAGAAAATGTAGAACTTTTGAGAATCGAGATTTGTCTTCTAATGGAGTAACGTCATGAAGGGTAACTCTGATTATAACTTACAACAACACAATGATTGGTTAAATATGTGTAGTACTACAATTTCATGTGATTGTTTTCAAGACCATATCAAGGGTGAAATTGAAGTTTAGCTGTAGAAGGGATGTAAAGGGGATGTACTTTACTATCTTTTTACCCAGAGTACTGAAGTTGTTTCCAAGACTGGTATGCTATGTATGCTGTAACGACTCTTCATTTGGCACATACATTTTGAAAACTTTTGCACATACATTTCGAAAATAATCTTAGGGGCCAAATGAATTGTAGCCATTCATTTGAAATTCACCTTAGAATGAAGACAAAAAGCATAAAGGTAAAAAGAGTAATATATCAAAAATAAAATTGTGCCAAATTCAGAATAGTTACAGTCTACTGATCACAGCTCTAGTTGATAGCAAAATATCTTGTCAGAAAATACATTTTTAGTATTAAAATTCAACATAGGACCCCAAAGCCTCTTTTTAAGACCAGCATCACGTAAAGCAATCTACAAGCCGAGCATTGGACAGTGGTGTTGCCCTCTATTGGGGGAGCTGAAACTTGCCAGTCAAAGAGTAAAATAAAATCTGAAAAGTGAATTGCCATTTCTTTAAGCCAGGAGTGAAGCTTCACAACCCTATTACTTTAATGTGGTAACCATAGCAACCATTGTCCGGCAATGGCGCTGCCAATTCTGGTTGCAAAACCTCCTCTACTAGGTGTCTCATATCCTCTTGGAAACATCTGAATACCTAAGGAAGAGAAATGCTGCAGTAATGCTGCATGAGACACCTGTGACTAGGCATGCTAATAGGGCACACAACAGGACATACTTGGTTTACTCTGTGATATGGTTTATTTGGCCAGTTGCCAGCATTTTATATACATAGCCGATCAAGCAAAAAACAGAGTGTTTAAGCGGTTGTCATTGTAACACGTCTTACGTATATCATAACCATGGCTAAAGCAGAAAGCGAAAAAAACTACATAATTTCCGAGCGGTCTGAATTCAATAATGTGTGACCTTCTGTGTCAAGATTGACTTTGACCTTTAAAGCTTGTCGCAGGCTCGATCTTTAAACATGACCTTGACCTTAAAGCAGGTCATGGCCTTGACCTTAAATTGGTCATGACTTTGACCTGTGACCTAGAGCATGCACACATAAGCAATTGTAATCTGGCCTTCAGGATTCTTTCAAGATATTTTCCAAAATGGAAAGCTAGCAGGCTTACTAAATGGGCCAATAGGCCAGAAATGGGGAAAACATGAATCCAAACAGTCCACATTGGGTCATGCCTTTCTAAACTGTCAATAGTACCAAGTAAAGGATTTCACAGCTAGACAGTTTCAATGTGAATGTCAAGTGAATTTTCCTCAAGTATCAAGTATTTCACAAAGCCAATCTGTTTACACTATCATCTTTGTAGAGAATGAAAAGCATGGCCTTTTATGAAATGCCTGGTAAATGTCACCCTCTGCAACTTGAAGCAGTAAGCATGTGTGTGTACCCTTCTTTCACAATACCCAAACAAAATTGAGCATGTTCATTGTTTCTCAAACTAAAATATCTTGAAAGAACATTTCATGTTCTTTTTTAAAGTAACGTATCCAACGTTCTATAACATGATCATAACAAATGTCGCTCTGTGTGTTTTACACCTAAAGAACAACCACACTTATCGTCAGTAGCAATGGACACTTATATAACAAAAATTAACTAGACTACATTCTATGAGTGTCACCATGGTAACTATTGCTATGGTTCTGAAGCTATATACATACAATGAAAGCAGGTGCCTCTAATGTCATATTATCTCCGTGGTTACTTCATCCATAG